CATTAAGGGTCTGATTTGACCAAGAATGTTCTTCGTAACATTTCTCTTGAACTTTGACCTAATGTGTTGAAGAAATAAAATGTATTTGGGGCAGTGTATCCCTTAGGCAGCCAGAAGAGACAAAAATCTCATATCTCCTGGAAGAGGTTGAGATCTTTCTTCCAAAACCACTCATAGCAGAGTGACAGAACAAGATAGAATGACAGTGCAAAGCAATAAACAATGGCCATAATTGCTTGCAAGTTTATTGTACACAGAAACATCATTTTTGTTATTTTTCTGGGGCTTCCACTGCTGTTGGAACATGTTCCACTGTCAACGTCGGGTTGATGAATGTCTCAATTTTTCCTGTTTTTAGGAAGTAAGGAGTTTGTTCTTTGTAAGAGTCCTGAGCAATTTTCTGATTTGGAGCAGAGCAAAGAGAAGAGCCCTTTGTTACAGCACGTTTTTCCTACCTGCTGAGTTTGTAGTGATTTCTCATCCATTTGTGGCCAACTTACTCTTTTTAGCAGGAGATAGATACTGTATTTACGAAAGTAACCTTCTCAGCCCTTTTGATTATTGCCACAGTAGTGTGAACAGCATCTGCAACTGTCCCCGGCCTTGTTAGTCTGCTGCTGCTCAGCAAAAAAAACACAAGAAACAGTAGACGTGACATCTTCTGACATCTGGGTGGGTGTTTCAGGGTAGTAAACGATTCTTGTGAAGAGCTGAAACTCTGAAAAGTTGCCGGAAACTGGTAACTGTATTCATGATCTGATCTCCAAAGAGCAAGAGTCAGACTCCCTGTGAATTCCTCAAATTATTTTCCAACATCTATCTAAAAAAAAACAGGCTTTGTTGAAACTATTGATGTCCTTTTATTAATAGTAGTGTAAGGACTTTATCATGTAACGTGGGAAAGCAACAAAACCTGCTGTTAGTCTGTGATACTCTCACATGACATCCTGCTTGGGGGTATTTGGCCATAACTTGGAATTCTTGAAAAGGATGTGGTTTATCTGGTTTTCTTTTTCTTTTTTTTTTTTATACTTTTTTTTTTTTCTTTTTTTCCTGTAGGAGGAGGAAGGTGACCAATAAGTTGCTTCAGGGATTGCTGTATGTTTTTTATGCCCAACTTATCTTGTGAATTACTGTTTTGGAATAGAAATGTTACATGGTATTTTGAGGAGAGTGAAAAAGAAAAACAGTTTTTTGTTTTTTTTTTTTCCTAGTGAAACTTTTCCATTCAAGGCCAGGCTGGATGTGCTCTAGGCAGCTTGGTCTAATAGTTGGTGACCCTGCGTTTGGTAGGGGGGTTGAAAGTAGATGATCAATTGTGGTCCTTTGATTGTGGTCCTTTCCAACCCAGGCCATTCTATGATTCATACCAGGAATTTCGCACAGAAACAGTTAAATTACACTTAAATTTATACCTCTTTTTAATTTTTTTAGGGTTTTTTTTTTTTTTTTTCCAATTTTATACATTAATGTTCTTCTAAGAGCACAGGCAACTTTGAATAGAAATAAAAGCAAAGTTTTGAGATGTTGTCTGTATGTAACATATAGCGGAGGGAATTTTTGTACATCTGATTTCTGTATTTAAATGTTGTTAATGTCATTGTTTTCAACCTAATTACTTTTCAAAAGTGACTTGAAAATTGTTTTCAAAATTTGAAATAAATGTAAGTACTTAAGTTTACATCACCACCATGCTCATGTATGGAGAAAGCTTGATTTTGCTCTGAAGCCTGTGGGGAATCATGGATGGGACTGGGTTTATTCCAGTAGGGTTGACTCAGTGGAAGATAATCTGGGCTGAGAACGTCTCCAAGTATTGTCTATAGAATCATAGAATGGCCTGGGTTGAAAAGGACCACAATAATAATCTAGTTTCAACCCCCCTGCTGTGAGCAGGGTCACCAACCAGCAGACCAGGCTGGCCTTGAATAGGTAAGTTTAACTAGAAAAAAAACCTGCTATTTCATTTTATCGTCCCTGTTATTTTGATAATTAATACACTCTTCCCCCACTTTCCTTACTGGAAGTGGGCACTCCCAGTCTTTATGGGCTTTTCACCTCTGTGTGCCAGGGAGGTAATACATTAAGCTCTTTTTGTGGGCAGGTGAAGATGAGTGGCTCAGAGCTTTCTATTGCTCTTTCTAAAGGAAGCATAAGCTATCTGGGCAAAACAAAATATTTCTTAACATTTTATTACTTCCAGAATTTTGCTTATGATGTTGTTATGGGTTTGAGGCTGGCTTTCTAAGGACAGTGCTTACTAGCAATGCAGTTATGGTTCCCGTTATGGTCTCTTCTACTTCCTGCTTGAGTAACTTCTGAACTCTTGGTCAACTGCAATCAAATGTGTTAGAGGATTAAAAAAAAATTGGGAAAAAAAAAAAAAAAAAAAAAACCAACAAAAAAACCAACAAAAAAACGCCAAAATGAGAATCACAGATTCACAGAATGGACAGGGTTGGAAGGAACTTCAAGGATCATGAGTCTCCAACCCCCCTGCCACATGCAGGGCCACCAACCTCCACATTTAACACTAGACCAGGCTGCCCAAGGCCCCTTCCAACCTGGCCTTGAACACCTCCAGGGACGGGGCATCCACAGCCTCTCTGGGCAGCCTGTGCTAGCATCTCACCACTCTCTGTAAAGAACTTCTCCCTGACATCCAACCCTAATCTTCCCTCCCTAGAAGTCCCTACAAATATGAATGCTGGTAGTTCATTAGAGAGAACCTAGAGTTTTTTTGAGGATAACTGGTATACTGTTTTGCTACCATCTTTCTGGCCCCTACGTAATTTTTGTTTCACCATGCTACGTGTTCTTGTTGGGAGGATCAAAGAAGGCAGAGGAAAGAGCTCACGCAGCAGAGATTGGGGTGTGAAGAATACTGATTTAAACCAACTTGTTACTACTTCAGAATGGTGTTGCAAATTGAAATGTCAATGCTTGTATTTCCATTACAATAATTCTGAATACACGGTAAGTTTATAACGTAATGAATATGCCAGATGGTTTTCAGATAAATAATATCTGCTCTCCATCCCAGAGTTCTTCAACCCAAACATTAATCAACCAAAAAAACCTACAAAGTTACTCAGCATTAGAGTGAATTCTTATCTCTTTTAACCTTCATTTTCATATGTAACAAACCCTGAGCTGCTGGAATCAGCTGTCTGCAGTTGCAGAGTTTAATTTCTGCAAAGATAGAGCCCTTGGGTATGCACCCCTTGGGGCTCCAATGAAATGTAAAATGAAATCTCTGGTTATGGAAGATGGATGTAATATTGACAGTAAAGAGCAAACAAATTAATCTCTCACTGGAGAATATTGATCTTTTATTTCTGTTTTAAACTCTAAGTTGTCTTCTCAAGTCTGAAAAGAAGTCTTGTCTTTCTGCTCCTATCCTCCCGTGTCTGCCTGCCTTAAATGCCTTTCTTGTCCTTCTGCATAGTGTGGGAAATGGAAGCAGGGAGAGAATCTCTGCTCGTGTCTCTCCTGCTCTCTTTTTGACTTGAGTGTAAAAGCTGCCTGTGCCATACAGTTCAGTGTTACATCTGTGGCAGTTATGAGAACTCTTTTCTTATAGGGTTTGCTTGTAGTTTGAAAAATAGAAGCGTAGTAATAAAGATAGTGAGTACGCTTCAGAGATTGGAAATGCCATATGGGTACATGTGTGATTTTAAACTTTTGAGATGATGCCTTCTGTGCATGAAATTAGTATTGGCCACGTTGTCTAGCATTTGGGTGAAGGTTTCTGAGTTATGTACCATGCTTGATTGCTTTGCCGAATTATGAGGGAAAAAATCAGTATTTTTTTCATGAATTGCAACTGATGGGGAGACTGATGCACAGAACTGCTGGGTTTTTGTTGTTGTTGTCATTTTATTGGTTTTTTTCTTTTTTTAAATTTCTTCAGTGACATCTGTGGAGTGTATGTATAGTAGGTTCCCAAGTTGGAAGCTAGAGGAGTATGTGGGAAGTGTGAAAGGGGGTTGGGGAGAGGGGAACAAACAAGAAATTGAGACAAAAGGAAATTGTTGGTGCAAGTTAATGTCTTTTCTTAGTGATATTGATAAATTTCTGCTGCTGCTCAAGCAGTCTAAATAATTCTCCTTCTGGTTCTGCTTCCTTTGCTTTTCTCCTGTTGCCTGGAAAACATGAGTGGAATCTAGTAGGACAAGAGGCTGCTTTCGCATTGTTTGGTGGCTCCGTGGCTAGCTATTGTCCCCTCAGCTCAGGCAATTCATGTCAGTCTTTGTGTGGAGCAAGAAAAATGTTTTCCCTGTGCTTTTATTTTTTTTTTTTTTCATTAAAGATTAAATTTCTGGACTCTAGGCTGCTTTTATTTGAAAAGCAAGCAGTGTTAGGAGTATCACCCACTGACTAAAGTGTTTTTCCTTGCGATGTCAGCTTTAGCACTGTATTCATCTTATTGAATTTGTGAGGTGATTGAGGGGTAAAGGAGTCTTGCCATCTAGTTTTGTTTTTTAATGTATTTTGTTTAAACAAAGGAACTTTCAGCAAGGCAGTGCATTACATGATTTTTTTGGTCAGGAGTGAAAAACAGATCTCTGCCAACGTTGTATGATTTCAGCAGTTGGAACCAGAGCCAATTTTGCTCTTTAGTAGGAGCGGAGCTGTTATACTTGGTAAAGTAATGCAGCATTGGACAGTGTCACTGAGATCTTGTCAGTTGTGGCTGACTTAATTCTGTTCTTTACTACATCGCTGATTATTTATAAATGAAGATCATTTTTGAAGACGTTGTTTGAAGAGAACTGAAACATAGCTATTTTCTCCTATTAAGACACTCATGGATGTATAGGGTAGTGCAAGAAATTAAACATTTAGATCTTACACAAGTAGCTGTTCTTACAAGTAGCATTTATACTGCTTCTTCATTGCCTTGGTTTGTCCTGTACTAATTGATTATGTGGTGGTACAGTTAATACACTGAAAATGGAAGATGCTGTAACTGTGTGTTTTTCTTTTAAAATTTTCAGGCATCCATTAATAAGCTAAAAGTGAAAGAACCATGGCTCAGTTTCCAACACCTTTTGGGGGTAAGTTGTTCATAGTGTATTCTGATATATTCTTATATGCAAAAATTCTTCATGAATGCGTTGTCTTCCAAATATGTCCTGTATTGAAGTGTTTTTTGGTCTTGCATCTTTCTGAAGTGATACCTTACCTTACCTGCCTCGTGATGTTTTTGCAGACCCATTAGAAAACATGCTTGAAATCTTGCAAAGGCATCTTGGGAGGGTCAAGCAGAAAAGCTGCACCGTTTCCCTTTTTGCACATTGTTCCATTGCAGTCTTCAGTTTGTAACTAGGGCAGATCCAGGTGACTCAGCCACTAACAGCAGTGCTTATCAACATTCTGAAGGTACCTGGTCGTATCTGCCTAAGTTTCCCTGCTCAGGCCTGTCTTTTATTTATTTATTTATTTATTTATTTATTTTCTCCCCCCCCAGAGGAAATTCTAAAATGCTACTTAAGCATGACAAATTCTTGCTTCACGAGCACTGTTGGTGGTTGAGAAACAGATGTGATTTTTGTTTTAGGACTCTTGGATTTTTTCATTGCTAAAGCGTATGGCAGATGCCTTTGTATGCCATCACTTCATACATTGTCCCAAAATCTGTGTTTGGATTGGAAATGGAATGCTAGTAACTATTGGAACTTGTTTGATTCCACTTGAATGATGCATCTGTTGTGGACTTTTTTTCTGAAAACGCAGATATGGTTCTCATATGTATGTATATGTTTATGCGGATGCAAGTATACATAAATAAACAAAAATGCATGTATGTGTTTATATCTATAAATATATAAATGGATGTCTAGTTTTTGGGATGTGAAATAGTTAGGAACTAAATTTCTGTCTAGTGTTAAAGTTTCAGTAAGAGACTTCAGTAAAAAAAAAAAAAAGCACATTGTTCAAAGTATGTTAGAGGGAGACAGTTGTTTGGATGCAATGTCTGCCACTGTGAAAAAGCACATAAAACATATCAGAAGAAATTTATCTTTGCAATTGCACAGCCAGAACAAATATATAATAGGAAGCTGCCATTCACTGCCTTGATTATCCATCCCTTTGGAATTACATCTTGTTTGGTGCCAGACGTACTCAGTTGTGAGCAAAACTGGCTACTGAAAGTTTTCATCAAATAAATTCACTGATCAAGTCCTGTAGGTTACACCTCTAGATTATATAGAAATGTATGAAAAGCTTCCTTTTATCCTGATTTTTCACTCTCTGAGATCAGTCATGATGTGAATGGAATCTACTGGTTTGGACTCATATTTCCTTGTGTTTATAGTTAGGGCTGTGCTTTGCATGCACCCATATTTAAACACAAACATTCGTACAGAAACTCTTGTCTTCAAAGCATTTTAATCTACCATCTTCAGAGAGTTCTTATTGCATTGCAGATGGATACCAGCTTTCTTTTTTCAACTTTATGATAACTTTTACCATTTGATCTTGCATATGTTGTCCAGGATCTTGTTAACTGTACTATGTGGCTTTAGGAAGGAAGGAATTTACATTTCTTCTCATACAGCTTTTCCAATCTGGCTGCTCTACAGCAAGTAGCTTAAAATAAGCGTGTGGCTAATGTAGTTTCTGGAGTATCTTTAATTTCAAACATGGTGTGAGAGATGCCTGTTACAATATTTGTACTTAAACCAAATCTACCAGGCAGCATCATATATACTCTGTGAAAAATTACATGAACAATCTAAGATTGTTATGAGAGGAAGCAAATGGGGTTGTAAAGAAATTTTCAGTTCTTGTGGGGGAATTATTCCCCTATTCAAGAATCTGTCATTTACTGTTACCTGCACTGTTCAAGATGCAGGTGAAATTTATGCAATCTCCTTCTGGGGAGAGCTTTTACTCCGAATGTATAATCTCTAGTATTCACCTCCATGCAAATATACATAGTTCTGGTTTTGTTTTTATTTTGCTTCTTTCTTTTTGAAGAATATTCCAGTTTTCTTGGGGAATGAGAACGGAAAGAGCACAGCACCCACCATTTAAATTGGAGTGACTCACGGACGTTCTAGAACACTGCTCATTTTAAGGATGACTATTTAAATGAAGTGAATGTGCACAATAGGCTTTTTATAATTGCTGGGGAGAATGTGGTGTTCAACCTTCAGTTTGTTTGTTCATGAGAAGAAAATGTCCATTTCATGTGTGAGAGTGCGCTGCATCACTTCTGCAGATGTGATGATTGCCAAGCCTTTTATAAGAAGAGAAGCTTAGAGCGCTTGCTGCTGCCTTCAAGGATAACTTTCTGATGAGTCAGTTTTGTGGTTTGGTGGCTTCTTCCTTTGCATTCAAATATATTGCAGTGCACCGCAACTTCTACAGTGGCATCCAGGATCTGAAGCCATGAATGATGTCTTAGTGCTGGGAAAGATCCTCCTTCATGCTCTCCCGTGGATCTCATTGTTTCCTCAAATAGCAAAAGATGGAGATGAGGCATCAGAGATGACATTCATAGCCCTCCTGAAGAGACTATTACACTTGCTTGACTTAGCTTCAGCTCTTTTGATGTTCATGTCCCCCAGAGGAGATCTACAGTTTTAATACTGACCAAATCTCTATCGGGAAGAAGAAAATACTGTCATCTGTTTTAGTTTCAGGGAATCCAGAGAAAAAAGCATTAATTTTTGTTTTGAAATAGTTAATAGCATTTTTTTATTATCTCAGATCAAAAGAGTTTTAGTTTGGGGTTTATTTCTTTTGGGAATTGATAGGAGGAGCTGTTTTTTGCTTTTTTGTGGTGTTTTCAGTGGGGGAGAGGGATACTGGAGTCATGTACACCTCAATTGGGCTAGAGCAAGTCAGAGACTCATTACAAATGCCATGGTATTTTTCTTTTATTCAAACTATATTCAAGAAATTTTCTTTGCACGTGCACCCTACTGCATCCAGCTTTCTGATCTTATGCCAGACAAGAGCAGTCATGTTTCCATTACAGGCAGATGCTCATCTGCTGTTAGTTGGCCTAGGCTGTATACTGGTCATAAAGCCTTGGCACCATTTTTTTTCTCCTGCCAGAAGTTTGCGGGGGAGATTATTGCTTATACTAACTGTTGTCTTTTGGAACATTCATATTCAAAGGAGAATCCAATTTAATTCATACAGGCAGCACAGCTCTGAAAGCTGTTTACAGTGCCTCTGTTTCTTCAGAGTACTCCTGAATAAATGGATGTCCTTTCTTTGAATGAGTTATTGTCAACCTGCCTTCTTCTAGAAATTCATAGATTATCTGAAGCAGAGATGAGAATTTGTTACCAAAAATGTAGTTTTTATGTAAGTAATGAAACTTAACATTTAAAAGGATGTTTCTCTCCCAGTTGTCCATTCTGTTTTCTCTCGAAGCACATTTTGCCACATGAAAGTAGTTTCCAATTAGAAGACATTTAGAAGGCAGGAAATCCTCCTGTTCCTCTTATCTGCTGAGTTTGTTTCTGCCTCACCCTGCAAGCAGTTTGAAATCCTTGCTGTAGAGATCTGTGGGCCCTATTGCCTGAAATTGCATCTCTGAGTTTAGTGCTGAGACAGCGTGAATGTTAACTCTCCTCTTTATTCCCACAAAACAGTAATTCCATTAACTTAGATGCCTTCAGATCATTGCATGTGTATACAGTAGGAGTTACAGGAAGTTGCACCAGCATAAAGTACTTCTCAGGATGTTGAAATCACAATGTGTTACTGGTCTACAAAGTGTTGAGATGAGTCTGCAATACATTATTAGTGAAATGTCTGGAAGAGGAGAGAAAATGCTGAAAAAAATGAAAGTAGAACTAAGGAACACATTGTTGGAGCATAGTCCTGTAGAAGATGTAGTAAATCTCAATGCAGACTAAATGCTTCCAACTTACAAGCGTGGTGTGAGTAATCTGGGCTGCATAACATGATCTGATTACTCAGACTTCTCAGTTTCAGAGGAAGGATGAGTGTATTCCTGAACTGCGTTTCTCAAATGGTGCTGTTGTTGCCTGTGAAAATTGTTAGCTGTCTTGTTGCATCATACTTCTCCTAGACAGGTGTGGAGTTCTCCGCTTACAAGAGTACAGAACTACATAATACACATCTCATAATTGACATACCTTTTCAGTTGGAAGAACTTGAGTTGCGTGGTATGTGCTCTTTGAGGCAGGTGGCCCCTTGCCCGCTGAATATTTAGTTTTGTGACTTTTCTGTGTTACATCCTCTGATGCTGTCTTTTAACAGCCCATTTTAAAGTTTGATTGCACTGTAGGTAGCCTAATTGTGACTTAAGATTCCCCTGAGCCACAGGAGTGAATCAGTGCTCAGCAGTCATCGTAATTTGTTAACATGTAGTTCTACTATGATCACAAGTACCAACTGGCTGTTTAAGAATTCATAGAGCTTTCAGCTAGAGACTTTGGAGGAATAGCTTCTGCGTATTTCCCTGTTGTTTTCATAAGTCCAATATAGGATGATATACTCAGAAATAGGGAAGGTTTTTTTAGACGATATTTTTTAATTATATTTCTGCATCTCTTTTCAACTAGGCAACCTGGATATCTGGGCTATTACTGTGGAGGAGAGAGCTAAACATGATCAACAGTTCCACAGTCTGAAACCAACATCTGGATTTATCACTGGTAATGGAAGAGATTTCAATTCTAATTTCATTTAATTGCATCTTAGGTAATTGAGCCTAAGTATGTACAGAGCTGCCTAGGAGAAAGTAGGGTGTAAGAATTTAGAAAATTGAACATCTCTTGTTCACTTTGCATCACTTTGTTATTTGTATGTCTCACTGTTGACTCCACCATTTCTGACACTATACTATATACACACACTATTCCTGGTTTATGCCACTTGATTTTTAAGTACAATTAAAACTGTTTGTAACTGGCTTTATAAAGCAGTTCTGTTGTGTAGAGACAGCTGCAGCTGTAATAATAATTCAGGATGTGGAATCACCTCGATACACGGTAATATTTATATTGTTTTTGATGTCCTTAATGAAGTAACTCACTATCCCGAGTCTGGCTGAGATGGAATTAAACTTCTTCATGGCAGCCCATATGGTGCTATGTTTTGCATTTGTGACTAAAGTAGCATTAATAACACTGTTTCGGCTATTGCTGACCAGTGCTTACATGGCCTCAAGGCTTTGTTTGTTTCTCATGCTGCCCCCTGCAGTAAGTAGGCTGGGGGTGGATAATAAGTTGTGAGGGGACACTGCCAAGTCAGTTGTCCTAAACCAACCAGAAGCATATGCTGTATTGGCATGCTCAACAAAAACGACAAAAAAATAGTTTATAAGGGTTCAGTTGTCTTCTAAAGTAGCTGTTGCTCAGAAACAGACTGGGCACTGGTTGCCTGTTTGAGGTGGTAAGAGTTTTTACCTGTGTACTGCACAGTACACAGGTAAAAACTCTTTTTTTTTTCATGTTTCAGTTATCTGTATCTTGACCAACAAGCTTCCCAAGTTTTCACACTTTTCCAATTTCCTCTCATCTTGTTTTGTGGAGGGAAATGACTGAATGATGGCGTGGGTCTTAATTTCTGCCCGGCAACAACCTATTACACTAACATACCGAGAGAATAAGAAGTCTATTCAAAAAATTTGTCAATTTAACTGAAGTCTGATTCAGAAACTGTGCATAAAGTAGTGAAATTGCTGTGGATGACCTCTTAAAAAAATCTAAATGGCAAAAGTTGGTATAAATTGTGGCAAGCAAGACTGAAGTAAAGGCTGCACAGTTCCCACTAATTTTTCGTTAAAACCCACTGATTGCTTTGGCTTTAAAGGCACTGTGATGTCTGCTATTTTGTTTGTTTTGTTTTACTACATTAAAATATCTTCAGTCCTATCTAAACTCTTACACTCAATGGAAGTGTGAGGCATATCAATGTGTTACCTTTTTTTGCTGTCTAATCCATCAAACAAATTTCCAGAGTATCAAATCAGTATCACACATCACACTAGTACATACCTCCAGTTTTATTGTTTCTGTTCTGTTATGTGACAGACTTGATGTAAAAATCCGTTACGGTTCAGTGTGCAAGTTAGTACTGTTTTTATTGACTTCTTCTGATATTTAGTGCTATTTCTAGTTTGTTTACAAATCTCTTTTACAGGTCACAACATTTCCAAGTGCCCGATTTTTTTTTTTTTTGTAATTGTTTTTCTGTCCTTACTTTAAATTCATACTTGGAAAAATGAAATGCACTATTACTTTCGTTAAAGGTTGCTTATCAGACTCACATCAGGATCAAGACCAGTTAGTGCCAGCTGACTGGCACAGTACTAACAAAAAATCAGGAAGTTTGTATTGGTATAAACCTTCTTGGGAAGAAACTTTTTTTTTTTGTTCTCACAATGAGTATGTTGCTCAAAGAGAGCCACTGACACAGATTAGGGACTGAGTTTCCCGTTTTCCTGAATGTTTATGTCCAGTTGTCTTCAGGTGCTGACTACTGCAGAGTGAAACAGCACACGCTTGCTGCAAATATCTTGTAGGTTCTCAAGTGACAAACCCAATTGAAATCTCTTGTTCTGTTGTGTATGCGTAGCATTAAGTATTTATGGCTTTACTGTTACTTCTGATTTAGATATTTTGATTCATAATTTCCTCCTTACTCTTATATGTATTTTTAGCATTTTCTGAAATGATGTCCTGTTTATTTTATAGGTGATCAAGCTAGAAACTTTTTTTTTCAGTCTGGGTTACCTCAGCCGGTGTTAGCACAGATATGGTAAGTATATGCAGTGGGGGAACATTGTAGTTGTCAGTGTGAAGCTAATTAGTACAGACTTGGACACTAATAATATTCTATGTACTGGCATTTAAAATCACCCGTTTTGTCGTGTGTGCTTCCTGAAGTCTACAGTGCAAATATGCTTTCTAGTATAATTTAGCATGAGTTTTTAAGTTACTTTTTCAGCTATTGGAAGTAGCCATCCTACAAATGGCGTTTCTGAAGTTAGTGATTTGGAAACTTCATTTCAAACCACTAAATGCTTTCTGCTCTGTTAAAACTTCACTAACAGAATTAGTAAGCATAGTAAGTAGTAGTAAAAATATTTATTACTGGACAACCTATGTAACACCAACAAAATTTGTTACTAAATTAAGATTGGCAGTAGACTATTTCTGTTATAGTTAGAAATACAGTTTGAAATCTTGACATTTTTACTATTTCTTGGTGAACTTAAATACCTTAAAATGTGCATTGCTGTGTATTACGCATCACACACATTTCTACAATCTCCCAGTTCTTCGTGCTGGAGAATTTCCTCTCCAAATTACATGAACCTTCTGGATTCAGGAATGCTAACTTACATAGGCTGTTCATTATAATTTTCATTAGTTGTGTTACTGCAGGAACTTTATTGATTGGAAAAAGCTACAAGAGCAACTTTTGGCAAGTGTGTTAACTTTTTCTCTGATGTTATCTGTTGAAAAGAGAGAGTGGTTTTTTGCACTTACAAAAACTTTTTGTTGTAATAAGGGCTTCTAAAAGCAGAATCCTACACAGAATGGAGAAGGAATGTTATTTTCATTCAAGAAAAACATTTGCTTTGGAAATATGCATGCCTTAAAGAAGGGCTGAGTTTACATGGGTTTTAAATAAATAGTTTACTTTGGTTTAGAATTACTTTTGTCTTACAAATATCAAATCTGATCTGGTTACCTTAGTTGCAGGGAGACTCAGTGGAAGTTCAGATGTCCCTGTGGAACTTCTCTTGCCTCTTAATTAAAAAGCAAAAGAAGTTTTGTCTTAAACAAAAAAGCCTTTCTCCAAAATCATTCCATAGGCATGAGCTTTAAATAGGTGTTAACAAAACTAAACAGTTGTAAATAGTCTGACTTAAAAATCTCTTCCTCTCTGAATTATTCAGTTTTTCAGTCTCTTGAGAGGGAGAGAATCATTCCACTAGTTCTGTAGTTGTCATAGAGACAAGACCTGAACTTGCACAATTTTTAAATAAAGCTGAACTAAAACTTATTCATGCTGCCTTTGTAAGTCATACAAAACAATGTAGATATCTCTCCTTTTCACCATTTCTTCTTTTTTTCAATTATCTCTGAATTAAGAGAAGTAATTACCCAAGTGAAAATCTAGATCACTTGTATGCATTCTCAGTTGGAATTAGAGTAACCAAGTAAGACAGTGTTTTCATAGTGGGTATAAAAATAAGAATCCTTAAAAAAAAAAAAAAAAAGTAAAGAAAAATAAAAAGAGAAAAAGAAAAAATAAAAAGAAAAGAAAATCCTTATTTTCCCACCACTTGAATTATTTAACTCTTTTGATGAATCGGTGAATGCTTGTAACCTCCCATGTGTTGGCCCCTCACTACAAGAAAGACATTGAGGCCCTGGAACGTGTCCAGAGAAGGGCAACAAAACTGGTGAGGGGTCTGGAGCACAAGTCTTATGAGGAGCGGCTGAAGGAGCTGGGAATGTTCAGTCTGAAGAAGAGGAGGCTCAGGGGAGACCTCATTGCACTCTACAACTTCCTGAAGGGAGGTTGTGGTGCAAAAGGGTCTGGCCTCTTCTCCCAGGCAAATAGTAGGACCCGAGGAAATGGCAAGAAGTTATACCAGAGGAGGTTTAGGTTGGATATTAGGAGAAACTTTTTCTCTCAGAGGGTGGTCAGGCACTGGAATGGCTGCCCAGGGAGGTGGTGGAGTCGCCATCCCTGGCAGTGTTCAAGAGGTGCCTGGATGATGAGCTACGAGAGATGGTTTAGTAGCTTGTGGCACTGATAGGAATGGGAGGGTGGTTGGACTAGATGATCTTGCAGGTTGTTTCCAACCTTGTGATTCTGTGATTCTGTGATTCTGTGTTAATACTGTCCCACAGAAACAATAGCAGTCAGACTGTTTAGTGACACGAAGTCCATTTCAGTCGCCAAAGGATGTCACAGTGTGTTCCAGACCACACTGAAAAATGTGGATCGTTGTTTGCTTTAACTCCCAGAGTTAAGACTTGGAAGTGGCACACTTGCTTTGTGAATCTAGAAGTTAATAGCAGTATCCTAAGGCTACTGTTCTGAATTTGAGCAACTTATACAAATCTTCAAATTACTTTTCTGATCCTAGAAATGTGGAATTGTATGCATATTGAGTGTTGCAAGCATTTTCTTATTTTTAATGATTGTAATTACTTGAATACAGCTTATTACATCAATAACAGATGCAGACAAGAGCGTAGTATTTGTTTTGTAAAGGAATCTTATCTATCTGTGTGGCAGATAATAGAATCGTATCTATGTGTAAATAAGCCTATGCTAATAGAAAGTTTTGTCTGTTTTGTTGGCTGTGGAAGTTCCTATATAGAAAAACACAACTGGGAAAGCAATTGTGGAGGGGATTGGCCTAATGAGTGACTGGCCAGCTTTCTGCAGAAAAAGCAAGCCCTCTGTGAATTTCCAAACATATTATCTCTTGAGAGAGAGTTTTGTTTTAGTGAGCAGTGTAATGACAGTAGCTATCTTATGTTTTAATTTTAAATAAAACTGCCATTTTTCTATCATGGAAAAACACTTCAAGAAACACCAGCTAGCTGAAGCATCAGTTAAATGTCTTCTTCAGGGGCTGCTTTGAGGATATTCTGCAGTTGGTGGAACTGCTTTCTGAGATGCACCTCCAAAGAGTGTATCTTCTTTTAATTTTAATCTGGGTCCTCAGTATAGCAAATTAATGGAATTATTATGGTCTGTCAAGTATGGTTCTATTCTGTCCTTTATAAACTTTGTAGTATGCCAAGCTGGCAATGTACTAAGAAGCTTCTAAGTAAGTTTTGAATCAAGAGCGCAATGGCTTGAAAGATAGCTGTTTTTAAGTAGGTTATAATCTGGCTTTCTTCTAACGCTCTCCTGAGTGGTGGCCTTTAAAAGCATTTTCTGTGTAGCCTGTCTCTCTTGAATTAAATGGGAAGGAAAATAATCAATGCCAGCTGCTTTCATCCATTTGGAGTTATTTGTTTTATTTGGGACAAACTAAAGCTACTGGTTGACGCTACTTTTCCCAGACATAGGCTTCTTTCACAAGTTCACAACTTAATTTCATGGAGATAGATATTTTGTAGCCTAATAATAAGCACATTTGAAAGAAAAAAAAAATGAGTGCGCGCTTAGTTTCTGCCTTTTATAGATGCAGAAATAATCAAGTTGTTTCTGCGTTCTGCAGAACAGAAGAGAAAAAAGCAGGGAGAGATCTGTAGGGAAAGAATCTGATCAGCACCTGAAATCAAGCATGGTGATGAAGCCCGCTGTAATTTTTATCACAGGCATGTATATGAAATGCAATCAATATTTAGTCAATGTTTAATCCATTTACCGCTCTCCACAGGTTTCCGGTCAGACGTTAAGTGAAACAAATTTAAGGGCATTACATTCTTCCAGATTTCATTATAAGCAGAGCAGTGTAATTAGGTAGTGTTTACTGTCAGCCACTTGCTGCCTTGAAGGTGATGTTTATTCAAAAGTAGCACTGTAATCTAACGGTAGGACAACTAGATTCAGTCATTAGAAATGGAACTTTGTCCTGTGTGTTCACTAAAGATTTTGCCAGAAAAAAGCAGATTTTGTTAACAAGCTGTAAAAACTGGTATAAATTTTGTAGCATATACTTTATTTTTTTTTCCCACTGAAATTCATAGTCTTCAATTAACTAACAAAGTCATTGATGCAGAGTAAGTGAGCTGAACCAGCAGTAAGACTGGTGCATGTTAAAGTTTCTTAATACTGGTCAGTTAATGTTTTCTCACGTTGAATGCAAGGGCTTACGTGTTCTTACAATAGGTAGTGTCTGTAGAATTGAGGTTGCTTACAGTAGAACTTATTACTCTTATGCATTTTCATGGCCTTGTATTTCACCATGCCTTTGCTTCAGTGATGAAAGGCCTTCACTTGTATAAATCAGTTTTTGATTTGTTTGCATGTTTGTAGAAGGCACTTAAGTGGAAAAAATAAGAAGATTATAAATAAATCTTTGCTTAAATGCAGAGATGTAAGGAGCATTGAAACTATTAGTTTGAGTTGTCAGTGCTAGTTGGTCCCAGTGGAGCTGGCTGACTCCTCCATGTGTTGAGGAAGGTGTCTCCTTTGGGAGGACTACTGGTTAATTGGAGTGCAGTCAAAAATCTGCTAGAATAAGTTTCTCCAGACTCTTTTCTCTGACACTGTATGAACATCTGCGTGTCTCCTACCTATATAAACCTGTTTTTGTTCTCCCTTTTCCACTAGGCATCTGACAGGAAAATGACTAAGCAATCACTGAACTAAGCTTTCATTAAAAAAACACACATTTTCCCTACTGATATTTTTGTGTTTTCTTTAGTTGCCTTCAGAAATGTGTGGTGTCTGCTTGTAAGCATCAATTAAATGAAACTAATTATCTTCTCCTAGCTTCCATTGTTTTTTTAACACTATATTTTCTAATGAAGTTATTTTACCCTGTTTGTTTACTGTATGTTGGTTTAATTTCTAATACAAAACCCACAGAAGAGAGCACCTCAGAAAATAAATTTAGCAATTAAGTTTCTGACATTCCCACTCTCCATGTAACTTTTTTCTTCTTCACCTGTGAATATTTCAGGCTTGTAAGATTTGCGGTATATTTTTCTCCCAAGTGAGACTTTTAGAAATCTGACATCACTGTTCATAGGTGGTAACGAATGTATATGAACTTCTTTGGGTCTGAAAAGAAAAATGTATGTGAGGAAGCAAATTAAAATATCCTGAGAAATCCTGTTCGTTATAAGCCCGAGTGATGGACACATCTATTATTTACTATTACTGCAGTCTAACCTTGCCACTCCTAGGAAAGAGGCTTCCTCTGCCTTCACTAGGGTTCTCTCACTCATTTCTGCAAGTTTCATGAAAACGAAAGTATTACATTTCTGTTTTACTTTAGCCAGCCCATTGCTTCAGGTGGTACCAATACTTTATTTGCTCTTTGTGGAGGAGTGGTCAGATGCTGAAACTTCAGAGCATGGTGCTCTGCAAGGAACAGATACTCATTCCAAAGCTGTACATCTCTTGGTCCAGTTTTGCCATGCTAGTTTTGTCTTTTCCTTTTGCTGGTTGGACTACTAGACATGAAGTCTGACTACTACAATAAGCTATTTTTAACTGAATATTAGTGAAATGAATCACATACTAAGCTGTGAAACTTGAATCCAAATTGCATTATGCTGTGTGGATCCCAGAACCAATTTTGACTACAAATTTGGGCTTTCAAAAGCTAAGTGGAATTAAAGCAAAGTTTGAAGTTACTGTAAAGCAGACAGCTTTGATATGTAAATTAAACTTCACTGTGATACAGAGCTTCAGAAGACAACATTTAGATATTCACACAGCCAAAACTTGTTCTTGAATGGAATGTATGTATTCGTTCAGTATTTTAGAGGGAGTGGTGTAACGCACACTTCTCTTTGTAACTTTAAGTCCTATAATCTCTTTCAGTTCACTCTTAAGACTTTCATCTTTAAATAATGCTGGCAGATTCTTGGTAGTTTTACTTTATTTTACTCCACTATGGTCAGAAGGTTGCTACAATGGTGAAAATGTCTTGAAAGTATTAGTTTATCTGGTTTTCACAAAGTGCTACTGGCGCTCTAAACCAGGGTAAACACTTGAGATGTGTGGTTGATCTGCTGAAATCCTAGGTTTCTTTTCTTTTTGACATGGACTGGGAGGGTTTTGATTACTTCAAATGCTATGCCACTGTGTTTACCAGACTACCTACTTGTTTAAATATCAATTATAAATAACTGTCAGTTTATTGCAGTACTGTTTTAATAACTTTTGACATACATGTATGAAAACTTTTGTTGATGGAGATTTGATCTAGAAATAAAAATCTTTGTTTAGCTAAGCCACCCAGGTCCTTTGCATCCATGACTTGTAAATGTATGTGTGAACTTAAAATGTGTACTTCATTCTTCAAATAAGTGCAAAAAATTAGCATAATTTGAAAATTTAAGCTTACATCTGATTACATCATTAATATGCATTTACTGTGTTTTCTTGGTGTTTTTTTTTTTTTTGTTTGCAACTGCAAGAGCTCACATTCTTCCTTCTTCTCCCCCTCCCCTCACTCCCATTCCATGCTGAGCTCTGTTTTCTTAACCATGGAATGAAAACACAAAACAGGACAGTTTAATTCGGACTGCGCTGAATGAAAGCCTACACAAGACCTAGTCTCTCTGTTTTATCTTTTGTACTATCTTTTATGTGGAAAACTGTTTGTACACATAATGGTGTTTAGTAAAATGCACAAATTCAAAGAACGTTTTGTTGTAAGTTTAGCTGAAGTACTAATTTGCAGACTCAGTCATATGATTGTCTGTGGTTCTGTTTGTAGTGCCATTTAGTTTTGTGTGATTTTGAAAAGTTTTTGTACAGCTACATTAATCCTTTCTCTCCATTTGCTTTGTTGTAATTCCTCCAGGAGTTCAAAAGTGACTTTAAAACTACTCAGTAATCAATCCAAGAATGAAATCAAGAAGCTCTTGGTTTAAACAATGTCTTGTTTGATAACTGTTTTTACCCTGGCATGATTATTTTTGAGTGAATTTTAATTAGTCTTGAATATACAGGTCTGTGTGTGTGCATGATTTATAGCTGAACCTCTGAATCTGCTGCCATTCGTCGTAGCCATGGTACATGGGGTGAGGCACGGGGGGGCTGTTGGCAGAAGAGAAACAGAATGTGTGTGTGTGCCCGTGTATGTAGAGCTAGGACCTTCCTCCAGCTGATTGCTCGCTGTATCTGCACACAGTGGATGCACGCCTGGGGCCAGAGAGGCCGCAGTGGTGGCAAAAGGATTGTGGATGGCATGGCCATCTCATTCCACCTGAAGGATTGGCATTGGATCTTGAGCCAGGAAAAGGAGCCACGCTCCCTCTGTCTGCTGACTGGTGCCAGCTGTTCCTCATGTTTTATACCTTGATATTTTGCCATAATTAGAGGTTCTTTATCTTTGTGATTCAGTCATTGCTGTGACTGTAGTTGATGGATACCTGAGAATTACTAGCATTAAGAAATGATTATTTTTGAGTGAATTTTAATTAGCCTTGAATATACAGGTCTGTGTGTGCATGATTCTAGGTCAGTCCCGAAGATCATAATTTAAGAATCTAACTGTGAAAACTGTGTATTTTATAGGGCTTTAGCTGACATGAACAATGATGGAAGGATGGATCAGCTGGAGTTTTCAATAGCTATGAAACTTATCAAATTAAAACTGCAAGGCTATCAACTCCCATCTGCGCTGCCTCCTGTCATGAAGCAGCCACCTATTGCTCTATCTGGTGCACCAGGGTTTGGTAAGCTCTTTGTTGTCTATCTAGTTAGCTTGTATTGTAGCAACCTAACTATAATTTGATTTTCATTTTGCAGTGTCTGAAACAACAATGCTTGGACTCAAAAACAAATGCTTTCACTTGCATGCACATGCTGAAAGAAAAATGTCAGTGAACTTTGAACACCCAACTATGCTGTATAAAATAAGTTGAGGTCATGTTTGCTTCAGGTCTTTGACCGCTCCCTGTATGTTCCAAATGGAACTACCTGAAAGGAGGTGGCAGTGAGAAGATGTTAATCTCTTTTCTCAGGTGACAAGTGATATCACAAGAGAAAATAATCGTAAGTTTTATCAGGGGAGGCTTAGACTGGATGTCAGAAAGAATTTCTTTCTAAAGAGGATGGTCAAACACTGGAACAGGGTGCCCAGGAGTCCCCATCTCTGGTTGTATTCTAGAAACTATGGATGTGGCACTAAGGGATGTGGTTTAGAGATGGGATTTTGTAGGTTCAGCTGAGGGTTGGACTTGATGGTCTTGAAGGTCTTTTCCAATCACAGAAGTGATTCTGCAATTCTATGTTGAAAATATCTAAATGAAGCTGAACCTCATGTTTTATACCTTGATATTTTGCCATAATTAGAGGTTCTTTATCTTTGTGATTCAGTCATTGCTGTGACTGTAGTTGAAGGATGCCTGAGAATTACCAGCATTAAGAAAAGTCCTATTTGCTAAGTTATCACTTCCATAATTTCACAGTTTTGATTACTGACTAAGAAATAAGTGAAATTGAACAAAACAAATGCTGCTCTAAGTAAGAAAAGGTATAATAAAATCAGCTCTCCAAGAAATCCAGCAAAATCCATGATTTTCTTTTTTGTTATTTACTATAAACTCAGCTGCTTGCGTGCATCCTCATTCTTCCCATTGGCATGACTGGACCTCCTTAACCTCCTTGTTATCCATACAGCTGTGCTTCCACCTAAAATACCTCATTACTGTGCTTTATCTGATTAGCTTTGCAGTGTTTCATCTTCACAATAGTCTGCAAGCAGTTATCCCAGAGCTTGTTCCTTTCTGCTGTGGCTAAACGTGAACTTTGGGTTCATTATTCACTGCAACCTGACAGTATTACTCTTCCTTTAGTTCAAGGCAAACAGTTGTTTTCTTCAGCAAATGCTAATTAATTTCTTTTTGTCAGTGTTACATTCAGTGTGATCTTAAATGCTTACATTATGAAATGGTATTTTGTTCCCTCTACATTGTTTTATGTTCCCCTGCCATGCTAATGGTGCAGCGGATTGTAAGAGTGTGTGAAAGTTTCCATTTCAATTCACTGTTTAATCCTGTGTTTACTTCCTGGAGTGCAGGCTGACATTAAATTTTTATACCACGTTGGGAGTCTCCAAATTAGAAAAAAAATGTCTCCTTTTCTCCCCCATAGGTATTGGGGGCATTGCCAGCATGCCATCTCTTACAACTGTTGCCCCAGTGCCAATGGCATCTATTCCAGTAGTAGGAATGTCTCCGCCATTAGTATCTTCTGTTCCTGCAGCAGCAGTGCCTCCCCTGGCTAATGGAGCTCCTGCTGTTATACAGCCTCTGCCTGCTTTTGCTCATCCTGGTATGCTACATACTGAACCTCTGTGTACAATCTTGCTTTTAACAAATCGTTTTGCCATTTTCTTTAAATCCAGGGGAATACATACATGAAATTAGCCATTCTAACTTACTTTAAAGAATGATTTGGGTTAAGGACTGTAATTTGATTTAGCCCAATGTAATTGTTTAGCAGACATGTATGAAAGTTAAAACAAGGCATGTGGGACATGGAGTGCTGTAGCAGTCAGTCACATTGAGCAATGGTGTGATAAATCAAGTTTGCCTGTAAGCTGTTGACTAGAAATTGGACCTCTGCTCCCTATTTATAACTGAAGTACTGCTGTTTCTTGGTATTATTTTAAAGTAGTGAAATACATATAAGTTCTATCATTAATTCTAATACAATTTGTTAACGGGAGTGTATACATAAAAATACAAATGTGAGAAAACACGAGAAAAGCACCTATGCGTTTTCACTATTCTGTTAGACACTGTTTATTTCTCTTAGTATTTTTAAAGTCACACTATCAAAAGAACCATAATGCTTTTTTTTGGCATTAGGAACTAAAGGAATGTCATTGAAATTACACACTTTAAAAAGCTTGTACTAAATAGGGGTGATGCCTTATTTTACAGCCACATTGCCAAAGAGTTCTTCCTTTAGTAGATCTGGTCCAGGATCACAGCTGAACACAAAACTGCAAAAGGCACAATCGTTTGACGTGGCTAGGTAAGTTGATGTAGAGTGGATGGATGTGTGTCTTTTTCCTCATAGTTAGAAGAACTGTTTCTCTTTAACAAAACTATTCTCTGAAAAAAATACGTGTAGAAATTGATTCCCATTGAGATACTACTTCAGGATTTTGTAGCATGCTGTGGTTTTTCAAAGAATGTTGCGTGAGTACTGAGCCGTTAAAATGTAATAAGCTGTTACAGTAAGTGTTGATACTATTTGCAAGCTCTTGAAAACTTAGTTTTTAGCAAAGCATTTGATTCTGTAAGCATACTTTGCACTGTTCACTACTGCACTCCTCATTTTAGCATGGAAAAATAAGTAAAATTCTTTAAAATTAGCAAGTGTAGGATTGCTTTTTAAAAGAAATATATTCAATATGTCTTATATTTTAAATGAACGTCATTATTTGTTATATGTACTCAAAAGCTTCTCGTTAAAAATCACCTGAAGAACTTTAAATGTATTTCAAGGCCTAGAAGAAAGTATGGTTAGGCAAAATATGTTGTCATCTGTAGAAAGTGTATCTAATAACGTGGAATTTCTTCAGTTTCTTCAGAAGAGTTAAGATGGTAATTTTGCCAAAATATTTATTATTGGAAGAGTTAAATCCATTAAATTGGAATTAGAAGTTGAAGAGGTGGCTTTTTTCTAGCTGCAATTTAGTTTTGATTTGGAGAATGGTGAATTTCAAGATTCTTCTTATGGTGCTTTTATTAGCCTACCATCAGTAAACTCTTGGCATATGTGGGATTTGGCATATGTAAGACCACTCTTTTGTCCTTCAGCATTTCTTTTACTACCATTGGAGTATCCATGAAGGAAAGTTTGGGTTTTTAACAGTACAGTAACATTACATCACAGATCGAGTTACATGCATGCATAAAACAAAAGTAGACGTACTGTGTGTAGAAACTCCACATCTAGCAAAGCTGGTGAGAGAGGAATTCACATGGATAAATGTATATATTTTTTATATGAAGTTTCAATTTTTATTTTCATTATTTAAGAAAAAAAAGCAGCTTCTTTTTGTTTTGCTCTCAGGAAAGAGAATATTAAAACTTCTGGAGGAGTAGAAATAGAGCTATTAGCATTTTGGGCTCTTGTCATGTGAAAATAGGATATGAAGTCAATTAGTAGCTTGTTCACGTAATCCTCAGCTCAATTTTGAAAGGTCTTACTCGTTGGACCAGGGGAAAGGGATTCAGTGGGTTTGCTTTAATTTTTCTTTGTAATTTGGTATGCTTTCAGACATAATATAATCTGCTTTTTTTGTGTTTTTTTTAACTTCAACAAAAAAGGGGAAAGTTTTAATGTGCCTAAAAACAGAAAAACTACACGCGTTGGTTTGCAGTAGGAAGACTTGTCAGCCTTCAAGCATGGGAAATTATAGCTACAAATAACAGCACTCAGCCTACTTAGAATTAGAAATATTGCATTTGTATGTTGAGTTCTGTAAAGAAAAAATCTGATTGTTTTAAAGTGTATTTCTTTCACACTTTTTAATGTTTTTAGTAGATTGCACATTTGTTTTCCTTAATCAGCTTATGTATTATTTGACTAAGACAAGCAGTTAAAGACAGGGTAAAATGAGATATTACTTCCACTGACTGTGGTAAAGCATTTCCTATCATATGTTTCAGTAAAATTTTTTAGCTCCTCTAAACTGTTGAGGTCACTGAACTTCTCTTCTAGTAAAGAAAAAAAGTAAAGATCTTAGGCCTGTCATTTATCTTTTCTAAAAAACATCTAAGCCACTGAGTCATGACAGTTTTCAAACAAGAAGTCAAAACTTTTGTAGTTTCAGGAATAGAAAGGGATGTTTGTGAAAACAAGCAGTACAGGCATGAAACTTGACCTCTTTGCAGCACTTCATCCTCTTGTATTTGTCACTTCATGCAATTAAATGTAATAAAGTATTTTTTCTCTCTTCCCTATCCATTTTCTCATTCCAGTGTGCCTCCTGTGGCAGAGTGGGCAGTACCTCAGTCATCAAGACTGAAATACAGACAGTTGTTCAATAGCCACGATAAAACAATGAGTGGACACTTAACAGGTATTGAAACAGTTAATGTTGTCTCCTTTTTTGGAGACAATTGTAACAGCATGCTAAATGCTGTTCAGATAGTAAAGAAACTTTCATCTCTATGTTATTACCAGCAATATTTTTCAGCTAAAATTCTCCAGCTGCTCAACGGTGCTTGGGAGCAAGTGCTCATTATAGTTGGGATCCTTTTTTTCTTTCTTTCCTGAATTTTCTGTAAAAATAAGTTGGCACTGGGAAATAAAGATATAGTGGGCTTTGTGAAAACTTCTGCAGCCATTTCCAATGTTTGATGTATCTGCTGATAGGGGTTCCTACCCAGTTTCAGAAGTAAAATTGAACGATGCACTGACTTAGATTTACTAGTTCTGTGAACATCTTTTGTGGCAAAGAGGTGTTTGGTTGTTGTTGTTGGTTTTTCTTGTTTGTTTTTTTTTTTTTTTTTTTTTTTTTTTTTTTTTTTTTTTTTTTTTTTTGTTTTTTTGTTTTTTTTTGTCTGACTGAGTGTTATGAAGGAAGTGTTATGCATTTTTAAATACTTTCTTATTGAGGGACGTGGGAGTAGTAGTATGTGTAAGCCTGTTCATGCTGGTAACATCACTTTGGTATTAGCTGTTCAAATCTAACTTCTGCTTGTGCATTAACTTCTTGGTAAAACAAGAAAAGGAGAAAATTGCCTATTTGTTTATTAACCCTTGTTTTATTTTGTTAGGTCCGCAAGCAAGAACTATTCTTATGCAGTCAAGTTTACCCCAGGCTCAGCTGGCTACGATATGGTAAAGATAAATCTAACAATTTCTACCGAACTGGAAATTGTACTTAAACCTCTGTCCTCTCCTGTATTGTTTTCCCTCATTTTCAAACTCTCTCTATCATTATATTCTTCTCTTTTTAGTATGTAACTTTATAAAACAAAACCTGCGCTGCTTTGCCTATGTTAGATTATTCCTCCTAACCAAAAAAGAGTATTTTGCACTATTCATACAGATGCTTAGTATGTTGGATTTCAGTTATGGGGACTCCAGGTAGAGCAAATGCTTAGATTCCTATCTTATACATCCTCAGCCATATGTGGTACAGCACCAGTGAAAGTTACAGATTTGCACAGCTAGTACAAAAGAAAGCTTAACCTAGAACCATACTTTTTTGGAGGCTTCTCTGCCTTTTATGTGAGTTTCTAGGGCCTTATTTGCAAAGATGCGGGATTACTTATCATTGTGGATGTTAGGAGGGTTTGTTTTGGATTCTCTTTTCCTTTCAAGTTCTCATTTGCCAAATTTGTTGTGGTTTTACTATCACATGGATTAGTCTCTTTTTGCCTTCGCACTTTGGAAGTCTGCTCTATGTAATGTGTAATGTTTCTACTTTATTAATTAGTAGCACTTGATTTATGGTTATCTGTGGTGATTTCTCAAATAACTTTCATACTGATTTTAACTTCCAGTTTCCCTCTACAAGTTGTTTCTAGTTGATCTCTTTAATTGTCAGTCTTTCCTCAAAAAACACTGTCAACAAAATAATCCATCTGACTTCTGTTGTGTGAGGATGTCAACTCTGTTGTAACTGTAATGTAATGTCATAGTACTGTAGCTTTCTTTTCTAAGCACTGATGTTTTCGTTATATCTTTAAAAAGCACCCTCTTCTTTGTTTCCTAACAAGGCTACTATGAGGAAAAAATAGCAACCCAATCATTCCTGTTAGCCAGAAAGTTCTGTGCTTGTTGCCAGTGCTTGAGTTGGTTGCATGGGGAATCCAGAAGTTCTAAACATATTATAGCAGTAATTTTTGACATTCAAAATTGCCTGGTCTATTGAGATAAGGAATAGACTTTACAGCTTTTTCTAGCCTATGTATTGCTGTCTTTCCTGAATTTATTCTGTCACCAAAGCCACTGTTACTGCTCCCTGGGGCAAGAGTTTTCAGTCAGTATTGAGGTTGGCTTCAATTTGTTTTGGGAGTTGATTTGCTGTCTCATAGGCACACAAGGTAAAGTACTGATGTGCAGAATGCAGCTGTTCTGAAGCTGCTGTTTCAGTTTTGGGGGGGACAAGGATGTGGACTCAAACTGTTAGCGTATCAAATTTATATCCTTACATGCTAAATTTTCATTCTGTTATCTTGTTCCTGTGCCCCAGTCTGATTACCACTAATAAGCATAGATCAGATGAGGCTATGATAACTTTCCAAATTTGAATTCCATAACGAAAGTCCTGTACCTTAAGACATTAAAAAAATATATCAATTGCTCACCTTAGATTTTTCATGGCATCATTGGGGATTTTCCTGTTCTGGTTAGAGTCACAGGCATGACGGAGAAAAAAGAAGCTGATGTTTAGACTGTTAAATTTTGTCAAAAATCTTCATATGAAGGTGGTGTTGGAGATTTCATGAATCTGTTGAAGCACTGGATTTAGGCCATCCATTTTTTCTTGCGTGTGCGTAATGATAAAATGTTTTTGTGCTTTTCAAGGTTACAGTGTTAATGGTTTTGATTTTAATGCAGATATGCTCTCAGATATGCAAGGTGAGAGTCTTCATGGAAGATGTAAAACAGACCAAAAATTCTACCAAACGTCTGAACCTTCATTTTTTGAATTATACTGCGCAGTGGATATTCGCAAGGTGTCCAAGAATACCCCATTGATTAACATTACCTACATAGCTTATAGTACTGGCAGCATTCAAATAAAGTGGAAGTCGTGACTGTATGGATAGTTCCAGGGAATATATACAAGAGAAATGTGGAAAATTGTGATGCATTTGGATTTCACTTTTCATTTGTTAAAAAAACAACAAAATAGTGTGAAAAAATAATGGAAAAAAATGAATTAATTTGGAACTGAATATTCAAAGTTGTACTTTTTAACAGTGATTTTATATCTTTAATAATTTATTTATAGTGTATCTTTCCTTTAAAAAGGAATCTTTCAGATATTGATCAAGATGGAAAGCTTACGGCTGAAGAGTTTATTCTGGCTATGCACTTAATTGATGTAGCTATGTCTGGTCAGCCACTGCCACCTGTACTGCCTCCAGAGTATATTCCACCTTCATTTAGGTAACTAATTATAATTCTGGAATGTTGTTCACCAATTTTTGTTTCATGTGGGAAAGCTGTCCTGTGAGTGTGAAAAGCAAGATACTGGAAAATAGCCCTTCTTGGTTTTGTGCTGCATAGATGGCAGACAATGCCTTCTCATTGGGAAATGCTTGTCTACCTTTTTTTTTTTAATTTTTTATTTTGTGTTTATTAGAAGTGCTGGATAGTGGGGAAAAAGCCCTGTCACAAAAATATCCTTGTGAGAGTACAGTTTTTGTCAGTGTTTTGCTGACTCAGCCTGGCAACATGGACTTAAAGGTTTTTAGTTAAACCTTATACTTCTGTATGTGTTAGAATGTTTTAGAAGTTAAAATGTGCCCTAAATTTTCACTGTAGCAAATTCTTTTTTATTATTATTATTTTTTAAAGTTTTATTTGTGAATAGTAATGCTGAATCAGTACTTCTCTTTCTCTATTTCAATTTTTTTTGGTGGAGAAACGGGTGGGAAGACAAGTTGCAGAAATGGAAGGAAATGTTTACATGTAGTCACAGCTTCATGCTCTTAAAGTATAGTCTTGAAGATGATAATTTTTTGTTTGTTCTGTGTTGTGTCTTGCTTTCAGTTTGACTATAGTAAGCTTTTTCTGTCTTTGCAACTTTCATTATAGTTAAATTCACTATTTCCCCAGCTTCAGACTGGTCATAAGTAAAAGATCTTAGAGAGAGTTAAATGCATCTGTAGGCTACTTGATGCTTAGATCACCAGTGTGTGCTGTTGGTACTCTGAACAGTGCTGTTATCATAATGACAACTGCAGAGTAAAATACTTCAGGCAATGAGAATTAAATGTCACTAACCATTACATCATTGCATTTAATTTATGATTCCATCATTAAATAATCAGTAAATTTGATAGGTGTAGGTTCTTTTAAGCAACTTGGAATTATCCTTTTGTTGACAGAAGAGTACGCTCTGGTAGTGGCGTATCTGCTGTAAGTTCAGTATCTGTAGACCAAAGGTTACCAGAAGAACCAGCATTAGAAGAAGAACAGCAGCAACTGGAAAAGAAATTACCAGGTGAGCAAGCATAAATAGAGATGTGTTGTGTGCTGTTATTAGAGAACATCAGGTTATAAGCTCTGAAGTTACAATCATGTTTTAAGAAATATTTTCTTTTCATATCAGTTTGTCAGAGGCATAACCAACACAATATTTCTTGGTTCAGCTGATTCCTGAATCATTTGTTCCTAACAGTGGAGAAAGGAACGGCTTTCAGGCTGCTTACCTTAGGTACTTTCAATAGGGGAAGCACTTTTGCAGCCCTCTTATAGGACTGCGATTAAAACTTTACTACCTCAGTTTTCTGTCTTATATGCAGTATAATTTGATGTATATAGAGAGGGGCTTTCACTTCTGTCTGTGTAACAAAATGCTTCCTTTATATAAGCTTTAGCAGCTCTGTTTAAAAAATAAAAGAGGGAAGCATAAAGTCTCAATGATGCTAAATGGAAAGAAACTTTTTTATACTTCTGGTCATCCCCTCTTGTTCTTTTTACACTTTTTGCTCTATTCAATTCTAAGATGACCAGAATCTCAAAGAGTTGAATATGTAGCAACATGGTAGATTTATACAGTGCCAAGATAATGCTTTTCTGTTTTGTTCTAAACACAGCTCTCTATTAGACTTGAGAGGCAGCTCTTTCCTGCATTGATTCTTCCATGTGGTTATCTTTTTTAGTCATGCTTACTTAGCCTCTGCTACTTTGCCCTGCTTGAGATTAAACTGACTGGTCATTATACTGTCTTTTCTTGAAGACTGGTGCTCTGTTTTTCATCATCTAGTCTTACTGCACTGATATTGATTAAAGGAAGGCTTGCATAGCACATCTAGTATCACTCAGTCACAGAATGGGTGAGGTTGGAAGGGACCTCTGTAGATCATCTGGTCCAAGACCCTGTTCAAGCAAGGCCACCTTTAGTAGTTCCTGAATTTTGTTTAGTCTTTGAACTATGAATTAACATTCTCTGGGCTTGGTGACCTGTTAATATTTTGGAGTTTATTTTTGTTCTAAAGCCATTTATTTGCAGTTCGAGAACTACGTAGAGTGCATAAATCTTTCACTATATTTGATGTATAGATTTTCTGCTGCAAAGATCACTCACATAGTGAATGATTTCTTGCTTCTTAATTGGTTTTACTAAATCTAACTGGTTGGGGTTGTTTTTTTTATTAAGACTTTTGGAAGAGTTTTTATTACTAGTTTTATAAACTTTTAGAAGCTATCCCTTCAGCACTGTAACATAAACCAACAGCTATTGATTTCATTTTATTAGTTCTTCTGTTTTGATACTTTGTTGTCTTGATTTTGTTGAGTAACCGTACTAGTCTGTAGACTGTAAGAGGGCAGTCCTCTTAGAGCTTGGTGTTTCATCCTGTTGGTATATGATTTCTTTGAGCTTTTTTCTTAAACAGTGCCTATGCTGATGACAAGCATTTTGCTCTTCTATCCATTTCTTTTAAATGATTTCTTTGACAGTTTCTTTTTTCCCCCTTTTTCCTTTCCTTCTAAAGCAATGGTGTTTATAATCCCATTCTGTATCTTATTGGTCTGTATCTTAATATCCTTTGAATCTAGTGGCTAATTTGAAATAAATAAATTTTCTCAGAGTCAAAACATTAAAATGTTTGAATTTCTTCTTCTGTGAAAATTGGTTATAGGTATTAGGAAAGAGGCTCAAACTTAAGAAAAGACAAGAATTCAACTGGTTGAGCAGACGTTGGGCCAACATGTCAAGCAGTTGGCACGTTCACACTTTGGAGTGAACATGAACTACCTCTTGATTCAGCTTGCATGTCAATAGTTGAGCACGAGGGAAGAGAAATATAGAGTACAAAGTATGGGAATGGGACATAGAGGGTAAGAAAAGAAACAGGAGGTGATGTGGAGGGAATAATTTGGAGGAACCATGAGAGGGGGGTCCAGGGCATGTAATAGAGAAAGGATAACCCCTGATATTGCAGAAGAATGTGAGGGAACTTGTGCTGGAACTGATGGCATTGTTTTAGGACAGTAAATGATGAGGATGTGTATGAGCAGGGTTCTAGTCTTTGTGAGACTTCTACTCAACAAATTAATTAATCAAGCCATTTCTTTTCCTGACAGTAATGAGTTTATGAGAATATCAAGTTTAAATACATTCTGATCATTTGCATAACAGCTTTTAAATAACATATTTGTCTGAATTCTTTGCCTTTCTTGTAGTAAAAGAAGGGCTGGTTCTTGTGCTGTTACTATTGTCAGTGTATAGAGGAACTTCAGATCATATGTCTGCACTGAAAAACGGGGGCTAAAATTCACTCTAATTACCTCAGGTTGTGGGTTTAAAGGGAACTACGATATAAAAGGTAATGATAGAACCTAGGATTGCCTATAGAGCTGTACTATCAGTAGTTGAATGCTGTTCCTAGTATTGTTGGAAGATTATTTCGCTTTGATTCAGCATACGTTGGATTTTTTTTCAAGACCAAAAAAAAAAGTTTAATTCTCCTTTGCCCCATGTTTCCACAAATTAAAGTTACATTTGAAGATAAAAAACGTGAGAACTTTGAACGTGGCAATCTAGAACTTGAAAAACGGAGGCAGGCTCTCCTGGAACAGCAACGGAAAGAGCAAGAGCGTCTAGCACAGCTGGAGCGGGCAGAGCAAGAACGGAAGGAACGTGAGCGACAAGAGCAAGAGCGGAAAAGGCAACTGGAGCTAGAGAAACAGCTGGAAAAACAACGGGAATTGGAACGGCAGAGAGAAGAGGAGAGGAGGAAAGAAATAGAAAGAAGAGAGGTAACTGGATGAAAGGAAGGTGGCTATGTACTGAGATCTGTATTTGTTTAGAACAGAATAGAATGTGTACACTAAATATTTTACCATCTTTATTTTTAGTAAGCAAACATTTAAACAATTAACTTATATTTTGGGGTTTTTGAAGGGAAGAAAAGAGTTTGGCGATTTCTTTCTTAATTTTTCACGTGAAGTGAAGATGAGATCTTTAGATCTAGGACAGTGTGTGCCTAGTTTCTGATTTCTTTCAAAATAATACTAGTCCTTCTCTTTACTGTAAAGAGATGTTTGAATTAATGATGAAAGATTTCTTGGCATTGGTGACATTCATGATTTTCCTGTGTTGAGGCTATTTTTTTAAAGAAAACACATACTGGTTAACTTAACAAATCTGTTACATTCTCACATTGCCAATCAGTGCAGTGCAGTAGCATTTGTCTGTTCTTTGCAAAGACAGAGAATGCCTTATGTTAGAGAGAGATTTGATGCTATTTTGAAGAGTTTTTGAAATCTTAATGTGAAACAACTTACTAAATCAGAAAACTAGGTCTTGAACGATATTGTGTTAATTCACGTATCTTGTATCATATATCTGTACAAGTGAGGCACCAGTAGTTTCAAGCAAGCGTTTAAATGATTGAACAATTTATATGCTTAAATAGAGGTACATAGTTATTCCATAACTTAGCAGCATGTTTGTATTAACGTCTTAATCACTCATTAGAATATGAATATCAGTGATTAGAATATTTTCTCAAAATAGATTTTTTGTATCTTTTTGGTTTGATTAAATGCTGAAGGCTGCAAAACGGGAACTTGAGAGGCAGAGGCAACTTGAATGGGAACGTAATCGTCGGCAAGAACTGCTAAATCAAAGAAACAGAGAACAAGAGGACATAGTTGTTCTGAAGGCAAAGAAGAAAACTTTAGAATTTGAGCTGGAAGCTCTAGTAAGTGGTGTTGCAAAATAAATGCACAAACGTGTTAATGTCTGTGTTATAGTCCTATTTATTTTCTATAATTTCAACATTAAGTGTGGAATAGAAGTGCTTTTTAGATCCTGATTTCCATGAGAAGCATTCTGGTAAAACAAAGAGGTCTTTTTCCTTTTATCTAAAGAATGATAAAAAAAATCAGTTGGAAGGAAAGCTTCAGGATATAAGATGTCGGCTGTCTACCCAAAGACAAGAAATTGAAAGTACAAATAAATCTAGAGAACTGAGAATTGCAGAAATCACCCATTTGCAGCAGCAGCTACAGGTAAGGAAATTTTTCTAATTTTGTTCTTATTCTTGCACTTTGCCCTCATTAACTACATCAACAAAACAAAACTTGGCACAAAATATGATGTATTGTTTCTTCTATATGAGCAATTATTATAGATGGTTATTTTTAAAGTTTCTGTTTTGTTCTCCAGACATTTAGGAATTGCTTCCTACACTTGAAGGTATATCTGTGATTACAGCTTTGTCCTCATGGAATCCTTTCATATGGAATAGTAAATAAAAGGGTTTAGGGATGAGACGAATCGAATCTTGTGATGTACTCTTATTGTAGTGACTTCTGCTTCTGTGCCAAAAGGGATGACCTTTTAAAGTGACTTGATGATACTTTTGTTATTATAAAATTAAAAAAAAAAAAGTATCAAAACTTCATTTGCCGGTTAAGCCAGTCATTTCTTGGTCAAGTCCTTGCATTCTTCTTTCCTGCTTCTCTGTTTAAAATTCTGTCAGATATGAAGATAAGACTTTCTGGTTTTTTGTTTTGTTTTGTTTTGAGCATGAGTATTTTTTGGATTTTCTTCTTACTTTTTAAAACACCTCTCATTTCTATTTAGGTTTTGTGTGCATCATTACACCTGCCAACAGAAAGATGTCTTTCTTTTGGCAGCAGCTTGTTATAAAGTGTTGTTGAGGGATCGTTTTCTTACAGTATTTGTGTCCACTTGATACAAACAAGAAATGCTACAACAGGAAGCTTGTGACATTTAAGAGCTACCATAGTTAGCTTGAAATCGCATGCCTCCCTTTAACAAAATGTTCCTGTATTGCAAGCGAAAATGAAGTCAAACAGCGTTTGATGAAGTGTAGGAAATTATATCACTTTCAGCAGTACTGGCTCAGAGAAGCAAAAAGCTGGCTGTGCTTGATAAAATTCATGAAAAAGCACCCACTTACCTGGATAAGTTAAAGACTTAAGATCTTATGTGCACAGCCAATTTCTATGTGAAAGAAACCACCACTTGAATTTCCCTACCACTTAGATTCCAAAAAAATTTCTACAGAAATGATCTGAGATACAATAACTCATCATAGAAGAAGGTAAACAGCTACCTAGCAGTTGTCTTCTGAACCTAGGTAAATGCTATTTCAACAACTTGAATATATTTGACTTCCTACTTTCAAATGTAGTTTCTCTTAACTTGTTGGTTATTTTCCAACAGTTAGCCTCTGTATTCAGAAAGGGTAAGGCATCTCTTAGCTTTTGTCATTATATAACAAGGAGAAAACAATATGACAAAAAGTTGTCATTTGTTTAATAGAAAAGACCAATATGCTACAGTTGCTATAGGGTCCCATTGTAACAGGCTTCCTAAAAAAAATCATGAGAAAATACAACGTTGGTTATCAAGAACTTGGAATGAGCTTCCACAGATGAGTGTAATTAATAAAAGGTACAAATGAAAGAAAAAAATACATGAAATTGAACACTGTTAGGAAACAAGTAATGAGAGGATAGACCATCTGCAAGTAGATGTGGGTAAGTAACTTATTGAGTAATACTAGATTAATAAAAGGACAGTATTCTCTGTAGAATCTTCAACGGTGTTTATTTTTAGTTTTCTTGGCTGGTTGTAGGTGTGCTTTCCTTCTCTACTGCTTTTACACATCAATTTTAGCTTCATCTATATGAAAGAAAAAGTAAAGGACATCAGAAGGATTCTTCGCTTTCCTAATATTTAATTTATTCTACTTATGAACAGATCACAATGATAAAAAAGCAGATTGCTTTTTTTTTTTTTTTTGAGCATTTTGACACTACTCTGAAATTTACCTCTTGTTTTAGAATCACTATCTTTGTAGCGGCTTTTAGCTTTCTCTCGTTGCTGTTAGATGGTTTGTACTCAATAAGGGGTAGGGCACTTCTAACTATGCACTTTTTAAATTGCTTCATTCACAGTGACTGTGACAGCACTTCTGTAAGGAAAATTACATTTGACTCTCTTGGTGGTTGTTTTGTTGGATTTTTGGGTTTGAGTTTGAGGGCTTTTTTCTTTGTTTGTTTGTTTTATGTTGATAACAATAGCTACAGCTTTGTGGAACTCTTTTCTTAGCAGCTCATTGTTTTCTACCACTAGTATTTCAGTTAGTTTTGCTTGAGGGGTTCTGAAATTATGATTTCAGAAAGAAATGCTACTAGTTAGCAGAAAAGGTCAATTCTATCTGGGGAGAACCTAGAAGAATGGAAAGATTTTTCCTGAAATAGATGAGTTTCTCCAATATCCTTTACATTTTACTGTCTAATTTATAGAGGAAAGAGAAGAGCAGTATGTGACTTTTATAAAGGCTCCAGTAGATTAAAAGTTAATATTGTGAATTCTTTTTGTAAAATATTATATCTTTACTTGGAAGCATTATAATTTAATACATGTGACAGTTGGCATGAAAAGTGAGATAATTAAGAGAAGTAATTATTCTTTAACCTATTAATTAGTTTCAAGATGGATTTCATTAAAATTTTTGGAAGAAATTTTGTAACAGTTAATACAGCATGATGAAAATCTGTACTAGTTACGTGAATCTCTGGTATCTGGTAGAGTTATATTTGCAGGGGTGTTTAAACCAGATGCATACTGTCTGCAGGGCTTCCGCTAGTTTTTTGCAGAGGGTTTTTTTGCCTCCTTGATGAACAGTTCGGTTCCCAAGTAATATGACTTTTCTTTGAAGCACTGGGTGCAGAGTATGTGACAGAGACTTACAGTGCATTGTGATATCTCAGTTTCTCATTTACCCTCTTGCTCAGAGCATAGAGTCAGAAAAGAAAATTTTCCCTCATTGGATGTAAGATGACTTGTTTTTGATAGCTTTTTTTTTTTTTTTTTTTAACTTCTGCTGCTATATAGAAATTTCTTGTTGCATGAAACTACAGTGTTAGTGATGCCATTAATTTCTTCCATCTGTTTCCTCAGTAGAACTAATGGATACAGAAGACATTCTTGGACTAGATCACTGTTGCACTGTTGTCTGTGATAGCAGGAAACAACTTGATCCTCGTGGTCCCTTGACATTCTCTTTTCTTAGATACACTCAAAATTATTCTGGGTATTCAAATTACTGGCCTGGATTTCAGTACTAGTCTGCCCATTAAAAGCAAACACATTAAGTTTACATTCTGCTCTAAAATACTGTCCTATATTACTTTCTGCACTTGTAGAATGTAATTTCTCTGTAAATCCTGGATCAATTTGAGATTTGTTCTGCTATTTTTCTTAACTAAATGATTCCTTGATTGGAATGATAGAATTTTGATATCTTTGTATCTAGAGGACCAGTTTCCTTTCCTTTTTTCTATTGAAGTTAATCCCTCAGTACATATAGTTGATTAGAGGCCGTCTTTCTTCAGTAATACTATTTGAAAACTCAATTTCCGGTATAGCTGTGTGCAAGACTATATTTCTTTTAAAATTTTTCATCTCAAACTGTGACATGGAGCTTGCAGGTATTTCAGTGGGAAGGGAGTTTGGTGGAAGGGTGAAGCATAAATGCAGAGAACGGTATTTTGCATGTAGTTTTAAAACATGTCAGTGGTGATTTATTGGGAACAAGGCAGACCTCCTCAGACAGATGAGTTGGAAAATGCTGCATTATATATTGCTGTTCCTTTTTTGTTTCTAAATAAAGAAGACAGGCCCATGATAGAACTATCTGGCCTTCATTATATCCTTGAAGAGCTGAAAAGTGCTACAGACAATAGAGCTAAACAGTCAGACATGTGACTCCTGATAGTCAAATGCGTAGCTTATCTTAATTTTTAGACCTTATGAATTTATGGAGACCTCGACTGCTGTGCTGAGTGTGTCTTCTGAACGTAAGGAGATTACAGGTGTCTGTGGTTGTTGCATAATCATAAGATCTGAGCCAAACACTGGGGTCTTCAAGACTGCCATGAGTTAGGTGGGACAACTATAAAGTCGTGCCACTGTGTTCAAGCTTGTGTTCTTGTGGTGAGAAGTAGAAACTTTTCATGAGTTGCTATGTGACATTTGTTGTTAGGGTTGTATTATTTCATTCACAGTCCTTTGTGACAAATTGAAATTGTCAGATGTTCTTCAAATGCCTGCAGTTCAAGGTAGCTGCTGAAATGAACTACGTAGTTTGTGTGAGAGATGAGACATTGACAATTGAACAGCTTTGTACAATAAGCTGTTTTACATCATGCTTCTATAATTTGCTGTGATAACTTGAAGCTGGAGGTCAAGGCTTGATCCTCCAAAAAGAGCAAAGACAATATATAATCCACAAAAGGATGAATTTCTCAGAGTCTCCTATAATTTTGGTACAAAATCGTACAAATGTATGTTGAAATCTAGAGGCCTTAATCCTCTTTCACGAGTGCTAAATATAGAGCTTTAGAGATCTCTATTCTCATCTAACAGTTTGTGTTGCATATCTTTGTCCATAATATTAGGTGAAAGCCTTTATTTTCTTTGCTTTGTATAAACTGATAATATTTTGTCCTACTTATTATTGTAGTTAATGTTCTTTTATTAAAATGAGAAGTAAACTGTTAAGAAGTGTTTTTCTAACATATTTAGATACAAGAAAAGATGACTATATCTCTCTGTCCTCAGTTTTAATTACTTCTAATCCAACTTACATATTCAATGAGAAATCAGTCCTTAGGTAATAAACTTAAATTTGATATTCTTACTTTTTCCTATTCAAAAAAAAACAGGACAAATAGACAGAGAACCATTTCTGAGTGGAGGTACCATACAGATGGCGTTTCTATAATAGCAATAATACATGATTAACTGTGTGGGAAAGTAAAAGGCGATTTCAGAAGAAATTAAAATGAAAGCTCTTATGACTGTAGTCGTCATCCATCACTTACCACTCTGCATTTTTATTGTCTTGTATTCTCTTCCCTTGTCTTCTTTTCAGGAATCTCAGCAGATGCTTGGAAAGTTGATTCCAGAAAAGCAATTGCTCAATGACCAACTGAAGCAGGTTCAACAGAACAGTTTGCATAGTAAGTATATTTTTTTGTAAGTCTAAATCTGTTTTTAAAAGCCATTACATTGCATTACACAGCATACTCTGTAAGATTTTCTATGTTGCAAGATACAATTTGAAAAATGTTGTGTGCTGTGCCATGAAATTCTCAATGTATGAAAATATTTATTTCATAATATATTTAAAAACAGGAGATTCTCTTCTTACTATCAGAAGAGCCTTAGAAGCCAAGGAGCTAGCCCGTCAACAGCTTCGAGACCAGCTAGATGAAGTAGAAAAAGAAACCAGATCTAAACTTCAGGAAATTGATATTTTCAATAATCAGCTGAAGGTAATCTGAAACTTTTAATCTCTCTCCTAAATGTTCAGTCAATAAATTTAGTAATTTATCATGGAGAAGTATATTGAACTAAAATGATTGATTTAGAATGTCAGTGTTAGCAACATTGTGAAATCTAATATTTTTGTTTTTGAAGAAAATACTACTTAACATTCAAAGTAAGAATTTGAATAAACTTAATCTGCATAATATACCTAAGAATAAACTTGAAGTCTGATTCCAGAGCTGCAACTATAAGTATTAAATCACTATTTTCTACCCCTATGCATTGGAAGAACTACATGACTACAGTGGGTCATCAAATCTGCTGGAATCAGTGCTTCAATTTCAAATATTTGTTGAAGTTGCTTGTTTTCCAACTAACACATAGAGTTACTTATCTACTGTTTGTCAGAGCATACTTGTTCATGAATGTAGTTGTCTGTTGTTTGTGGTTTCATACTTTATTGATTAGTCTTTTGTTGAAACTGTGTGATTTTGTTTATTTCTGCACAAGAAAATTACAGAAGTTGCAAAAGTCAGCAGAGGAAGAGTTACTCAGAGGGAAGTTATAAATCAGTCTCTAGTTAGAATCACTTACTATTAAATAAAATAAAAACTGTTTTACTATTTACTATTTTACTATTTACTATTAAATTAAATAAAAATACTGTCATTGTTTTTTTTTTTCCCTAGCAAAATATTCCAATGCATAAGTACTTTATTTGCTATTTTTTATCTTTATTTTTATTTTTTATCTGTTGGCTTCCACTGAAAGCTGACAAGAAAAATTCTCAATTTCCTGCAAGACAAATCAAGTTGTGCTACTGGTATTTAGAAGGAAAAGCACAATGATCAATATATTAATATTTCTGTAGTTCTTTTGAAATTAGATCAATTATGACTATAATACATTTTAAGAAGGAAGGTGAGTTGGAAGTTATGCAACAGATAGCTTTTTTAAATCTTAAAATTACTCACTGTAGGAAAAATGAAAAGCTGCAGATGATAACACTACCTGTTTCAAGGCAGGGAGGTAGAAAGTGAAGAATCTCTGAGAAGACATAACATACATAAAACTGAACTAAATATTCAGTTCACTTTAAAAGAAAACAGAACAGTTTACCTTACTAGCATTTTCTTTGTATACTCTATGGACACATTTTATCATGTTGTGCTTTCTAGCTGATTTTTTTTTTTTTTAATTGATACATTTTGAACCACATAGAAGATAAATGTGACCAAAGGATACTCATTCTAAAATTAGCATCAGCACTTGGTTTGATAATAGGTGACCCGAAGAGTGAATAAATGGGTGGAAAGGGGGTGTATGCGAATAATCTTAGTTCCGTGGCACTAAAAAACTCCAAGCATCTACATTTAATTTGGTAAATACGAAAGGACTCAATAACTAACAAGCTAAGAATTAGAAAATGAAAATTGACATTTAACGAAGACATTGATTTATCAGAGTGTTTGCCATCTATCTTGGTACAATGTGTAATTGTAAGCTATTTCACAGCTTACTGGGAGAATTGACTTCTGTGTTCAAATCTTAGTATTTAACATTATAACTTTAAATGCTGAAAATTAATGATGTGGAAAGATTTTGGGAAAACATCAGCAGCTTTTCTTTTACTGAAAACATTGTGTTCTTGATTTCATTATGTGTAGACACAGTGCTTAATAGGATGACCACTTTGCAATGCTGAATTTTACTATTTTTGCCTTGCTGCAGATTCCTACTCTTGCTTGGAGGTGAATTTAAGAAGTCAAAATGTGGCTTTGGGGCAGTTTTACTAATGAAACTGAAAAGTGGGAACTTAGTTCAGAGAGAGTTGTATCTTCTCCCTTTTGTAGTTCTGTTGAATGTGTAAGATGCATTTTTGGAGACCTGAATATCTTTATTACTAGATTTAAACATCTGCATGCAAATACATGCCATTTCCTGGGCTCAGCGCAGGATGGTGATCATAGAATCATAGAATGGCTTGGGTTGGAAGGGACCCCAAGGATCATCAAGCTCCAACCCCCCTGCCGCAGGCAGGGCCACCAACCTGCAGATCTGGTACTAGATCAGGCTGCCCAGGGTCCCATCCAACCTGGTCTTGAACACTTCCAGGGATGGAGCATCCACAGCCTCTCTGGGCAGCCTGTGCCACCATCTCACCACTCTGTAAAGAGCTTCTCCCAGACATCCAATCAAAACCTTTCCTCCTTCTGAATCCCATTGACAGAGAAACTGCTTAGAAGACCCTGTGTATGCAGCACTATTTTAAGGGCCATTTACTCTTACTGAGGGAGCTCTCAGAATATTTTGTATGTGAGTCTGTACACAAAGCTAGTGAAAAGAGTTCCTGAAACTCTTAGTTTGGTTACAGTTTATGTGAAGTAGAAGTTCTGCTCTTTAATCAAACCAGATCATAGCTATGTCTTAAGTAAAAATACTGCACATTAGTCTAGGAACCTGAATAATTATCTGATATTTTTAACATAAACAATCAAAAACTGATGACGACCTTAAGATGCTACCATTGGAAAGATGATCTTTTTTTTCCAATTTTTAGTAATAATTTCCACAACTAAAAGTGGAATGACTTGCTTATTTACTTAGTGATATTGTGCGTAAACATTACATGTTCATTTGGTGCTAAAATATTATACAATTTATATAATTATCAGTCAGCTGTATAGTGTTTATGTTAAAATGTAAAACATTTTCAAATAATGTATCAAAAAATTCAACCATATGAGCTCTAAATAAAAGTTTATTTAACTTAAAAACCAAAGAGAACTATGCAAAAATAGGATGTATTTATTGGAAATGTATTGTTATGAAATAAATGAATTTAAAACACAATTTTTAACCAAGGACTTTCCTAAATTATCTTGTATGTTTAAAAATAATAGGTTTTTTTCTGTGATGATCTACTCTTCTGTTGTGCTCTAATGTACTGAGAGATGCACGTTTGATGGGTAGCTGTTGGAACATCACTCTAATTGACACTGTCTCGTGAATCTGTTTTCTATCAAATGATGGAGAGGCACTGGTGCTTAACTATATACTACAATTAAATTCTGGGCTAGAAACATAATTATGTGATACATTTTGTGAATTCTCTTAAAAGAGAAGCCATACGTGGGATACTCTTCAAGTATATACTATCCTGAAGTGTTTTGCACTTACCTACTAGGAGAGAGAGTACTTAGTCAAAATGCTTAAGTTAATAAAATACAGAGCCAACATTGGAAATATATAAGCTACTGCTCTCTGAGTACAAACTGTATGCCAAGACTAACTTACTAGTTCTGATTAAATGCTTAAGAGACAGTAAGTTGACAACAACATAAAATCATTAACTTTTATCATCGTTATTGAGATCTATTTCTCATGTTTTGTTTATGAATAACTGTTGTATTATTTCCTATGTGAACGTATATTTACGTTCTGCAATGCATTTCAAATTCATTCCCTTGAAACAAGCTACACTTGATCTACTGAGAGCTGATAGATAAATATGCTGAGACAGCACAACATAAAGTGAACAATTTAACTAGTGTCTAGTGTACCTTTTCTTTGATGAGACTATACGGTTTACTTGATGCTCTAATATTTTTGGCTACAGATCAACATTTCAACACCTATCATATGCAGTGGATTGCACTGCATTTGCTTCTGTGTTGCAGTTTTATGTGAATACTCAATATTGATGTTAAATCACCTTATATTTGCTTAATGTCTTAATAGCATAAATGACAGACTAAGGAGATAAATGACTTCGGATGATAAATGACCACTTCTCTTTCCAGTGAAACTATTCAATCCTCCAAAACAATTTATTTAAATTTCTTATTAATGCCTTGGAGCTCGAGTATTTCAGTTACTTCTGTTTCAAGTTAACATCTCAACTGTTCAAAATTTTCATAGGGTTTGTTTCTACTCAAAATTTTTCTGGAGTATAAATTATTATTAATGCTTCAAAGGAGATAGATCCATGGATCTTTACTGGATATTTGTAGCATCACCTACTCAGTTTGAGCAAACTGATGGAATTACCTGACTGCCACTGTGGCTTTAGCCTAAAGCCACCAAGTGCACTTGTTTGGCAAAGGAATGAGTACTTTAGTTTGAAATTGATGAAATATCTTTTGAAATGAGATTTGTGAAATTTTGCTGCAGAAGTCTTGATTGTACTGGTCTACAAAAACGAGTGACGGAGTTTGTAACAAGGTTGAAAATTACGCCGCATCTTTGTATCGTTAATTAAATTGTAGCAGTCTAACTCTCTGATCCTCTTGAAAAATCTTAGCCTAGAACTGTAATAATTAAATTTGATACATATACTAGTAAAATGAACTAAATTCACTTCTAAATCTCACAATGACCAGTCACTACACAGCCAAATAAAGCAATTAAAATAGTTGTTAATATGGTTTTCGTCTCCAAAGACCAAGTAGCTATTTCATACAGCACTGAAGAATCATATATTTTAGAGTTTATCTGAGTCATTCCACAAGAGAAAATGGTGTTTCTGAAATATGTTAGTCTTGCTGAGAAGCTATTCTCAGTGCCTGCAAAAGGTGGTGAACAACTAGATTTAAGCTCTTAAGAATGTTTTGCATTTTGTGTCATGTTCCAGTTGTTGTCAGTCCCTGTCTAGTCAGTGTGCACTGGACAAGTCTTGCATATGAATGCCTGTTTACATTTGAGCATTTCTTTCTTCCAGTCAATGGCAATGGAAGATGCAATGCTGCAGTGCCTGGCAGTTCTCCTGGGCTGCGTCAACTACTTAGACTCCTTTCTAAAGGTCTCCATGCCATACTCAGGCAGTACACAACTTTCTCAATCTGAGTGATGAACCTCCTCCAGTTATGTGCTTCACTTTTCCATAAACAGATGAGTGTGCAGTGTTTAAATAAGTTAGTATTTAATAATAAGTGCTAACAGTAAAGCATAACTGAAGAGAAGAGTTTGTGATTTTATCTGTCTGATCCTTAGTGCCTAAATGAGAAGTGTGCATTGATTTGCAACCTACACAAAGTACTAGTTAGTTACTTTTGCCTTTTGCATATCTGACACCTTAAGATTTGAAGTTAGTTGCTTCTTGTGGTCACAATGTTCAGAATTTTTAAAAAGAAAAAGCTTTTATATTAAGTAAAGTATTCCTACACAACACTGTAATTTGGGATTCCAGGTACGAGAGAGATGACAATACCTTCTCAAATCCGCCATAGCTCTGAAATGGGGTGAAAGGAAGAACTCTGTCAAGGCTCTTTTTGGGAACTGGGGAATAGGGTAGAGGAGCATTTCTGTGGGAAAGCCTCAGTGAGCACAGAACTGTAGGGTTCAACAAATGCTCCTGTTTGTCTCAGAAGATTAGATGGAAATCTTGTATTGTAATCCTTGAAGAGTGTTCTAAGCTGTCAAAAGGCAAAATTTGGGCTTAAACAATTACATTTTTAAAGTTAAGGTTTTCATAGCAATATGACTTGTCTGTATATAGTTAATATTACTCTGCTGTATGAAATTCATATTTTAATCCATATTCAGTATGACGTGAGTCTCAAAGTTATTTTTATACTTGTTAGTCTGTTTGTGAAAGGTAATATTTCTCTCTGCTTTTACAATGTTTGTTGTCCTGCACACCAGAAACAAAGAGAGCATCGTTATGTCCTCAGAGTTACAATATACAATTTGTACAGATTTTAAGTTGCTTGTGTTTGTAAAAGGTGAGTGTAGGACTGTGCTGAATATTCAGTAAATGTTTCATTCTGTTGACTGTTGAAGTGTTACTATAATTCTGTTCAGTTGATGTCCTATAGCACTGTGGTAGATGCTGATTATTTCTTCCCTCAGCCACCCACTGATACTTGGCAAAGCAATAGAGCATCTACCAGTGGCATGAGACACCAAGAAAATCTTTATTTCTTCCTAGCTGGTGCAAAGAGGGTTATTTACTACGTTTTTTACTTCCAAAATATTCTATTCAGTGCCAGCTGTAAAAGTTAGGTTGGATTTTTCTCACCCGTTACAGACAGATATGTCTCACAGAAGAATCTCTTCACAAAATACTGAACTAGCATATTGCTTTAGCTGGGAAGGAATAATATGATAAAATTTCTGTGGATATCTTTATAAACTTTATCTTGAGATCCTCACTTAGCTGAGCACGTATATAAAATGACGAAATAAGCAAAGAAAATAATTTAATTATTTGAACAAGACTTAATGATGTTGCCTTTTGTACTACATATGATAAATGACTTGCTTTGGACAGTCATGGAGAGATGGCTCATAGCTGGAACTTTCAAAGTTTTCTGTTTGGCAGGAGAAGTGGCATATATTGTATGTTCAGTAGTGTGATAAACTTATATGTCTAAATTGTAATTAAAATACAGTTTCAGCAAACCTTGCAGTTAGACATCTAGTAGAAGTAAGTAGTGTTTGGTATACAGATGTATTGTAAACTCTGACTTTTATGTAATTGAGAATCAGGGATGTTTTTCTGAACGGAGCAAAATACCTATTTCTGAATTAGAGATAGATTCCTCCTGATTCTGTGAGTGTAGGTGAACTGAATTATTCTTTTTAATATGCAAATTTCTTGTTAAGTAAACTAAGCTCATGTATTTGTATATGGATTGTTACATTTAAAGTCTTTGTGATTTTTTTGTTTTGTTTTAACTATGATAGTCCTCAAGAATACTCTTCAAGAATTTTGGTTCTTCTTTCCTTGCTTAGTGATTATTCCTATTTAATTGCTAGAACAACAGACATTGAGAAAAAGATGCAAAGGGAAGAAAAAACTAGAAAGTGCTATCACCTAAATAGTTTTTGCAAGGCATAGGTTATCTTCAGTGTTACCATGTTAGAACTGTACGTGGCTACCTCAGTTCTTTCTGTTCAATAGCAATAGCAGGGTTTTTTTGTCTCATTGACTAGAACTCAAAAACTTGAGCTTCTTGGCATGCATAGTTCAGGGACAGCAGAGGAAATGAATGTGAAGGGAAACAAAAACAAATAGAATAACAAAGGATTTCTGAACTAAAGATTGTGCTACAATTTAATAAAGATTTAAACTTAGGAGACAGAAACCTGTGCTCTGGATAGCAGTATTTTTACCCAGAAAAGAGTGGCAGCTAGTTGAAAATCATGAGTACTACTCAAGATACTCTATACTTCTGAGCAATGGCATTTTTAACTTCATGAGCTTTGTAAATACTTCATTTTGCACATGTGAAGACTTTTGTAATCTACCGAATACTGTTGAAAGCGGTTTTTCACATGGCCAACTAAAATCATATGAGTGATGCCTCTTTCTCCCTGCCCAATCTGTGCTTTCCTGTATCATCTCCAGCCAGCAACTCCTACAAGGGGCAGGCAAAGCAAGCAGATGGTGGCAGCATATCAGTCCCAGATGGAAAGAAAGACCTGCCATAATCTCCTGAGAAAACCTCTTCTCAGGAGGTCCTGGCACAGCTGCCCAGAGAAGCTGTGGAGGTGCTCAAGGCCAGGTTGGATGGGGCCCTTGGCAGCCTGAGCTGGTGGGGGCAGCCCTGCCCATGGCAGGGGTTAGGGCGGTATGGGCTGTGTGACCACTTCCAGCCCGAACCATTCTGTGATTCTGTGAAACTGTGCCATTTTTTATCTATGACCTTACAGATTGATGCTGTTTACCGCCAGTGCTTTTCTGGCTGTATATTTTGTCCTTAGCACTTGTACCTACATACTTTCAAAATGAAAATATGGGTTCAGGTGATCATATAATGAAGACAGAGTCTGTAATTCCTTCAGAAAAGTTAACTGGAAACAGGAGTCAAATCCTTTGTACCTCAGTGGAAGTGTAGCAGCATGAAGGAAGCTGATATAATACATCAGTTATTGGAAATGATCTCTTGCTGTGGTTAGCACTGCAGAAAGGTCTACTGCAGACCACATCTAGCTGCAGGAGCAGTTGTCTAATTGTGCGTTTGCTGCAATATGCTGATGGCTTTATTTTCTCATTGTTCCATATGGGCCAAATAGGATGCTCATTCAGCCCATTATGCTGAATATTGCTAACACTTTTCTGTTTTAGAATTGCTTTTCCTCCTTCCAAAATAAGCCAGTGTGTGAGTGTTTATAACTGTAGGTATTCAGGGTTTAAAATTTTTCCCAACGGCATTATCCTGCCTGAATAATTCTGGTGATTTCACAAGAGTAGTTTACTTTATACTCTGCAATATCTATTCTAGATCCTAACTTTTGGCTAAGCTTGCATGTCACTATGGAAAATAATGATGGTCATAAAATATATGCCCAAATTATCTCTGTATTTCAGTAAGTTTCATGGCCCTAGCAGAGTTTTATTTAAAACTTGTATAGGAACTGATTATCTCTCTAATTATGCTGAACTCAGTTTTCACTGAATTTAAAATTGAGGATCATTAAGAAAATGGGACTGAAAGCTAGAACATGAAGCTCAACTTGACTTTTTAAAAACTTATATCCATATGTCAGAAATGTTTTAATACCTTGCAAAGGTCATGTATTACTTCTCTTAATAATGTAGTTTTTTGGCTTGATCTTAAAATTTGATGTTGCATAGTGCAGTCTTTAAGCACTAATGCATGGTTTAATTTCACTATTTTTCACAAATTTTTAGACACAACGTAAATTCAGTCTGAAAATTAATGAATATTAACTTTCAACTTTTATAACTAGGAAGTTATAAATCATTTTGTGAGATTAACTCAGTTATCATCTTGGCCCTTTATTTGAACCACTTGAAGTCTTCATCTGTGAATTTTTGAAAAAAAAAATCACACTACTTTCAAGATAAACTATTTTCATGCCTGAGTAAGTGAAGATAAAGCTTTGTAGGACACAAGAACTAAACAAACCTGCTTACTGTCAGTCGTATATTTCAATAGAAACAGAAAATTACTAAGATACGAGTTTAGAAAGAATTTCCTGTTTCTACATATTTAGTGTATCTAGATGAAACATTGTCAAACTTTTGTCAAAATCTTAAAGCCACATTTTAGTAAAGTCTGACTTGTTTCTTAATCTTCATCTCAGCTAGCATGGGTAAAAACTAGGAAAATATTAAATGGTTTGTGGTCCTTTGAAATGTACCTTAAATATCTACCAATGCATTTGGCATTACTGGAAGTTTGAAGAGATATCCAACATTTGTGATTTTTGTTACCTCACAATGAAAATATATGAGGCCATTAATTATGATTAATATAGCATATGTTTACACGTTCTTTGCTTTTTTTGTCTAGGAGCTGAGAGAAATACATAACAAACAGCAACTTCAGAAACAAAAGAACTTAGAAGCTGAGAGGCTGAAACAGAAAGAACAAGAAAGGAAGACAGAGCTGGAAAAGCAAAGAGAAGCTCAAAGGTAGCAAAGTGCTCTAGTTTATGCCCTTACTGCAGAGGTGTTGGAGTGCAAAGCATTTTGCAACAAAGTCAAACAAACTGCATGTTTCCCAGAGCGTAGTCTGATCTCAAATAATATATCACTAAATGGCAAAAATATCCAAGACCTAGATCAGGTTTCAGTTCAGTGCAGATGATTTGTTTTGAAATCAGGAGAATCTTTTTATTTATCCTCGAATGAAAAGCATGTTGTGGAGGTGATCTAAATCTGTGACTTTTAACTGTCACATACTTACAGATTTCAGCAGCATTGCTTAAAGGTACTTCTACATGTAAGGACATAGCTAATATTTTCTTGCTACACACTTGGAGAAGTTTTCGAATGTATTTGTATAATATTTATGTAAAGTGAATGTCATATAATTTAATGACTACTTTTATTCTGACATCATTCATTTGTAGCTGCTTGATTCCATTTTTAGCAGTTTAGTGTTTTTTTAAGCTATTTGGGACCATAGAGACCTTTTTGAAGAACTCCTAAAGGTAATTTGCTTTAGTAAGTCTACTTCCGTGCAGAATTGTATGACTGTGGGAATAATATACAGTTCTGAGGAAAAAGCAGATATGTTAGATGTTTTTTTCACTTCCTCCCTTCACCTTCTTCCAGCTCCAAAACACAACAGGTTTTTCATTTCTTACTGAATACTGAGGTTGCTCTGTAACTCTGTTAGAGTTCTGTGGAATTATCTTCTGGAGGCATAGCCTTTACATGTGAGTTAAAAGGAAAAGTCATTTAAATTGGTTTTTAAATAAAAGGACAAAGCAACTTGAAGTAATAGAGTCCTGCAGCTACTAGTAGTTTACACAGAAAATTCTCTCACTTGTCTGAGAGTCACAGCTCTTTCTTTAAGAATTCATACATTCTTCTTTACCTGTTAAGAGTCACTGTTAGAAAATGTGTTGGAGTGCTTGCTAATTTACCAAAATAAAATTACCAGATCTGACAGGATACAGAAAAGCCATAAGGATTACACTTTTTATTGTCAATTATGTACAAGGAAAATCTCTGATATTTTGTTTGACTAACTCAAGAAAGATTTTTTACTTATCCAACAGGAGAATCCAGGATCGGGATAAACAACGGCTGGATCGAGTGCAACAAGAAGAAGAACCTCAATGGCAAAAAAAAAATCAAGAAGATGACAAGCAAAAAAGGGAAGAAACAATTAAGAAGAAGGAAAGTGAGGATAAGGGGAAACAGGAAATCCAAGAGAAACCGAGTAAGCTTTTCCAACCACATCAAGAACCAGTTAAGCCAGCTGTCCAGGCTCCATGGTCAAATGCAGGTAGAGGAAAAATTCAAAAAATACTGTTGCACATACCTCACTTAAAAATTATTTTTGGTTTTGTCTTCTCATGTAATACAGGAAAGTACTACGTTTCAAGATTGGATTGCTCATTGTGTCGAAGTAAATAATGTATGATTTGAGCTTTAGATTCCAAAAACTTGTTCACTTTAGGCTTCAGTATTTTTAAAAGTAAGATGTTAAGCAGATAGAATAAAATGTAGTTGATGAGACTCACAGTCCAAATCAAAGGGAGAATCTAAGCTGTATGTTTATGTAAAATCCTGCTATAAGGTGCCAAAAAATTACTACAACACTTCTCATTACAACTCTTGTATTGATGTGAATTTTTTATAGTGTCATGCAGTTACTTTTCTTCCTCCTCACTATGCATGTTGCTTACTGAACAACTGGCCTGAAGTCTATGATAGAATCTCTTCTGCTATGCACTTGACCACTTTCAGCTGAGAGCTTTTTTCAGTATTATAACCTAATTTTTTGCCCATGTTTGGAATTGTGGTACACTCTTGAGTAGCTTTGATAATTATGCATGAGAATTAATTGGGATTGTAATATTTGTTTAAATAATTGATCAGAAGACTGCATAAAAGGGAAATTGCTTTCTGTCTTTTAGCTGTAATCTAGCTTTTATCAATTATATCTATTTGCTAGGTATTATTTGTACAGGGCAAAATAGGAACTGCATTATACAGGAGAAATGTAGCTTATCTGTTTTTTCTTTAGTCTTCTTTTCACTAATAATGCATCTGTAATACAGCATGTGATTTTTAAAGCACCAATCTGTAAGTGACCTCTTTTCAGCTAATCCATGTGTATTAGAACATTTTGAGACATCTTTTTTGAAACTATATTCAGGCTGCAATTGAGGCTGCTACATAAGCAGGCTCTAGAAGTATTTGGGATACCACTGTTGCATGCAAGAACATTACTGTTTGAATTGAACCTATAGGTTAGTGATCAGACTTAAACATAATCAGTGAAGCATTTGATGTCATGTGTGTTGCACCATAAGTACACAATTCTTTCTGTAAAAATAGTTGCATATCAAAAAAGTTAAAATATAGTAATTTTTTACATGATGTTAAGAAGAGAGAACAGTACGAGTTACATTTGAAATCATTAATTTTCTTATTTCCTCTTGTATAAGAAGAGGTTAATGTACAATATATAAGGTATTGTTTTTTTTTATTTATTCAATTTTACCATATTTTTCAAGTATGGAAAAATGATGTGGTTTTTTGTTTGTATCTGTGTTTTTTTATTTGCTCAGGAAAAGCTCCACTAACAATTTCTGCTCAGGAGGATGTAAAAATAGTGTATTATAGAGCACTGTATCCTTTTGAATCAAGAAGCCATGATGAAATCACTATTCAACCTGGCGACATAGTCATGGTAAGAACAGACAACAGACTGTGATATAAGTGCTTGAAGAAATACTTCAGGTTTTGCACTTGTGTGAGAGAAATTAATATGGCAAGATTTTTTTATTTTTATTTTTTTTTAAATTTGAGAACAATATTTTAGTGAATACCAAAATAAACAGGATGGGACACAGTAATTTCTTAATTATGGATAGCTTCTTAAAGTTCATTGTATTGTAAAACTGAAAGATAATCTATGTGTAGATTGTGCTAGTTTTAGTGTGCTGAGCTGTGTGTGTGTCTGAGATGCAGAGGTGTTGAAAAGGTTCCTGTACATGGTGAAAAGTTTCTTGTTCTCCAGGGTACCCAGGAAATACAATTCCTGTTATTTTCAAATGAGAGTATGGTTGCTATGGGTTAAATAAAAAACTGATTTTGATAAATAAAGAATGTTTCTAATAAGAAATTTGTTTTCTTAGATGAGTAATACAAGAGCGGGGAGTAAAAAAAAAAAAAAAAAAAAAGGAATAATTTGTTTTTATTAAGAGAATGTGATGTCCAGGGTAGCACAAAGTGGAACAATTACACTAAGCTACAGGATGACTACACTTCTGTCATGATCCCAGCAGTGCTGATGTGGTCTTTGTATTGTAGTGATACTTCTCTAACAATACTGGAATTTTTCTACAACTCTTTTGGTCATTATTTCTGACTTAATGACCTAATTTACTTGTAATTTTAAAACTGTATAATTTACTGTTTTTTTTCATGAGGCAGTTTTACATTTATTCTCAAGAGGATATGAAGTAGATAAAATATCACTTTTTAAAAAAATGGAAACCTGAAAATGTAAAAATTTACTTGCAGGCGTGTTGACACAGAAGCATTTCCATTCATTTTTTAAGAGTAGTAGAGTTACTGGAATATAATCTACCTATAAGCCTATAACTGTCATATTAAACTTCAAATTCTTGGAGGCTGGTTTCTGCTTGTATGCATAATTATGTTTTAAAATTTCAGTTCTGATGTTAATGACTACAATAATGGAAATTATATTAATAATAATAAATTGCTAGTATGACCTTTGCATGCATATGTCTGCTCATAATAAAAATGCCTGGCGTGGATATCAGATGGTATCTTTCTCACTGTGGGAGGGTATATTCATTATAGTGTTCCACCCCAAAAAAACTGTTTTAGGAGCTATTGTTTTTAGCACAGTAATAATGAATTTTGGAAAAAAATTACACCTTGTAGTCTGTCCTAAATTGTAATGGTAACTTTAAAGGAAATGCATCTATTCTACAGAGATGAGCCCTCATCTCTCAGCCTTTTGTTGTGCCACAGTGAAATATTTGTGACATGAGAATCTGCTTTTGGAAAATAAACGTGTATCCTAGATTAGTAGCAGTACTGAATGACTTGTAAAGAGGACCAATCCCATTCTGAATAATACTGCAGTTTTTATTGCTCTTTATCAATAAATAGTATAGGTGAGTGCGTTGTTAAATAGAGAGGATGTGGATACATGTGTGTCTTTAGGCTCTAGAAAATGTTCTATCTTACTTTATTGGAAAGTAGATTATTGCCTAGGCATATAATGTTGTTTGGGTTTTTTTTTTCTTCTTTTTTTCTTCTTTTCTTCTTTCACTCTGAGAAAGAGTGATCACCACAAAGTAGAATCACAGGGAAATACCATTTTGCCAAAATAAGAACTTAGGGGTAATTTGAGTCTTCTTGTATCTTGTTTTGGACTTTAACTTACTCCAGAAAATATTCTCTACCTCTCAGTTTTCTTTACTTAACATCCATTTAACAATAATTAAACCTGATGATTGATTCCTGTGGGATTTATCTCCTGCTCTGCAGTAATTGCTTAAATGGGCTACTCTTAGAAAATTAATGTAAGACACTTTTGTGAAATGTGTTATAATTCTGCCTTGCTTTAAATCATTGCTTTCCTGATGGAGGTTAAAAGGGAATGGGTAAGTGTGCTATATGGCTGTTAGGAAGTCTACGCAATTTATTCGTGTTCATAAATCAAGATTCTGTTATCGTGTAGTTTATTTGTTTTTTTAATTTATGTAGGAGTAAAATAACAAATCAGCCCACATTGTCAAAAGTAATTTAAGTGCGGTGAACTAGAACTTACTTTTGATAACGGGCATTTGGATTCCTAGACTCTGTCCTTCAGTGTTTGTCATGTCATGTGGTTCCACAAGGTTCCAGTCAGTTATGTTTATTGGAAAATAGTAATTTACAAGCTTACATGTTAAAGTGCATCTGATTTCTCATTTATGACATAAACGCAACTCTGTAGTTACGTTGACCTGTGCAGTTAGGAGTTTACCGTGTTTAACAAAACAAACATTATGAGTTTAGAGTTTAGACACAGTTACTCTAAACACAGTGTAGAGTAACCGTGTTCTAACATAGGCAAATTTAGCATTTCCTCATTTTAGTGCTATAAATGGCATTGTCTGTGCAAGCTTATGAAGCCATGTGCTGTACTTGTATATTATATACAGGAGATATCACTCAAACTGTCACTGCTATAAGTAAAGAATCCAGCTGAAGCACATGGAAACCAGGCATAAACCCTGGATTTAAAGGGGACTGCAGAATTCATTATGTCAGAATGACTTGAGGCTTTAATAGGTGTACAGCTTGTAAATAGCTTTTTACAACAGCATAATACACTTTTACACTGTGCGTGAATGTTGAGGTCTGTCTTGGTGAAAATGAGGACAAGGAGGAGAGTTCAGTCTGAGGGTATTTGCAAAAGTAAAGATAAGAAGAGCTTTCTTCTGCTTTGCTTTTGAGTATGTGTGTTAGTCAATTGTAGGACTGATACATCTTGTGAAATGATTTAGAGAATTTGTGAGGCTTGGGCTGTATTTTTTTTTTATATCTACTTTTTCATTAAAGGATATTTGTATTTTAACTTGAATTTCTATTTTCTCAGCTTCTTATCTTTTTATGTATGTTTAATTCCTTTCACCTTAAGGTAGTTATTTCTTTCACTATATAGATTGATTTATAACCCTAATTATAACTTAAACAAGCTTTTTTTTTTCTGGAAACAAGTATATCCTGCGCTGAGAAAGCCATGCTTGGTTCAGGGCTCTGTCTGTTAAAGACCTTATTATGTGCTTTCTATTATGTATACAATGTATGGAATTCATCTCCTTTGGAGGGCTTTCTGACAAAAACAGATTCTGCTGGCATTTGCTTCTGTTGGGTTCCATCTTGGAGCAAATGAATGGATTCTGTTGTTACTGATTCTCTTTGATATAATTCAGCCTGTTTAAATAAACTTAATTCAGTGAAATACAGTTGAATTATTGACTAACTGAACTGCAGTGACTCGGATAGCAGAATGTATGTTACATAGAAAGCTCAAAGAAGAAGCTCAAATAGGGAGGACTAGAACAATTTCATAATGCTAGTTTGTTGTCAGTTTTTTTAGTTGTTGATTGTGAGACTTAGAATGACTGTTCTTTGTAATGGATACATAGGCAGCCTTGTTGTGTTAGATCTTGTGTAGGCGTAGTCAACATATGGCCTCTGGCAGGCAGAGCTTAAATTCAGATTTATAATAAGAATTTCAGTATTCTCAGAATATCTACATCAAAAGCTTACAAATGAAGTAAAGTTAAAATGATGATTTAATGGGTAGATTGTTGAGCAAAACGAACAGTGGTACTTTGCTTAGCTTTCATTAAATAGCTTTTTGAGACTAAGGGTTTGACTTCATATGTAGTGTGAATCACTGTTGTAAAACAGAACTTCTCTTTCTGTGTACATGGACTGCTAGTGATACACAAGCCAGTTCGAAGTGGATTAGGCCACTGCAAAGCCAGTCCTTTTGTTAGGAAAGAAATTAGCGGTTCCCAATGCTTCTGCCGCTTATTGTTGTATTGCTCTTACTTCTGTCACTTGTGTTCAGCCATTGGGAATGGGAACATGTAAGCTGTGTCTCTGAAGTATGATTGAGTAAATTAAAAGTACGCACACACTTCTATTTGTTGTTCAGATGTACATTTATATTCTAGTTGTATTTTGCAAAAAATAATCTGGAATAGAGTTTCTTGTAGGGATTTGGGATGGTGAGTATAAAAACAGAAGGTAATCAGAACAAATTAATTTGGAAAAAACATACAAAGGAATTTATTTAAAGTTCTAGTACTGTGCAACATAAGTAGATCCAAGTTATATTTTATATGAATAACTGAGAAATCATTTTCAAAGAACTATAAAATAAAAATTGCTTTTCAAAGTGTCTTTCTATGAATATATACTGAAAACTTAATTTGATTGAATAATACTTTTGAGTATCCTAATAAGCTGTTTTAAGAATTTCTTATTAATAACATAAAGCTGCCTTCTAAGAAGACATTAAATCAGTTGCTTTAAAAATTGCTTTGGTGATTTTTTTTTTTTATCTGCTGAAAAATCACAGTGTTTTTTTGTGTTTACTGTGATTTGTCTCAAAGATGCCACTTTCTGAAGACCGTGATGACACATTTTTGGTCTTTCAGTACTGATTCTTTTGTGTATTGGTGATTCTAGATACAACTTGAGGAACTGAATGTAGGAACTGTGTCCTTGTTATTACTGCTTAGATTATTCAACTCTGCAGTGGGTGCTGATAGTCCATCTCTCCCTTGCTGTCCCAAGATTCACCTCTGCTGTGACCTTCCATCACTCATATTGCTGCGCTAACAAATCTTATTCAGCGCTGCAGTGGAAATTTCGCCCTGCACTGCAGTAAAACCACATTGAACTGGTCAAGCATGTACTTCATTCATTTCTGGTTTTACTTTGAGTTAATAGGGACTGAGACAGAAGATACATGCAACAAAAAGCAGAAATAATGGATTGTTTTGCACCAGAAGAGGAGTGTGGGCTACAAATTACAATAATAAGGCAGTGAAAGAGGCAGCACAGGGTATAAAGCAAAGCAGTCTGTCTAGCTCCAAGGAGTGATCCAGGAACAATCGGAGGTTTTGCTGCTTCAGCTGGAGTCATTTCTATACAAAACAATGTTCCCTCTCTTGGTCTCGAGCGACTCATTTACACCATTGCCACAAATAATTTTTTACCACTGTGGATTTTTGTTGTTGTTGTTTATTCTCCACACAAACAGAATGTATAGATTGGTGCATTTCCAATTGTTGAAGCAGCCAGTTCTGAGATACTACCACATGCCGTTGTAGGATGTCATCCTTTGTCACCATATTTTGAAATCTCCATCGACTGAAAAGAATTTCTAATTCTGTGGCTCATGTAGCATACTGTTAGTAACAAATGCCTCGTGTTGATAATGAATGCTTAGGAAGGAGGGTGAGGTGATTTTGAATTAGCAATTTAAGCATCTTTCACCAGTTGCTATATTGATAACTGCAACAGTAAATGCATGACTTACGCTCTCATTAGAAACTTATGTATTTTAAAATACTGTATGCTACTGGCCTAAGCAGATTAAATTCTTGCAAAAAACCAGCTCCTGTGTAGAGCTGATCATGTGACTTTTCATTACTGGCCTGGTTTTACTGCCAACTTGATCATTGCTTGGGAATCTGCAGCAGATAGATGTATGTTATTGACATGCTACAGGAGCAAGCCTTGTTTGTATGTTTGCTTAAACCCCTTGAAACTTAAACATTTGCTTAAACCCCTTGAAACTGAAATTTTGTTGGAGTATCAAAGGCAGGTTGGATAGCTAGATCACCAGATTTGCTGTAATTATTACCTAATGCAATTACTGCCTTTTTTTTAAAAAAAAAAGTGCCTGCAGCCTCCAGATATTGTGTCAGTGTTTGGCTACCATATCAATTAATGAGTTATGAGGAGAGATAGTAATGGTGGATTATTTTTCTTCTGCAGTTCTTGATTCTTTATCACCATGGAATTATTTCATATAAGTATGTTAGAAAATATGTCACTATTGTTTTGAAATTGTTTGGTGGATGTTGATTTTAATATGCTGTGTTTCTGTTGTATTTTCTGCAAAAGGAAATTTAGAAAAAAACTTTAAAATGTTTTAAAACAGAAATAGCAACACAAAATGGTCTTCTCAGAATCACAGAATTGTAGGGATTGGAAGGGACCTCCAGAGATCATCGAGTCCAACCCCCCAAACTCATTAGTTCTCCAGAACTAATATCTCCAAAACTGGTGTGCTGTGACAGACTTTCAAGCATCTGTTTCAAAAACTATGCTTGGCTTATGCATTAGGGCTGAAATGAAAATTTTTATTTATTTATTTATTTAATTTTATTTACCTTATCACCCAGAAAACCTTTTGATTCTGGTTTGGAAAAAAAAAAAAACCATTGCAAAGCACATTACATTGCAAAATCTTCTCTTAGCTATTAAAGGTTATTGAAAGAATAGCTGGCGGCATAATTCTCCCAGTGGTAAATTAAATAATAATAATGAAGTTCTACCTAGGTGGAGCTTGTACTTGTAATAAAGTTTTCATTTCTCTGTAAGTAGATAAAGTTAATTACTGTGGATGAGATGTATTTTATTTTTTTTTTAGTATACCACTTGTATATTATGTTTCTTAGCTTTCTAATGTAATGTATCCGCAGGTGGATGAAAGTCAGACTGGAGAACCAGGGTGGCTTGGTGGAGAATTGAAGGGAAAAACTGGATGGTTCCCGGCAAACTACGCAGAAAAAATACCTGAAAGTGAAGTTCCAGCGTCTATAAAACCAGTTGAGGCAGCTCCTGCACCTAAAGTTTCCGTGCATGAAACAACCACATCACTAGGAACTGCTGCATCTACAGAGTGCACGACAACTGCCAACAACTGGGCAGACTTCAGTTCAACGTATGTTTGGGTAGTGATTATCGCCTCAAAGTACCATTGGAGTACTTTCTAATTGATTAGACTATGACAAGAAGTTGACACAAAGTACACAGATTGCAAAAGATAAAGATTTTGTTTGAAGTAAAATATTTTTTTGTAGTAAATAGTTACAATTGCAGCCTTGTAAAACTGGAATTATTCCCCTATATATCTAGGTAGATAATACACACTTTCATGCTTTTCATAAAAATTAGTAATGCTGTCCCTGACATGAGAAGAGTTTTGTTGGTTGTGGGCTTGGCACGATTACAGTCCAGACATACAACTGATTACTCAGCTTAGAGCACATGAAGCAGGCAAAGAAAACAGGCGGAAAAGATTTAAGTTGGATTATTTTATCATGCTCCTTGAGTTCACTGAATTTTGATCATTTAAGTAGGTACTTTGAGGCAAAGGTAGGGATCATGAGATTTGTTGGACATTTTAAAGGATAAGAGATAGTGCGAAACTCTTTTAAAGAGTTGAAAAGTCAGTAGGAAATAATTTTAAGCAAAAGAAAAAAGGTAAGGATTTGAAGTAGTATGAGACATAACACAGAGGCATGTGAGAGGTCAGTGACTGTGCATAATACAGACTGCAGTACTTAACATTTTCATTGTATGGGGGCACACCTGAACAATGGAACTAAATTGCAGAAATGGTTGGCCATAAATGAGCAAGGATGAGCAATTAACTGTTCTTAGAGGCTGCCTTTCAGAAATGTGTTTATTGTAACCCTCTCTTTGATTGCCTAACTTTCACTGCAGAGTTAATTTCACTGCTAATAACTCATGGAGTATTGAATTACAAGAAATAGACCTAGAATGTAGAATTTTTTTCTTTGCATGTGAGCATTTTTATTCCTTAGAATACAGTAGGAATAATGTAATTCACTTATTTTCAGATGGCCAGCAAACACTAATGAGAAACCAGAGACAGACAACTGGGATGCCTGGGCAGCTCAGCCGTCGTTGACAGTTCCCAGTGCAGGGCAGCTGCGGCAGCGATCAGCCTTCACCCCTGCCACTGTTACAGGATCATCTCCCTCTCCCGTTTTGGGTCAGGTGAGCAGCTGTGTTCACTGGAACTGTTCTGAGCCAGCATGAACTTCTGGATAGCAAAGAGCGAACATTTACAATGGAAACCCTTTCCTAAGATGTGTGAACTAGGACAGTTTGGAGTGCTAAAGCATTAGTGTACACTCATTAACAAAGTCAGTAGCAGAATCTAACACAAACAAGCTGCTGTTCTGCTGTTTCTTTGCTGGCTTTTTTAAACTAGAGTGGTCCAGTCTTCTTAAAGTTTTGGCTGGGTGCTATTTTTGAATCGCTTCCTTTGGGCTTTATTAAATCACATGGCAACAATCTTCGTTCCAGAGTGGATTGTATGGTTAAGTGGTATAGATGAGAGTAAGTTTCACAGTAGATGAATTCAGTCCATCTGTAAGAGACTGCACTTTTCTCAACTGGACACATTGTTCTTGTAAGCTAATGTGTTGTTCTGATAAATGCAAAATAACTAAATGTCTTTGAACAAAACTAAATGGTAGTATATACAATATATTACTAGCAGCAGAACATAATTTTCTGTAAAGTTTGCTTTAAACCTTTCAAAATAACTTTGTCAAGGTTTATTGTATTTATATCTTAATTGTAGAAATTGCAAAGAAGCAAACTCCCAAATAGTCCTGCATTATAGTGATTACACATTAACAGATAGAAATGTAGGAGGTCTGCGGGCGTTTCTTGTATTACTTTGTAATTTTGACTGACATTTTGCTTTATACAGATGAGGAGAAGTCACAGTATATTGTGGCTATATAAATAGTATAAGAATGTAACTCCATAAGGAGTTTTCTTTGTGGAAAGTGTTGCAAGACTGAATTCTCTCTCTTTTTCTCTAAATTGCATTAGGGTGAAAAAGTGGAGGGACTTCAAGCACAGGCTTTGTATCCTTGGAGAGCAAAAAAAGATAACCACCTTAATTTCAACAAAAATGATGTCATCACAGTTTTAGAGCAGCAAGATATGTGGTGGTTTGGAGAAGTTCAAGGACAAAAGGGGTGGTTTCCTAAGTCATATGTGAAGCTTATTTCAGGCCCCATTAGGAAGTCAACAAGGTATTGTATTTGCTTACACCGTACTTTACTTCCATACTATATTGATTAAATATATATGAAGAGTTGCTCACTTGAGTTTTAAAGTTTAGGCTCAACTCTGTATAAGTATTTTTATGTGACTCTTCTCTGTTAGATTTTTACTCCCATCGCTGAAAATTCAGGTGAGGAATATGTAAGCTGACCTCAGTTCTCCTTGCACTATGCGCCACCACCAATAGACCTAAAGCTTAATCTACAGTCTTAATTATATGTGACTTGCAACTGAGAAATTACTATTTTGACGTGAATTATAGCTATATTAGTCTCAGCTTATTTTTTTCCCAGAATAAAATACAGTACATCAAAGCTTAATCACTTATCATTATTCTCAGAAGATGAAACAATCAGAATCTAGTTCTGTGAAAGGTGAAGTCAGCATTAACATCACTAATACTAATTACAATGTTTTTAGATTTTTTTTTCTTCTGAGGGAGAAGGAGGGGCAGCAAACTGTGTATTCCATGCATTTACTTAATTATAACTACAAGTAGCCATCGTACTTGAAATATGTAATTTGCAAGTTTACTGTCTATTAGAAAATTTAGGGAATAGCTTAGGGATAAATTTGCATATTTTATTTTTGTCATACATTAAGCATCTTCTGAAGAGATTTAATTTCTTAAATAACTGTTATTCTCTTGTAAAGCATGGATTCTGGTTCTTCAGAAAGTCCTGCTAGTCTGAAAAGAGTAGCATCACCAGCAGCTAAAGCAACTATGTCAGGTGAAGGTAAGCATTCCAGACTGGATGGCATTGACACTATTTTACTATGTGATTAAATGTAAGTAGTCTGCGTATTACCAAAAATGAGCCCAGAATCAACAAAACAGGTTTGTTTTAAGATCAGGCCTGTAAAAATTTGGGTATGTTGTATATGTAGAAACAATAATTGAACATTTCTTCTACAGTTTATAGTGTTCCATACTATACATACTAGTATGTATGTAAATATTTTGGTATCAGTTCAGTTCCCCATGGAACTGTTCAGAAGGGGTTTTTGCAGATGGCCAGTGAAACACTTCCATGTTGTTTTTATTTGTAATTCGTAAGTAATTAATGATGCCAGCAATTATTAATGAATGTCTCAATTTCACTCGGTACTCCTTTCCACTGTTCCATTAAAGCTCCCTGTAACTGATTGTAGTTTCTTTATTTGAAAGTTGTGATACTTATGGTCAAAGCTACCCCTCATCTTTAAGGGTGGAGCATATGGGGCACAGACAGATAATTGTAAGGTCTCTGAAGGGTTTTAAAAGACTTGTATTCTTAGTTGTTACCACTCTTCAACTGGAAGTTAATGTCTCCATACGAGCTGTGCTAACAGACTGTGGGCACTCTAATCCACTTCAGTGCAATGGCTGTAAGGTTAACTTAAATCACAGTCAGAGTAAATTAATGGATCTAAATTTAGTTTACAAATTAATATCTACATAATCTCTTCAGAATGCCTTGCATTTTTCAGCTACAATTCTACGTATGATTTCAAGTGGAAGAGTTTCTTTAGTTATTGCTGTATTTGATATGTTACTGACATGAGCACTACAGAAATTAAAAGAAGAGAATGTTAGAAATCTGTCCAAAGTGGAAAAAGGGATGATCAGTTATTTTGAAACCTAACTAGTCTTGCCGAGTGTGTATTTCATTAAAAGCAATTTGGAAATGCTGTCTTTTTTGGTAAATTATAGGATATATTAGGTTATATGTTAGTATTAAAAAGGGACACAACTTATATAAAAACATTTCAAAAAAGCTGTATTTTTAAGAAGTAATAGAAGATGATAGACCCATATTTTATTAGATGTAGAGAACGTGAGAGAATATACATGTATATGGCATACATTGTGAATTTTAATGTTGTTGTGTACTTGTGTACAAACAGATGTATGTCTCCTTCAACTGCAGTTTTTGGGTAAACTATCTCTTAGCTTTCATTAAGAAAATTTACAGTGGTTTGAATTCTTGCCGAAGTTCAGTAGTCAAGTTGAGGGTTTTGGTCAGATGTAGTGTTCAAGCAAATGGAACAATCGCCAGTTGCAATGGAATACTTGAACATTTCTGTCAAGTATGCATGATAATCTTCCTGAAATACTGTGAGCTGTTCTTAATTCCAGAGCTGATCACAGAAACATAGGATATAATCTTCAGTAATCTATTGCCCATGTAAAGTTTGTTAATGCTTAGTTAAGTAAGAATGTATCAAGTTGTGTCTACAATGTTAATTAATTGTTCAAAATTCTTAGTAATCCTTTTTGTAAAGGTGTTTGGGGTTTTTTTTGGTGTAGTTCTGTGGTACAGTTATGCACTGCAGTACTTAACATCAGTCTAGTGTTTTTGCACTTGAATACTAAGTGGGTGACTGTGTTTTAACAAAATAAAACATTCAGGCTTTGTCTTGACATTTCCCAGCCGTTTCAAAAGATGCAATGAGATGTGTGCTCCCTGTGCAAACCTTCAAGTAATGAAAGAATTCACTGTACATGAGAGCCAAACAGAGTATGTAAGATTAAGACAGATGTTTGGGTACTGAGATTTTTTTCTGCCCTCAAATCTGAAAATGCTAGTCAACAGCACAAATCAGAAACCACTGGGAAATATGTTCAGAATACTTTCTGATGTAAAGTAATAATGTATAATATAATAATGTAATAATAATTATACTAGGAAACTATTTTACCAAAAAGATTCCCCAGGGCAGACTTTTGATAGACTGTATTTAGTTCTGCTATCTATTTCATTTTATACATTAAATAATACTGAAGCTTTATGAATAAAGTAATTAATCAATTTATCTTCTGTCTAGCCTCTAGTTAGATCATATTCTATTCAGCTTTGCAAATGATAATCGAGCAGGTTATCAAGTGTTTCCCCATGTTGTGTATCTATTTCCTTCTTGCAGAATATGTTGCTATGTATACTTACGAGAGTTCTGAGCAAGGAGACCTAACCTTTCAGCAAGGTGATATGATTCTTGTGACAAAGAAAGATGGCGACTGGTGGACAGGAACGCTGGGTGATAAAACAGGAGTTTTTCCATCTAATTATGTGAGACTCAAAGATTCTGAGGTAGAGACATTAAATTGTTTCACAGTTGGCCTGGGGGAGTTATGTTTTCTTTGGTGTTGTAGTGATGTTTGCAAGTGAGTGGTTTGCAAGGGACGAAGAAGTATTTGCTGAACATGAATTTGGAAAAGGAAATAATAGTTACATTTCACAACATAATTTATTAAGTTCCATTCTGAGCCATTTATGACAATAACTCTTAGATAAATTGATAGTTAACTTAGCAGTTTTGTGGAGACAAATAAAAATAGCTACAATTACTTTTTTTCCAGGTAAGTTTTTGATGGCTGAGTTGTATCCTTCTGTCATTTTCTTTAAAAAAGAAATTAAGGGAAATATTTCAGTTTATTATATTTTTTTCTTTCTCTGTTTCAGTGTTCTTGCAACCTAGGGAAACAAATTTAGCAATAAAAATTAGCTAACTACTGCATTGAATAATAGAGGTCCTGTCTCATCTGATTTTATCCTGGAATAATCTGATAGAGCATGTCTATGTTAAACTTTTTTTAGACATTCTTAAGAAAGATGTGTTCTCATTTATGTTCCTTATCTATTTGGGAAGGGTACTTCTCACCTACCAGTAGGAATTAGCTTATTGTCAGCTGTATATGGTATTGATCTCTTGGGAAGGACTTTTTGTTTGTGTCTTTGAGAACTATAGTTTTTTTTAAGTAAATAAATACAAATTTATGTAGGTGTCATGATGAACAACAGATCGACCATGAGCCAGTAGCTGTGTGCCCCCGTGGCTCACAAGGTCAATGGTGTACTGGGGTACATTAAAAAAAGTGTGGCCAGCAGGTCGAGGGAGGTGATCCTCCCCCTCTCCTCTGTCCTGGCCAGGCCACTTCTGAAGTATTGTGTCTCATTCTCTGCACCTCAGTTCAAGATGTTCAATCTTCATTTTAGAATTGAAATGTTGTGCTTTATGTTTAGAGTTCAGTTTTGGATATGCCTGTGCTCTTTCCTGCCATTTCAATTGCATCAACTCTAGAGTTATGAAACAGCCCAGGTCAGTAGAGACCTTGAAAGATCATCAGGTCAGACCTTAAATCTATCTAGTGACCGTGGAGCAGCAAAAGGTTGGGTCAAGTCCCCGACTAGATTAGGAGTACTTTCTGTCAGAGAGAACATGTTTTACAGTAGCAAGTTGTGATGTCACCTCATTAAGATGGGGTAGAGGTTTGTCCTGTAGACAAGTGAGATATTTCTAACACACTTTTGTCTCAAAATCTGGGAATGTATATTGAGATATGTTAAGTTGCCTTTTGTGTGTTTTCAAGTATTGGGCGTATCAAATGCTTGTCCTGTCTGATGGAGGAGAGGCACATATTGGCAAGTCTTTGTAGAGAGCTCAGAAACAGATATTTAATACTGAGAACTGTGCTTATTAGAGAACTCAGTTTCATGTTTGTCTGATCTCAACTTGTCTGGGCCTGAAACCACAAAGTGCAGTTTATTAAAAAGTGGTCCGACTGCTCTTTTTGCTGGTGAAATCTTCATCTTCAGATAAAATCTTGATGAGAAAAAAAAGGAGGAAAGAGTACAGAGCTCAAGGAGATTTATATTCAGGATGGTTATTTTCCTGATGTGATTCACATGCCCCCCAGGAGATAGTAGTTGTTCTAAGTGGATAATTGCCATTACACGTACAAGGTTTTGCTATTCAGCTTGGTCACAGAGCCAGTTTTTGCAAAGGATTTCACAATAGTGGCTGTCTTAACTTTTGGATGTGCTGCTGTGCTTGGACAGCTGCTGGCTGATCGTGAAGAATTTTGCTAAAAAAACAAATTAGTTTACTGTGTTCTGCTCTGTTGACTTAGGCCTGAAAAACAAGGCAGTGCTAATTATTCAGTAGTTCTATTCATTTACCTCAAGCAACCATACTAAGGAATTTTCTCTTCCTTAAAGTTTGAACATATTAATAAAGTGAATGTCTTTATGTTCTCCAAGTAAGCAACTTGATGGTCTATTCTCAGAGTTTTCATTAAATTGAGGTAGGTATGTACAAATTTTTATTTTACCCTTTCCTTGAGACTGGTGTGATAATTACCTCTGCATTGGAATATGGAATCGATACGGTGGATTTGGAAAACCAAAAATGTAAATCCCTCAACTTATAAGACCTTGTGTAAGTTTTCTGAAAAACATTTAGCAATCAAAACCTATTCAGTCTGGATTCTTAGGGCATTACTGTACAACACAATTGGTAATTCTACTGCCTTGTTTTATTAAACTATCAGAGCAAGTTCTTCTTGTTTCAAAAGATGTTATCATTTGGCGCAAAATGTCTTCAAATGCAGTTAGTGTCTTAGATGTATAAAAAGGAGATAAAATGATTTATTTGCTCTCCACTGTTTTTTTTTTTTAACAAAAGGATACAAGATATTTCTCCAGGGGAGACCAGAAGTTGGGTCTATCTTTAAGTGCACCATTTACTAATTTAGATAATTTTTGGAACAGGTTTTCTGTTTATTTCTTCTTTAACAAGGATTCAGAGAATCTTCAAACAGAACTCAGGCTCAGTTTAGTTAAGGTGATTTTGAAATTCCCCTCTCAGGATAATCTATGTTTACCAGCAAAGATATAGTGTCATATCCTACTTTATCATTCCCTACATGCCTAATCTGATAACCTGGACACTGGTTAATTGATGTTTGAAAAAAAAATTTATTTGGAAGTCCAAATACTTGTTCTTTGTTAAGAGGGCGAAGTGGTATTCTCTGCTGAAAAATACTTACCAAAGTGGTATCAATTTCTGATATTACTGTATTAGTGCCAGTCCTCTCATTTGGTTCCAGACCTTTTAATCTTTCTTCCTCGTGTCTGCAGATGGACCCACCATCATTTTGCATGGAACATCTTGTTCCCAGACCTAACTTTAGTCTTTGCATCTAATCACTGTATAATGCTTTCGTATTTCACTTTTTAAAGTTAATATAGGTCACAGTAGTCATAGAGGAAGGGGGGAAGGGGAGGGCAGGAGAGAAAGAGAACCAAGGAAAGAAAGACAGACTTGCTGGCTTTCCAGAAAGTAACTGTAATCAGTCTTTTACAAGAAAGTTGCACTGAGACCAAATGATTTTTAACTTATCTCATCCATTTTCCACAACCCTTCCTAGAATTCACAAAATGTCAAAGGCTGTTGTGGTATGCTAGGTGTATGAAACGTGCTTTTGTGCCAGATGTTTGGATTTAAAAAAAAAAACAAAAATGACCCTCTCCCTATCCTCACTGTCACCTTCCAGTGGCAGTTTCAGGTAATAGGACATGCACACCAACCCCACTGAGTTTTCTGCTAATACAGCATTATGAAGTATTTTAGCTCAGTCTGAAAGATCAGGCTTCCATAGTAGCTTTCCTGGAAAATGTCCCCAGCATTGAAGTCCTAGAGCAGTCACATACTCTTCAACACAGTTATTTTTCCTAGTAATCTATTCTATTGAGGTATTCAAAACTAATACACATTTTTAAAACGGCACTGTTCTCTCAGTCATTCAACTAGATTCTTAGTTATTGCCTTTATTAGTTTCATTATTAAAAATTCCCAGCTTTTAAAAACATCAAGTTAAGGAGAATATTGAGGATTAAATTGTTTTTTTCCTTAGAGGATCTGGTATTCTGAAAACCCTCCAGTCATTTATGTAGGCTCCAGATATGTGAGGAAGATGCTAAGGGAAAAATTGAGAAGAGGGTGAAGCATTGTGAGCATCACTTGAAGGCAATAGGATATAATGTATGTTCAGTATTTCTGACCAAAAGACAGTTTAGATTTGCTGTGTTGCTGTCATCTGTATCAGACATTTGTACTGTAATAGCTAAGGCTGGCAATGTACTAGGAAGAAAGTGAGATGATTATTTAGATTATTGGGGGATTCTGTCCTACAAAGAATATCTATTAAAAAGATTGGCAAAATGACTGAGGAAAGGGATATGCAAGGGTAGAGTCCAAACCACGCCTGGATTTGAATATTCTAATTGCGGGTATGTGAATAGTCTGAAAGTGCACTGAAAAAAATGAGTAAAGATAACTTTTTCCAAGTGACTGGTGTTTTTTTAGGGAAGATATATTTTTGAACAGGAGAACTGTGAGTTTGTAAATTAAGAAGCATTTTTATGCTAAATTTGGTTTTTCAGAATAGCTGTTTTCTTAAACATAACTGAACTGAACTACTTCCATGGCTTTGCTAGTTTTTTCATGAGTGTTCACAAAAGCTTTTCTTGTAAATCTCTTGGCTTGGGCAACAGGATATTCACACCTCATCTGAACCCACCTACGATCCAAGGGATTAGCTGTCTTTGTCAAGACCCATAGCACTATTGAGTGTCCTATGCTCTCAGCTAGGCACAAAAAATGATAGTGGAGCTTTTACTAATGTTACACATACCATCTAAAAAGTTCATATAGCTCATCTTAGGGATGCAGTGAAGGATTTCTACATTAACTAATTTTCCATATAAGAAAATTTGAAACCATAATATGTACAGTATTTAAATAATTATGTCTGATTATCCTTTTAGGCATATTTGCAATCCAAATATTTGAGAATTGAAAAATACTATTGTCATACTAGCTCAACCTGGCAACATTAACATTTTGCAGATATGCAGGTTAATAATGAAAATACTATGTAAATTGTAATTACATTGGTATTTACAGTCAGTGGAAGGCAGGAGAGTTAGGAGAGATGTCTGTACCTTTATATAGTTATCCACTTCTGTACATCACATTCTTTAATTTCTATATATTAATTGCCATCTCAAATAGCAAGAGTTCCTGTAAGAACAGACTTCATTTGAGTTTTTTTACTCTCATCTTTTTTTGGTGTGTTAAAGTGAAGTACAGTAAATCATTTTAATATACTGAAGATATAATTATGACTGCTAAACTTACATCTCCCTCTCTATTTCAAGGCTTCTGGAGCAGCTGGAAAAACAGGAAGCTTAGGGAAGAAACCTGGTAAGTCATATATAGTGGACAGCACCTCCTCTTAAGTACTAGTCAGTGAAAAAGTGTCAGTGGGAACAAAATCTTTTCCATAATAATAAATCATTTGCTCTTGGTCATTTATATCTTCTGAAATACACTGTTATGCTTTAGTAATTCACATTAATGAATACTGTTTATATTAAATTAATTACCTATTTTTAACCTATTCATTAATTACCTATTATTAACCTATTCATCACCGTATTGAAGTAGCATATATAGGTAAGGAATAAAAATCTGCTTGCTCAAAAACAAGTGTAAACTAAACCAAATAGAACAGTGGAAGCCCACAAAAGTTTCTCAAGTTTCCCAGTGTCCCTGAAATGGAAGTACACATTTCACATTGTGGTTTCACAGCTTTGCCCTAATCTGGTATACATTGAGCTCTTGTGTCTGCTTCCTATTTTCAAGAGCATATACCTTGTATGTATGCCATGTAGCTTATTGCCTGAAAAGCCTGGTCATATTGCAGATCATCATGTTGCAGATTATTTTTTGGCTTGAAAGAAGTCCTCTTGTTCTTGGGTTAGAGGTCAGGAGAAGGGCCGTCCTTTTAAACAGCTGTTTTTCCAAAGATCATTTAAAGAGCGCATTGTCACTGGCAGGCATTTGTAGACATTCCAGAAGGCATCTCTGTTTTTCTCTTCAGTGTATTTATTTGCTTCTGTATGAAAGATATGATTTTGCATCCAGTTGAACTAAATTAGGAGATGTTCAATGCTTCTGTCCCTTTCTCTGAAACTTATTTAGTTGCTTAGTGAGGTAGTTCAAGGATGTGGATTACCAAGTCCTGCCTATCTCCATACCCATATACATACTCATATTCATGTTTTATTTTGTTTTGTGGGGAGAAAGTTGCTTTTTGTCTGCCTGAAGTGGCTCACTACTAAAGTGTGTAAGAGAAAAGAGAGAGGATGCAGAATAGACTGCAGTAGCCCCAGCTTAATTTGTCTTATTTTACCTCTGCTCTTGGCAAATCTGACTGATCCATTCTATAGTAAGAAGGGTTTGGAAATAAACTACTTCTGCCCTTTTAAACTTTGCTTTGAATAACCAAACACAGTTGTGTTAATAGATTAAAAGTTTGAGAGAGGCAGAAAAGAACTCTGGAAAACCTGTAAAAGTGAGACCTGGTAGGAATAATGACAAGATGCTGATAGGTATAGCTACTGTTTCTATGCATGGGAGAATGAAGCATGAGAGGACTTGAGTAGCAGCCTTATAATCACTAATCTGCTAAATCTGAATATTAAGCAGAGGAGAGATGGGTTTGTGTTGACAAAAGGTGTATTTAGAACTTTTTGGAATTTAAGAACAGTTTAAGAGCAGTCCTGCCTATTTTTCAGCAAGGAGGTTCATGGATGTTTTTGCCACAGAGGTGAAAGGCTAATAAATGAGGTGAAATATTCCAGTTTATTCTAGAAGCAGCAGGATGAACAAGTGAGTGTTGATAATAGTCTGTGTTTGACAAGGAAGAGAAAATGCTGTCTTTTGGAATTTAAGTGGCATTATGGGGACAACTGTATCTGTGAGAAGACATTTCTTTCTCTTTCTAAATGAATCTCTTTTGGTAGAGGACAGGTTCTCCTGGCCTGAGCTGTAAATGAATTGGATCTCTTCTTAGTAATTCAGTATTCAAATATAACAAAATTAAAAGTCCTTCCTGGAATAAAAGTTTTGTTGTTTTGTTTTTTTTTTTTTCCTTTTTTACTTGAAAAAACAGAAAAGAAAAAAAAAAAAACCCACAAAAAAAATCCCCCAAACTTAATTTGCTGCATGTTTTCCTCCAACTTTCTGCTTTTCTTTGACATGAGAGCTAGATACTAATTTGTAATTCAGATCAGTTCATAGTAAAAATTCTATATGCTACCAGTTGGTGAAAGAGGATCTCTGATATCTGGAGCCGTGTGGATTGTCATTATGTAGATAAAATTGTGATGTTTTTTTTCTGAGTTACAAGCTATAAGATTTTTGTTCTCTCAATAGAACGCATAGTATGATATATTGAAGATGATGGTTTTTTTATGGTAGAGAGAGGATTTTGCATAATTAAAAAAAAAAAGACTAATTCCCATATTTAGTTTCTTTGCTAGTGTTCGTTTTACTTTCTGAATTGCTCTGAGGTGGGTGAATTGATGCAACTGTGAAAAGCCTACCATTCCCCTGAGATCTTGTAGATCTTTTAGCAGTACAGTCATGTTTCCTGTCAAAAAGCTTGCTTTGTCTTTGTACAGAACAGTCTGTGCTGCTGCTGGCTTTTATCTGTATAGACCTTTCTATTCTACCTACAAATATCATATTTACTTAGCATTTCTTTCTTCCATCTTCTGCTTTCAGAGTTGAAATGCTATTTTTTATGTTCCAGATCCGTGTGTAAACCATCTTTCTAACTCTCAGCCAGGACCTTTTTCATCACCTGTTTGGTCCACGCTTTTACCGAAGGTTTCCAATAATCATTGTATTAAATATACTCTCTCTATCATCCTACCCATGTTTTGATGACATGATAAACCTGACTTAAATGCTATCAGTCAGACATTTCAGCCCTAACTGCAGCCACTTACAAGTTCCTGTCAGTTCACATCTGTTCAGAAATGGGTTAACCCTGTCAGACTTTGTGGTGATTAAGTTTTCATCTATGTTTCCACAACTGTAAAATGGCATGAACTGCTCTATCCACCTTGGCTAATGTAACTGAGAGAGAATTGTGTGCTTACCATTACTCTCCTGTCACATTTTTGCTGCGAGGTAAATTAGAGAAGGCACCAGTTTTCTATTAATGTCTACAAAAGAAAGGTTTCAAAATAAACCCTGCCTGTTGCATTTCAGAAACTTCCATTTTTTGTCTAGTGTGGCGGTGAGAATTTTTTTGCAGACCTTCATTAGTTTACACCTCTGTTACCACATCTTCCTAATACTGTCGTCATCGTCTATCTCTTTGTAGGGAACATTGTCCAAACTGATGCTACAAAAACATGTTTATTGGAAAACAGTATTTATGAAACTTGATTTTAAGAGCCACATGGCTTTAATTATGGTCATTATTCTTCTCCATTTCAGATATTTTTTGCATCCTACCCATACAGCTCTTGCATCTCTGTTCTCTTATTCCTGTACTGCTGTGAACTTTTTAAGGAGGAACTTCAAATCTGTTTTGTAATTATAGTTTGTATTCAAGAAATTATGTAAATGCATTACAGTTTAATGGAAAAAAATTCAAAATGGATATACTGTACCAATGATAATAGCAGAGTCAATCTTGAATAGAATGTGTTCTTTTTTTTTTTTCCAGATTAACTTTTTTTTCTTCCTGCTTTAACAGAAATTGCCCAAGTTATTGCCTCTTACACAGCAACGGGTCCAGAACAACTCACCCTTGCTCCTGGTCAGTTGATTCTTATCAGAAAGAAGAACCCAGGTGGCTGGTGGGAAGGAGAGCTCCAAGTGAGTTACTGGTTTTTGAAATAAAATTACATGTAAAAGAATCTGTGATTTTATTTTTAATAGTTCAAAATGATAAATGTGTCAATGCTAAATACGTTATTTTGAAAATGTTCTGCAACTGATCTTTTACAAGTAAAATGCCTTTTCATTCTAATTTGTTGAAATTGAAATAACTTTGGAGAATGGCAGGAAAAAAACATATTTCTTCACTGTGAGGCGGAGATGCCCATCTCACAAATCAGACCTGGCCTGCAATCTGCTCTCCTGTTCATTTTCCTGGAGGCTCAGTGTTTGACCTAGTTCAAACTTAAATATTTTTTTTTCCTCATTTCTACTTCCCTTCTTTGCTTTCCTGGTGGTATTTTTTCATTTCTTTGTCCATAAGTAATTTTCCAAGATTGTTTTTGTTTTCACTCATGCTCATCTTTATGTTGTTCACTTGTAACTTGAGACTCAAAGTTTATTTTAAGGCACAAAATAAGCTTCACTTGGCAAGAGCTGTCACAATTGATCACTTAACAGCTAATGAGCAGAGTGAGTTGTTTGGTGGAGTTTTTTTTTTGTTTGTTTGGTTTTGTTTTTGTTTTGTTTTTTTTTAAGTTCAATTTCTTATTGTGTAAGTTCTTATCTGTAGTTTTGGATACCGTACTATCTTACATTTAGTTTTACAAGTGTTTTTTTCATTCGATGTCCTGTTCCTGTTCTTTTCGTTCTCCTGTTTTAATACTAATACTAGTCCTTGCCTCCTCTATTACGTGTGCCCAAAGGCTAATGGAACAACATGGTGAAATGGTTTGAAGAATTGATAAAAAAATAAAAGCAGCAACAACAAAAAGCTATTGTAAAATGACCACTAGATTTGGAAAAGGACATTGGTATTAACTTCTTAATGCATTTATTTCTTCTTAATGCAGATTTTTTAAGAAGTATATGCTACTGTTAATTATCAACCTGACGTGTATTTTGATTGCTCTTGTCTTAGCTGAAGGTAAAATAAAGTAGGGTAAATGTGTTAAGCATTGCATTGCTAGATTTAATGCAGAATATGTTAAAATTAATGGTCTAGAAACACTGTAGATCAAAAGCTTTCATTTTCAGTAAGAAGGGAAGAAAATAGTGAAAAAATAGTTTTTGTTTGGTGACTTTTTGAAGTCAATTAGTGTCTATTTTCTTTTATAGGTAATATTCTTTGTACTCAAAATTCCAACTTTAATCTAACGAAAAAAAAAGTAGTTAAAATAATTCTTAATATAGATTTAATAATGTAAAAGCTGAGATTTGAATTCAAGTTTTATAATAACCTTTCTTAGCTGAGAAAAATTAAAGATATTTCTTCTGATTAAATTTGTAAAGCACAATGTAGTTGATGAAATAACAGGATGCAGATTCTGTCAAATTGCTATCCTGCTTCAGTGATATAAGCTTTGACACACTTGATCAGGCCTGTGCTTTTCTGTCCCAACATCCTGTTTCTGACAGAGAATGATTGCCGCTGTGTTACAAACCTTACAGCTCCACTCTAGGTCATGTATGTGGTCATCTGTTTCTGTTCATGAACATACATTGTAGTATGTATGTTTACCACATTTTGTACTGATGTTCTCTGACAGTATGAGAGCATCTAACATGCTTTCCCACACCTTAACATCTGTTAATTAGGATCATTTGGATAGTTTGATTGGATTCTGGCTTTGGGATTTCGTGTTTGAGTCCAAACTTGATGAACTTTTTCAGGTCATGTTTTGCTGTATTTCTAGCACTTGGTTAATGTGACATATGTTTGCACTCCTCCACCTATTGGTTGAGCAGGAGAGGTTAATACAAAGTTTAGAAACTGCTTCTTGGAAGAAAAGAGGTAATTGGAATTCTTAATCTCTATTTAAACTATTACAATCTAGATAACGATTTAAAAACAATTATTGGCATAATGAAAAAGCTTGTTGTTTTGAATGCTGTTATTCATTATTGTGATAGCTAGCCTGGCATTCTAGAGTTAAGGTTTAAAAAAAAAAAAATTAAATCTTTTAGAAGGAGTGGTTATTGTAGTTTTATTTATAAAGCACACAAAGTAGGAAAACTTAAGTGAAAACTCAAATTCATAGAATCACAGAGTCATAGAATGGATCGGATTAGAAGGGACCTCAAGGATCATCAAGCTCCAACCCTGAGCTGCCAACCTCCACGTTTAATACTAGACTTAAATAAGTAGTAAATAAGTGTTTAGCTGTAATAAAAGCTTGCTTCATAATAGGAAGCATCCTGACATTGAACTATCACGATGAAAATAGCTGACAGTTTCCTTATAAAATGAATTTTACTTGAAATGCTTGGACTGCAAGTAGTTAAGGTATTGGCTGAATTGCCTCGCCTAAGGTTCTATTGATATGCTTACTCCTCTTAAAAGAATTGTTTCTTTTTCTTTCTTTCTTTATTTTTTTACTAGGCCCGAGGGAAAAAACGACAAATAGGATGGTTTCCTGCTAATTATGTAAAACTCTTGAGCCCTGGTACCAGTAAAACTACGCCAACCGAGCTACCTAAATCAACAGCATTACCTTCAGGTAAGCAGTGCGTTAATGGAGTTGATGTTGTAATGCATATCATTTACAGTAAGACTTCTAAAATTAATCACAAGCATTAAATATATGCCACAGTAGTCAGTACGGTAAAACAATTTATTTTGATTTTTTTTACAGGGAGGGTAGACAGTTTGTTTCTACATTTATTGTGGTGATCCCTGAGGTGTAACTGTAGCGTGACATTACACCTTAAAGAGTAAAATATTCAAGTTACAAGTCCCGTTTGTTAACAGTAAATATATTGAGGGAGTTTTTAAAGGTTCAGAATGTTCCATAGGCTTATCAGTGGAGGCTTTTGTCATTCAGGACTATTTTTCCTAAGATGAAGTGTGAGAAAACTACACGAGTATAGAGCTTTTTGTCCTATTGTTAAAGTTTGTGAAAGGATACAGCAGTGATAGACCTTTTTACTTACAGAATCTATTTGCTACAGCTCCAACATGGGCAGCTCTGTATCAGCTCTGTCAATCTACTGCAAAATATAAAGCCAGGCAGAAGACTGAGAACGGAAAGTTCAGTGCTTGTGGTTGTTTTAGTCCTTCACCATTTTGTGTTTGCTAGCTTTGTAGTACCAGGTAAAGGAGATCCTTGACAATCAAAAATGTGTAGAATAGTTCATTTTCTTCCATAATACCCAAAGATTTGAGGCAGTTGTAAATGATTTTGTGTTCTGTAGTTAGACTGGTCTCTTAGCACTGAGACACAATATCTGAATGTGAAGGGATGTTTTTTTTTTTTGCTTGTTATTTCAACTTTGAGAGTTTGGGACTTTTGACACATGCTGATAAAACTTACAGAATAAATTTTCTAGTGCATTTCTCACTGCCTATAGAACATGGAAATCTTAATGCCATTCATTCTAATCAAATTCAGCTTTGTTATAGGCCTGTTATTTTGGAGAGTGAGAAGAAGAAATAGGACTATCTTGCCTTTCTATTATGATGTGGTCTAACTTAGTGTGTGGTTATGTAAGATGTTAAGAGGTTAACGTTTGAGAAGCACCTTCATGGAGGAAGTGTGTTAGTGAGAAGTCTTATAGCAAAAGACATGGAAAGCTTGAAGTAAACTGTCTACAGGGATAAAATAGTGCTCAAGGCGGTGCAATGTGAAGAGTGTAAGAGTGTGTCAAGTCTGTCTGGGTTCTAAAGACAGTGGATCCACCAGAAGCCTCCTTTTCTTTTGCCATTTTGTTTGTTTTGATGCATAGGCTCTCTGTGTATCATACTGTGATGCAAACTGCATGGCTTTAAACAACCTTTTAAAAAATTCTTTTGCATGGACTCTTTTGCTTTATACTTTGGATGTTTTCTTCATTTGCAACTGCTTCATACTTACCCTGTTCGAAACTTGCATCCAGAACATCTTCCTGCTTCTGAGAAATGAGAAGAGCTGTTAAAGCTCCTTGATCTAGCCAGGCACAAGGAGGTTCACAGTACAGGAATAGTTAGAAACACATTCCAACCATACTGCATGTTTAAAGAAAGACAACATTATAGATTGTAATGGTCATGAGTGTACCATGTGAACCTGGATTCCTTCTGCCATTGACTAGTTAATCAACAGGCAAAATCTTTTTAGAAAAGAAACAAAGAGCTAAAAAGCACTGGAGCTCAGAGAAAGCTCTAGCCTACTTCTGTAGTTAGCAGTGGCTTTTGGAGCTGTTGCTGTTAGTTGTTTAACATAATTGAAGAACTTTCTTTCTGGGACTACTCAAAGAGTTTTATATATAAGACTGAAGTGCTTTCTAAGCTGTGTGACCAGGTGTAAACAAGATCAAGATGAGGTCAATGCTTCAAGCTCAATGGAGGAGTCCCATCTTCAAAACCCTCTTAAATTACCTCCCCAAGTTATAGGTGGTTCTTGAGATCCCGTTTAAATATTCTGATGGCCAGCACCAAATACCAAGAAATTCTTTGAGGTACAGGAGAACAATCAGGAGAATGAAAACTTCCTGGAAGAAACAAACTCTTGAATGGGAAACAAATCTGTATGGGATTCATCTCAAGCGTGATCTAGTTTAAGCCTTTTATTTTTCCTAATTTTAGTAATAGCCTGTGAATATTTAACAAGAATGTTATAAAACAGATTCACAGGTCTTTAAAAGGAAATATGAACATCAGTGCTGTTCATACATTTTAACTTATATTAGCCCAAAAGTACCTACCTAATAGTAGGTAGTATGCCATAATATGCATTTTATATCCAGTATGCTAGGGAAATGTGCACTTTGGAGAGTTGTTGTATTAGATGTGATGAGTAACAGTGAATGCCCCTTGACTTTTTATTTTTTATTTATTTTTACATTTTAATTAGAATCATTTTTTTTCTCTCTTGCGAGTAACTAAACAAAATCTTGAGATATGTGCTGATATGATATATATATTTGATTATGAGGTTTGCAAACAGGCATAAAATATTAACTAAAAGGAGTTGAATAATTTCTGGAATATAAATTCCTGAAAGAGGAAGGAACTGTTTGACAAATTTAATTAAATTGCTGGCTGTGTACAAGAACAAAAATACAAGAAAACTGTAGATTGAGAATAGAGACAACATGACAGGAAGGCTTATTTAGCCAGCAGTGTTGTGTCGTCAGGCAAAATACCAGAAGCCCTGTGTCTTGGCAAGGAGAAATCAGCAGAGAAATAGAGGAAATTATATAACTTAAATAAACAGTCCTCCTGCTTTAGAGAATTAAGAAAATTGCTCTATTATAACTGAACAGAAACCATTGTATCCTGAGAACCATCCAGGTTTGATGAGTTTTATGGTAAGAAAATAGGAAAAATGCTTCTTGCAACAGTCCTGTGGGGCCAAAAGGCCACCCTAAATGACCCTTCTTACTTTTTTCATCTTTCCAAGGTTTTTATGTTCCTAATGCCTGTGGGGCAGTACAAGAGTACAAGTACAATCACCACTGCCTTTCTCTTGAATTACAGATCTGTTTAGCATGGTCACTGCTAATTAGAAAGGAGTGCCTCTCTCAAATAATTGAACTTAAAGTGTTTCCTAAACTTTTCTGTCCATTGAGTGGTTCTACTGGAAAGGATACTTACTTAGAACAGGGCGAGGATGCAGAATGCTAATTTTATAAATACATTATAAGTTTGGTGCTTTTATGGGCAGAAATATCTATATATATAGCTGAAGAGTAGTGTCAACAGAAAGCTAACATTTTGACCTTTTCTTAAAATTCTAAATCTTTCCAGTCTCTCACTGTTGAGCACTTTCTATCGAAAATATCTTAAGTGCAGTTCCAGTGGGTTACACTGTTCTCAGCTTGCACTGTTGTGTCCTGCCCTCCGTATTGTGATCCTAAATCCTCAGTAAGCTGACGAAGAGGGTAAAGCTGTGTGGAAGGTCTTTGTTTTTTTTTAACTAACCTTGAGCCAAATTGTTGAGAGCTTGGATAAATTCTGATACAGGGGCAGAGGAGAGAGGGGCAGGAGCACAGCAGTGCCTGTATAGATCAGTGCACTACCATGGAACTACATTGTGATACCTGCAGTGTTTACACGTAGCTTATGCTTCGTTGAAACTTTACCAGTGCTACAGAACTCTTCCTTTATCTTACAGTGTGCCAAGTAATTGGCATGTATGACTACACTGCACAGAATGATGATGAGCTAGCATTCAATAAAGGCCAGATTATAAACGTCCTTAGCAAGGAAGACCCAGACTGGTGGAAAGGGGAGGTGAATGGACAAGTGGGTCTCTTCCCATCCAACTATGTGAAGCTGACAACAGATACGGACCCAAGCCAGCAATGTAAGTGACCCTCTCTGCTGCCATGCTATAATTATTTATGTAGTACTTTAAGATGAAACATGCAGCATTGCTGTGATCCTGCTGCGGTTTGCAGAACTCAATGCTTCACCACTGCTGCACTTGGCAAAGTCTCTTTGAAGACCTTCTGTAATGCAAACCTTATTTTATGTTTGTTTTATTTTTAGTTCCCATCCCCTTTGTAGCATGTTACCCTTTATCATTTTTGCACCATGCTGTTTACATGCCTGACTCATTTTCCTAGCTTGAATTTGCTCATTGTTTTGTTTTGCTTATGTGTTGTTTTCCTCCTTTTTCTAGGAATCATATGTTGTCCATCCCCCACTCAGGCTTGAAAGTCCTCAAAGAGACCCACTATCCCATATCACTGCCCAGAGGGATGATGGGAGATGCAGCCTTGATCATGTGACTTCCAGCATGATCATCTACTGCCTTCTGAGTAGAAGAACACACTGCAGAGCAGTTTACCTCATTTTACATTAGTTGCATGTAATCACATTGTTTGAGTTAATTACCTGCAGATATAGATGCAAAATTAAATGAAACAAAAAAAAAAAAAAACACAAAAAAATCAGAGGATAGTGGGTCCTTTTGTGGCTTTCATAGTTACCAAACTAATTTTTCCACCTTTGCACAGGTGCTTTTGCAGTTTTAAAATTATTTTTAAATATATATTTTAGCCTTTTAAAGGAAAAGTATAAATTAAATTTCTTCATTTTAATCTTGTTTGTGCAAAAAGACCCACTATCAAGGAATGCTGCATGTGCTGTTAAATTTGTTCCAAATGTCCATAAATTTGAGATTTTATGTATCTTTCTTTTTTATTGTTTGCTTGTCCAGTGTTGTCAATGTCTTTTTTTTTTTAATTATTGCAAAAAAAAAAAGCAGAAGGAGTTAAATCAGTTTAAGGAACTTTAAGTGTGCCCAATTGCAGATAAGGTATTTTGTTGTAGTTCTTGTACTGTGTGTATCAGGTGTTCCTTGTTGAGTGTAATACATTGTGGAGAGAAGAGATTAACTTCCTTCCAATGCAAGAGATATTAACCTTGCATAATGTTGTTATCCCAGTTATGTTAATTTTATTTTGCACACTATTTGTAGCTGCATACAATTAGAAAACATCCTGGTTTGTGTTTGTCTCAGATGTTTCAGTTTTTGCATTTTCGTGTCAAAAATCAACAGAACGCTACATTCATGTGAAGTTTGAGCATTAACTTCTTTGGTTTTTTTCCATCTTGGTTACATGAAGTTCATGGAGTTCTATTTTTCATTTTTACTTTCTCGTGACTATGGAACAACACTTTTTGAACAAGTAATTTTCCTGACAAGAAAGAATGTATAGAAATATCTCCCTGCAATTAATTTTCAATGTTTACATTTTTTTTAAACTAGACTGTGGAATTTATACAAATTAATATTAAATGGAGCTTACAGTCAAATATATGTAGTAGATGTGCTGTAGCTAAGCCATGTTTGCCTTTCCAGCATTAGTAACAAGCTCTTGATGAAATGCTTGGTGCTGTCAGTGCAGAAACCCCCTCTACCCAATGCCTCAAGCACAATATAGCATTTGTACTAACTACTTTACCATTTAGTTATCTTCTGTTTTATGTACTTCATTTATTTCTATATTTCATGCTGGCAGTGTTGTAGAATTTCTAATCCTATCCCATCTCCCTCCTTCTGACCCACCATGCGGTGCAAAGAACAAGTGAAGCTCCGTATACAATTGCACTTCAGTATTTCATCAATATGAATGTAAAATATATAAATATATAAAAACCTGCAGCTTTAACAACTGTAATACAGCCTTTAAAATTAGTCACATGTATAGATAATTAAATTCTTCATATAAAAGCTAGACTACAATGTGTTTGTTGTCTTGTTGCTGTGTACATGCAGAATTCACCAAGTGGCATTAGTACATGTAATGAATTTGCCACCAGAGTAGCCTGAAGCCCTGTTTAATTTCTGAATGACACCTGTGTTGTTACTTTGAATATTGTTTGATTATAACTACTCATTGTGATCAGCTGCAAACTTCTGCACCTTTCTTTCTCTATTCACTGCCTTCTATGTTACAGAACAGTAGGTACTTTTTGACACTATGCTAGTAGATATATTAAGTATACTTTTTTATTTTACAATGGGTTTACATTGACCTAGGCTCTGCGTTGTATGCCAGAAGCTCTAGTCTTAAAACATGCACAATTGCACAGATTTTCTCTGTTTTTAGGATAGTTTCTAACATGCACGTTTTTTCCTTTATCACTCTGCCATAAAAAAATGGTTTTCTTCTTCAACATAGCCATTTGCTGAACACAGTGCTGCCTTGCATCTGACAGAAATTGAACATAACTTAATACTTGTATTTTTCAGTTACTCTTGTTTTGCTTGCTGAGAACTATGTAGCAGATTCTTCTCCATTATTTCAATATTTCATGCATTAAAATGTTATTTTAATGAAAGGGTATCTCTGTGTTCCCATAATGAGCTGTTGTGTTGAAAGATTCATAACTTGACTAAAAGCTTTTGTCCTAAGGTATGCTATGGTTTTTATGACTTCAGGTCAGAAACACACTTTCTCTACATATTGAAATATTGGCAATACTTTGAATATAGGAGATTCATATGCTGCTTTTTTTAATTATTATTATTACATTAAGGGAGAAAAAAAATAAAACTATTACAATATCTTCAGGTTCTATGTTTTCTAACATGCTTCTAAAAACACAGAGTGATGTCTCATGAAAGATACTCAGAATCACAGTACCCTAAAAGTTCCTGGGGACAATTTTCCACTGAATTGAATAGAACAGACTGAAGTTGTCCCTCTGTAGATACACACACTGATGTATGTTGTGCCAGGATTTCTCATACAGAAGAGCACTGTGTATTACTCAACTGAGCAACATCTTATAAATCAGTCTATTCTTGAGAACAGTTAACTCACAAAAACCTCAAAACACATTTAAAATGTCCTGGACAAAGATATTCAGACTGTAATGAAATTCATCGTTGAAAGACCTATGATGTCTATTTACTCAATTGTTAAAAATTATTAAAAATCATTGTGCATACTACCATAGATCAGCATGGAACTTACCCATAATCAGTTATTTCCACTAGGTAGCAGGGAAAATTGGGGTCCCCAGTACAAGAAAGACGCAGAACTCTTGGAGTCCAGAGGAGAGCCACTAAGATGATCAGAGGGCTGGAGCACCTCTTCTATGAAGAAAGGTTGAGGGAACTGGGCTTGTTTAGCTTGGAAAAGAGAAGGCTCCAGGGAGACCTCGTTGTGGCCTTCCAGTACTTGAAGGGAGCATATAAACAGGAGGGGGAATGGCTGTTTACAAGGATGGATAGTGATAGGACAAGGGGGAATGGTTTTAAACTGAGACAGGGGAGGTTTAGGTTAGATATTAGGAGGAAGTTTTTCACACAGAGGTGGTGAGGCACTGGAACAGGTTGCCCAAGGAGGCTGTGGATGCCCCATCCCTGGAGGCATTCAAGGCCAGGCTGGATGTGGCTCTGGGCAGCCTGGTCTGGTGGTTGGCGACCCTGCACACAGCAGGGGGTTGAAACTGGATGATCATTGTGGTCCTTGTCAACCCAGGCCATTCTGTGATGATTCAATGATATGATTCTATAAAAATGATGTTGCACTTATTCTCTTACCTGTCTGGGTTTTTATTAATATTTATGAGAAAGGGAGTCTGAAAGTAATTCCTTAATAAAGAAAATTGAAATAATCCATCAAAAATAATACTTTTTCAGGGTTGTGTCTCAATCCAGTTTTGACTCTCCTGTCCTTAGTGATACATCTGAGAAGCTCTTTAGTCTCCTACAACCACACAATTACCTCCCAAAATACACTTGTCTCCTGTGATGGAGATGTGTCCATGCTCTTGTCTCTTCAGTTCTTGAATTTGTGGCTGGAAAGCCGACAAACACTAATCTTGGTCAAGGCTGAAATAAGATTTCCACGATCTATATAGACTTAAGATAAGAAATCATTCAGATGATTTTCATTTTGATTTACATTTTAAGTCAGCATAAAGAGCAGCCTTGTGGCTGTCTAATCGGTTGAATGCATTTTTTATAAATCAGCTTTCATTTGTGAAGTACCTTTTCCCATTTCAGCAGGAAATCAGGAATAAGGAGCCATCATTTGAGGGATGTAGATGAGATTGCATTTAGAGAGCGCTTTAATTTCTGGTGGTTCTTTTCCTTCAGAGTTGTTCTGTTTGTCTTGAGAAAAAAAGAAATCCGTATTCACAAAAGAGTTATTCTGTGTTCTTTTTATTTCAATTAAGTATTTCATGGACAGTGTATCTGCTAGTGTGTTTAAATGGAAAGATTCTTATACCTGAGGTAATTTTACAGCAAGTGAATATACAACTTTTAGAAGGGGCTGGAGTCCCCATAGCATTACATTGCTCCATGATCACAGAACTTGGCTCCACGTTCCAGCATAAGCCTCTCCTTTTACTTGGTGTGTAGCCCACCTCTTTGAGTGCCCCCTCAGCAGCAGCTTTACCTAACAGCAAGAAGAAAGCTCAATGCTTCTGCTCTCCTCTGATCTTGACTTGCATTTGGCCCATCATGTTGCCCATTTGTACCCACTGAGTGCTAAGCTGATGTTGCCAGCTCCACTGATGCCCATAGAGCTGTGAGCTGGTGCCATCGCTACTGAAACACTGCTCTCTGCACTGGGCTCACATCAGTATGACAGATAGCAGTTTTCTGCTCCCTGGGCTGGCTTGCTGAAATCTGATTTCGTGGATTTTTTTCCCCCGTCATATTCATCTCTGCCAAGTGCATTTCTCAGCTGTTTTTTTTTGTGTGTGTTGGATTTAATTCTGTTAAAGTCCATCTGGTTCGATTCCCTTACATTACCTTTTTTTTTTTTTTGGAGGCGAAGACCTGGAGCAAGGGAAGGTAATGGGTGGAGGTCAGCACGAGAACGTGGAAAACTAATAAAATATTTGAACTCTGAGAATACAAGATACCCCAATTCTGACCCCAAGTGCAGTACCTATATATTATGTTTATTTTTGCTGAAGACAATGCGAAGCTGGGTTGTGCAGTTTTGGTGTTTGCATCTGAAGCCAGTTGATAAGAAGAATGAATGTTCAAATGCTGTCTTTTGATGGAAGGAACGCTATTGTGGTGTCAGGAGTACTGTTTCTCCTCATTTAAGGTTCTGGAGGAAAACTGTGGTGTAATTTTGTAGTGCTTCTGGTTCGCTGTAATAGCAACCTTGCCCACTGCAGGGGAGTTGGAACTGGATGATCTTTAAGTTCCCTTCTAGTCCAACTTCACAGTTCTGTGACAACAGAGTGGACTCCTGTCTACTGTGATCTTGCTGTTGCACATTGGGCCATTATGAAGTTATGGTGAAAACTGGCAGTTACAGAAAATCTCCCTGAATTTGAAGAAATTAGAAGTTATGCCTATGTGCTTAGAGCAGTGAGTTCCACAATGGATTCTTCTTCCTGAAAAGACACAATCCATGACAAACTGCTTTCAAGCTTAGCAATTAGCTTAGAAAACTCATATTTTCAGAGCTTTGCCCTTGCAAGGAAAAGGAAAAGCACATTTACTTTTTAGAACGTTATTTTAAATTATTTTCATTAAATTTCTGGAACTCTCAGTTCCACAGGTCATGAGGTGATAGGATACCAGATTTCTGACACTGCTGGGCTTCACTTCTGTTACACAGCTAAAGGATAGAAGGTTACGTATTCACTGCGCTGTGAACATGCTGGATTAACTATCCTAATTGCTCCATTATTTTCTGCATTTTCTAGATTTTTTGGTAGTTAAAGATTCAAATTCAGCTTCTGCAATCTTTCAGATGGTATCAAACGCCAGAGTGGGTGGGAAAATGGAAAAGAATGGAATCTGATGTCCTAAAAGGTAGAATACAGTGCCTAGTTTTAAGTGCTCGAATGGTGACTACTTGTGAGCTTTAAGCTAGAAAAATTAACTGGTTCTACACTGAGGTAAGGTCCGGGACTTCACCAATAGCAGAACTTTCCCATTTGTCAGAGGAAATGCCTAATATCAGGGGCACTTTGGCACTTGGCCCTTTTAGTGGGATGAATTCATGAATGGTGGTGTTATTTCAGCTGCACATGGAATTTGGATGTACATAAAAGTACTTTACACAGTACTTTGGCTTCCATGAATAACCAGCCAGAGCCGTATGACCTTGACATTCCAGCTTGGAAAAGAACAGAGTTCTTGCTTGATATTTATGATACAAAGATCAGACAATTCTTAATACTTGTGCACCTAATGAAGAAAATCCTTTATGAGAAAAGTCTCTCCTGCATTTTCTGCAATAATGCAGTAGGCAGTTTCCCCAAATATTTAGCACTCAAGGTTGAACCCTCCATTGACATTCAGAGTAACCCATTTAAGTCCCAGCTGGCTATCTGTGGAGCTGGCCACTGAAATGTAACAGTTCAAAATGTTAAATACTTTCTTCTAAAGGCTGCTGGTGGTTGGAAACAGCACTTCAAGCCAAGGTCATTGGCATCGTTGAACACTAAAATTCCTCAGCCTCTGGAGAAAAATCATTAAACGTTTTGTTCACTTTTAATGAAGCTGACAGTGCATGGGGAGAACTGATTCTGTTAATTAGAACTGTGATTTACATGATAACTGAGAAAATGCTTTGAAAGCAATCACTTATTAAACAGAATTGAAACTTTTGACTTTGGAAAAATAGTGAGAATTTTGATTATTTCAACTTGAAGTTGTTAATTGACACTTCTCCAAGCCAACTTTTTAATTTCAGGCAGAGTTTGAATTGTATCTTTGAAGGGACTGCAGTACACAGCATTTCGAAGAAGCATTGTCAGTGTGCTACGCTTACAGTCTGATATGTATTCAGCTTCTTACTTATAGAGAATATCTGCATCAACATTTATTGTTTTTAAACAAATCTATCTTTTACCTTTTCTGGAGCACAGATTAGTTCAAGCAACCTGTCCCAAGGCATTCATGAAAAATTTAATGGTGATACGTGGTGGACCTTGCTAGTTGTGTAGTGCAGAATCAGGTCCTGAATTACGTTTGGGAAGCTGAAGATGCAGTATATACTATCTAAGTATTAATTTTATATCAAAGAACTGAAGGGGTTGGCTGGGGTGTGATATGATTAGAAGCAGCAGCGGTTCACTGTGCGAGAACATTTGAGAACATCTGATCTAAAACCACACCTGTTGGATCACGTTGTGTTGGAGTCACGACTGATGCTGGTGAACAGTTAAAAAAAAAAGCTTTGGCCATTTACAATCCCATGAAGTGAAGGTCTCATTGAATGTTTTTCATTCAGATTTTTCTCCACGTGGAAAATGTTTCAATGAGGAATGTACTGAATTTGCCAATGCTTTGTTGAGAGGTGGGGGAAAGAATTAAAATGAAGAATTTTGATTGTGTCAAAGCATAGTATTTCTTTAAAGCAAAATATTTTAAACCAATTTCAAAACAACTGAAATACATTGTATTTTATGCAGAACAGTTATAAAAACTATTAGAAGTGAAACAGGGAGAAAACGTTTTCCTTGGCAATTCCAGAAGAATTTAATTGAGCTGTGCTGAAACATACCAAGATCTATGGGAAAAAAAGTAATTAAGTATTCTGTTGTAATGCAGAATAGAAAATAGAACATGAAAATTGAATTGTGCCTATAGTATAAAAATTCTATAATATACACAGAAGATGGTTTGGAAAAACAGAAGGACAAACTTGATGGAACGTGTGTTCTTAGTTATAAGATTTCCTACTGCTTTTAAAGGTACAAAACGACAATCAATCAACCCTTTGGTTCAGTTTGTAAACTAGTAAGGTCTGTGAGGTAACTCCACTGACCTTCATGACTTTTGGCTCAAGTCCTTCAAAAGTTCTCCAGCAATTTTTAACTGAAGCATGAAGAAGTAAATAAACCCTGCTTTGATGAGGATGCCTACTTTGACTTAAATGATTAAGATCAAACTTGAATGCAGAGCTGAGAGCTGAAAATCTAAAGAGCTCATCAGAGCATTAATGTCACTATAGTTCTCTTCCTTAATTCTGCTCCCTTTTAGGATAAATATATGTGTTCTTTGGCATTAATTCCAGGTGAAGTCTTTGTCCCCTTTTTATTAACAGTGATCCATTTGGGGATTTATTTTACAGTGTGGTTCCAGATGAATGACACAACTAAGGGAAACTGAACTTCGGAGTGAGGTTGGAAATGGGCAGGTAGTGGTGAGGAGAACTTTTAAGTTTTGCCACCAGAGAATAAACATTTAGAAATCCTGTTCATGCCACAGGGAGGTCTTCTTTAGTTGTTTCTGGACTGCATGCTTTCATCTTAATGAGACCTCCATTCACTTGCCTTGTTAACTGGCCATCTCCTAAAAATGACCTTGAATCTTTAAAAAAAAGTTAATGACAATGTTTTTATTCACTAAAAGATGAAAGATTGTAAGCACTGTGTCATTAAGTGTGAATTATGATTAAATGAACAGGCAGTAGTTACTGTTCATTGGGCATTATTCAAACTACTACAGATCTGGATCAATTTAAAAGCCACTGTAAGTAAAATCCAGGATTCTGTTGTGTTTTCCAGGGTGTGCAGACTTGCATCTTCTGGATATGTTGACACCTACTGAAAGAAAAAGGCAGGGATACATCCATGAGCTCATTGTCACAGAAGAGAACTATGTAAATGATTTGCAGTTGGTCACAGAGGTAAGGAGGCACAGCACTTTTAGGAGCAGGTTTTATTCACTCATGTTTTCTGAAGTGAATTGGATCAATAATTTCACCCTACAAACTCATTTGGTATCACTGCTGTGTTGCATTTCCTAGGAATGATCAGTGTTAAATTTTCATATATGAACATATATGAATGTCTGGGTGTGAGTGTAATTAACTGATGGCGAGCCCTTGTGTTACGCTTACTGAAATGCTTCAATGTTTCAATTGTCATTTCAGTCAACTCTTTTCACTCCTGATTTTGAATGTTTACTTCTCATATGTAGGTTCGTAAAGCTTGAAGCGCATCATGTACCAATTTCCATATGCACAGCGGCACTCAGTTATCACTGAGCCTGTTTCTCTTTAAATGTTACAGTGTGTATAGCATCTTTTATCTGGGGAGATTCATAGGGGCAAGTGATGGGGGCAATTCTTTTGACAGCGAGGGAAAGCCTTTATTTTGAAAAGGAGGTCAAGCCTGAGACAATATGAGATAAGTCAGAGCTTCCATAAAGGAGTCCAAAGTAAAACGTAGTTTCAGTTGTTTATCAAAGTAACCCTGGGATATTTCACAGGAGACCTGTCACTAAAATTCCCAAGGTTAAAACAGACTATCCAGGCCACGGTGAACAACCACCAAGACCAACTCAGATTATTATCTTTCAAAGAGATAAGCTACTCAGAAAGGTATAATCAGGTAGATCTGATAATGGGCACAGGGCGTGCTTGAGGTCTGTTCTGCTGAGTACCAAGTGCTACTCTGATGTAAAGTTGTCTTACTTCCAGACTAAGGAAGTAAGCATCATCAGTCTTAGCAACTTTGATTATACTTAACATATACTTTCTAAATTGCTTAATTTTCTAAATCTGTAGATCTTCCAGAAACCACTAATGGAATCTGAGCTGCTAACAGAAAAGGAAGTTGCTATGATTTTTGTTAATTGGAAGGAACTGATTATGTGCAATATAAAACTACTGAAGTAAGTTCTTTTTGCTTTTTTTTTCTCCTCTGTACTTATCAATTACAAAATCATGGGCCTCTTCTTTTAGCTGCATGCAAATATTTGCCACTTATGAAAATAGTCGCCAAAGGAGCCAGGCATTTTTCCATGTTGGAAAAAACAAGATATTATTGTTTGCTATAATTTTTTATTGTTGTTGAGAAAAATGCATCAGTTCTTCGCTGAGTGAGGATTTGCACTTAATTTGCTCGTAGGGTACCTGCACAGCAGAAGGCAAGGTCAGCTTCTCCTGAAGAATAGTGCCTCTCAGGGCTGCCCACACTCCATACTTCTGCTTCCTCTTTCTCTGTCACAGCCCCTTACCGACTTCCAGTCCCATTATCTGTGAATGGGAAGCAAACTACAACCAACATTCACTGCCACCGTTATTCTGAGTTGCCCAGTGTATTCCTTTAGTTATTGTAAACTTTTTAACACCTGAATGAGCTGTTTTGTGAGAAGCGGGCCCAAGAAAGCCTGGTTTGCTATGGATTTGTGCCCAGTGTACCCTGCGCCCTTCCTACCAAAGTCTCCAACTACTGCAACCCCAACTCTTTACCATGAAACTCCACACAGTGCAAGTACCCTTATTTCCCCCTTCATTCTCAGTGGCCTCCACCAGATCCCATCTTCCTTCTCTCAATTTTCTCACCCATCCTTGTTATTTCAGCAGGAGGGAAAGCCTCTTTTTTTTTGAAAAAGAGGTCAAGCTATGCAATCCTGAGACACTATAAGATAAATTAGAACTTCCTTGAAGGCATGTACAAACAGATTGCTTCTTTTGGCCCTTGCCCAACAAAATGAGTAACAATTTACACCTGTATCTTAAAAAGTAAGAGTACTAATAAAACTCCTTTATTTTTCTCTACTGATTTGCTAATTCTCATTGAAAGTGTAGGAGTTTTTTGAGATATCTTCGCTTTTGTAATGTGCTTGAAAATGGCTCACAAAATAACAAGTTATGACAGTGATAGGGCAGAGACATATATATTGATAACATGACACATATTGGTAATAAAACAGCAGATGACAATAAAATGCCCTTCCTTAGGAAGCCAGGGTAAAAGCTAGAAATAGCTTTGGGCCCAAGGTGGTGGTAGGGTTTTTATCCCTTGTTCAAGAGCATATCTATATATTTTCTAATAGTAAGAGTAATGATATTCCTTCCTACGTTGTATCTGATCTGTCATTGCATTAAGTTAATGTCAAATAATAAATTGGTGATCACAAGAGGGAAAACTTCAGTTGGCTGAGGGTGCAGTCTTGATTATTATGTTCTAATAATGTGCAATAAGTCCCGTGGCTGATCTGTTTATTATTCAGAGGTCTGTTCATTTCAGTAATGAATAACAATCAACCTACTTATTTCATAGATCACGAATCATTACTTAGAGGTCTGCTGACTTATCCAACACTCATGACCTGTTTGTGTTTAGGGCCTTGCGTGTGCGTAAGAAGATGTCTGGAGAGAAGATGCCAGTGAAAATGATTGGCGACATCCTGACAGCTCAGCTGCCACACATGCAGCCATACATTCGGTTCTGTAGCTGCCAGCTCAATGGGGCAGCACTCATTCAGCAGAAAACAGATGAAGTCCCCGAATTCAAGGAGTTTGTAAAAGTGAGAGAAGAGCATTCACTGTGTATTTTGTACACCATAAACTGCATTGCAAATTTCCAAAACACTGTCTGAAATAGTGCTGTGTGACGAATTAGAATGAAGGGTCTGAAGAATGAAGAGACTTAAGCACTCACTGAAGGAATACTTTTTTTGTTAAAGGCATACCTTCTTTCAGTGAGCTGTATGGCTGTAAAATAATTACTTTAGCATTGGTTATGCAGTAACATGGTGAGAGCTGGACAAATAATGGTGAGAAGATGCTTTTTGTTTGTGCTGACAAGTTAGGTGAAGAATGCATTGTACAAGAAATTCTAATGCATTGATCTTGTTTGTGACCTAATGGATTTAGTTAAGGCCTTATGTTCATTTGTTGCCTTACCTTTTCCTTATTTTGCTGGATTTTAAGCAAATTGACTAACACCATTTTACCTCTCTAATGTTTCAGAGGTTAGCAATGGATCCTCGCTGTAAAGGAATGCCACTATCAAGTTTTCTACTAAAGCCTATGCAACGGGTAACAAGATACCCACTAATAATTAAAAATGTATGTTCTTTTGCAAAGATGATGTTTTTGATGCTGCTTTGCTTGTAGCTTAATTAAAGGATAGTTTCCCTACATTGTCACTATTAGATGTCTGATATGCTAGGGAAAGTGGGCTGCCTTTTTACATTTTACCACACTAGAGCAAATGAAATAATTCATTTGCCTTCAACAAAATGTCTTTGGATTTCCACTAGAAATAGGGGTGAAACTTACTTGCACAGAGAACCAGAAGGCAATAAAAGCTGAATGAAAAGTTTGAAATTCAGAAAATGGAAGTATTGGGTTCATCTTATGCTCATCTTTGCCTTTTTGCCTTGGTATCATTCCTTCCTTATAGTCTCAAAAATGGCATTCAGTATACAATCCTGAATGCCAAATCATTGCAGCTTACATTACTGGATAACTTACAACACTTTCCTAACTTTTATTTGTTGCCTAACACTTACCATCTTGAATAGTACTGTTGAAATTGACCCGAGACTTTCGTAGGAATGAATCCAGTTACAAATTGGATGTTGTCATTTAAGAGAATCCATAATCAGCTATGTTTCTGTTTATGGCTGGAATTTGCATGCTTACGTCAGAAGAGTGAGTAGTGCTCTGATGTAATGGCTCTGCAGACAGCTGTTCACATACCGACTGTGAGTTTGTCTCTTATTTTTCACATTTGTCAAGCAGGAAGAGAAATGTGGAAGCTTCTGACCAGCTCTGATGAAAATAAAGAAATAAAACAGAAATTAAGGATTCTCAAGATGAATATATTTTAAATGCAGATAATAGAAAAAGCTAACGTATTTTATTTGCCTGTAGATAATAGAAAACACTCCTGAAAGCCATCCTGACCACAGTCACTTGAAGCATGCTCTTGAAAAAGCGGAAGAATTATGTTCTCAAGTAAATGAAGGAGTGCGAGAGAAAGAAAATTCAGATAGGCTGGAGTGGATCCAGGCTCATGTTCAGTGCGAAGGCCTCTCTGAGGTAAACAACATGCTGTCTGGAGTAATGGGCACACTTCACTGTTTGGGAAGAAACCATGGCTCACTTTTGGCTCTGCATCAAGGGAAAATGTTGTAATCATGTCATATAATCTTAAATCATTCGTTTTTATCTTTCTTTGGCTCCCTTTCATTTATGCACGTAATCCTTTTTGCTGCTTGTATTATTGTCTTCTACATGATAAATGTTGCTTTTGTTTCCTGCCTCTGGACTAGTGCCAGATTAAGTGCTGCAGTTTTCAACTACAACTCTTCAGTTTCGTGGCTCTTTGCAAGAATTATTGTACAGTATCTCATCCTGAAGCAATATCTGACTGTCTTGGAGTGCTTTAAAAGTCATCACAGTATCTGTTTTTTTGTAACAAAACTTTGTTTACATTCTGAAAATGTGAGAATACAGATCAAGTCCCTCTCAAGACTTGACAGAGAGAATCACTGCCTACTAATGCATGTTATATTTCAAGATAACATGTTAAGCCTCCCTGCAATATTTGTGGTGGGCAGAGAATACATTGATGACCTCTCTATAGTGGTGAAGATACTAGTGGCAGACAGATCACAACTTGATTTTTAAAATGTGTACTGAGTTTTCAGTTCAAGATAAACAAATAATAAGCACTGTTTGGTTTATAAACTGGACAATGTTGCATTTCATCTTAAAAATCTATTTTGGGGGAAAGACAATTCTGACAAGTTCAGAAGGGCCAGAGTTGCATTTGGCTGTCTTAAAACTAGTGCTTGTATGGAGATGGCTGCTTTTGTCTTTTGTACATGATGTCTAACCTTGGAACATCAGTAATATTACCTGAATGGCCAACTGACTGCTTGCTGACAAGTTAATGCCAGTAACACCTTAAATCTGTGGCAAGCAGTGACCAGGCCTTCCCCCAGTAGTTTTCTGGCTGATATGTTTCTAACCTGTAGAAGGAGCTACTCCAGATCTACCTGCCTGGCTAGCAAGGATGCCAGAGCCCACACCATCCTGACCAATGGAAATGAACTTAAAAATGAAAGGGCTAGTAAGCCTCTACAGACCTTGTAACCTCCAGATGAGTCTTGCATCTTTCTGGTTCCAGCCACTGGTCAGCAGCTGTCCTCTAAGCCCAGCTATTACAGGGACACAAAGACAGGTTATCTGGAAGTCTTTTGTTATGTTTTAGTGAGTGAAATTCAGGCACAATTCATGAATGCTGTTCTTATTAAGGAAGCTCATGATTTGGAGAGGTCATTTGTGTAACTACTGCTAATCCAGGACAAGTCATCATCAACTCGGCTCTGCTCACAGAGGTGCATGTGTGTGGTAGAGAAACTCAAAAGGAGGCAAAAATGCTTCTGGCTTTTCTCTGACTGCCCAGATCATGCCTTGTGCAACTGATAGGTTGCCTTAAATTTCACATAACATTTTTATGACTTGCACTGCTTGTCATGCGCAAGGCAGAGACATTGCTCATCATCCCTGTGACACAAAGTAAAACTAATGTCAGGACTCAAAACTGTATTTGATCTCTTTCAGGGGAACCTCGATTGTTTTACTTTATACAGTGCGTTGTTCTTCTTCTTCTACTTTTCGCAGCAACTCGTATTTAATTCTGTTACAAACTGCTTGGGACCACGCAAGTTTCTGCACAGTGGGAAGCTCTATAAAGCCAAGAGTAACAAGGAACTGTATGGCTTTCTGTTCAACGATTTCCTCCTCTTGACTCAGATCATAAAACCTCTTGGCTCTTCTGGCACAGACAAGGTCTTCAGCCCCAAGTCTAATCTGCAGTACAAAATGTACAAAACTGTAAGTACCACTCTTAAATGGTGGCTTGGATAGTTACATACTAACAGAAGTTCAGGAGGCAGCACCCACATACTGTACGTGTGGGATTTTATATACAAGAATGTTGAAAGCTTTGGCGTATGTTGGGGATTCCAGGGACCAATGTTGAGCAAGCTGGTAGTCTGCTAGGTAAGGGAAGATGCTTTTGAAATTTGGCCAAAACAACCTCTTCAACAGAGGTCACATAACAAGGAGCGATGCAGAGAGCAGTATTTGCTGTTCCATGTGAGAAAGGAGAGATTGCTAAACTTCATAAAGCTGTTTTCTCAGTTGAGGAGAAATGTTCCAGACTGTAAGCACACCTTAATAATAAGAACATTTTAAAAAATGACATATTTTAAGACAGATGGGAGGCCAGCTGAAGGGGAGAAGCAATAGTGGGCACAAATGAAATCTGTTCTGAATTGCTCTATCTTGCATGCCTCTGTTTAGATACTGTGCAATAGAACGCTTGCTTTGCCTAATGTTTTCCAGCCCATTTTTCTAAATGAAGTACTAGTAAAATTACCCACAGACCCTTCTGGAGATGAGCCCATTTTCCATATCTCCCACATTGACAGAGTCTATACACTCCGGGCTGAAAGCATTAATGAAAGGTAAGTACCTGCACAGGCCACGTTAGTACTGAGCTTTAAAGGTCTGGTGCAAATGTATTTGATGTACACATGCATAGCAGTGTCCAAGCAGTTAATATTACATATCCTTGTGCTTGAGAATAAGGTGATACTCATTACATATAAAGAATGGAGAAAGAATAATGCTTCCTGAATTTCAGTAATACCAATGGTGAGATCACTAGGATGATTCCATTTTGTGGCAGCGTGAAGAAGCTAAAAGATTCAGGCCTATCTTGTTCTGTTAATGTCCATCAGTTTTCTATGCCAGTGCAAGCATCTGCATGTCTGTATGTTGAATGGGATTCAGGAACAAGTCAGATTAAAACCTGAAGCAAAAACCTGCCAACAAAACTCAGTTTTAATCTGGTTCCATTTATAATGAGTAAGTCAGAAGAGTGACAACTTCAGCTAGTGATTTGTGTCTCTGGCAAGCTTACGAAGATGGGATTGCACGGACTTATATTGAAAAGATTGGTCTGCAGAATTGTAAGTTCTTGAAAAATAACTTTTGTTAAAAAATGGAAGATGAAAAATCAGCAAAAAGTCCCCCAAACACATTGCATAGATACTATTATGCCAGCTTGAGAATGCGTTATCTGGAAAAATTCCAATGCATAAAAAGTTATAAAACATCTTTGCTCCCTGCCTGCTCATAGTTCTCTTGAGCTTCCGTTGTGTGATGGGACATGCTAGGCTGGAATGATTACGTTTCTACAGGCACTATGAATTCCAGCAAGATCTCTCCCAAGCAGACAGCTTCAGCGTAGCAGAGCCTGTGGTGGGGTGAGGGCCTTAGGCTGGAAGAGGTTGGGAAGGAGGGCCAGCTTTACTGTTATTTGCAGTACAGCAGGGAGTGAAAATGGAAATGATATTTTGCAACCTTTTTCTCCTTTCCCTCTGAAGGACTGCATGGGTTCAGAAAATTAAAGCTGCTTCGGAACTTTACATAGAGACTGAAAAGAAGAAGAGGGAAAAGGCCTACTTAGGTACAGCATGGGGTGCAGGGGTTCTCATCCTTCGTGGGGAAGTCCCTGGGCCAGGAAATATATTAAAGACTTCTGTCTCTCCTCTTCTGTTTCACCACAGTTCGCTCACAAAGAGCAACGGGCATTGGGAGGTTGATGGTGAATATTGTTGAAGGCATTGAACTAAAACCTTGCAGATCCCATGGTAAGTGCCTTGTGATTTCATAATATGCTGTATGAAGGAGACATTCCTATTTGACCATCTTAGATGTTCTGTCAGTATATTTTTGTTTAACAAAGCTGTTTTAATGAACTTAAAAAGCACAAAGGTGGTTCTGTGCTTTTCAGTAGCAGTCATGCAGTTGTCTTGCACTTTATCATTTGGCTCATACAAACGGCTTTTACCACACAAACTATTTCATAAGGGATCATAAGCCACAGATTCCTCAATGAAGAGTGGAAAGTGCTCAGCACCTTGCAGAATTGCGTCCATACTTACTGAAAGGACAGCAAGGCCACTGTCTTTACCTGGTCTGTTGGCTGCCAGTTGAAGAGGGTATTCAGACACACACTTGAAAACATGATTACATTTTTCTGTTTGTTTCCTAATTCCCAGGAAAGAGTAATCCATACTGTGAGGTGACGATGGGCTCTCAGTGCCACATCACCAAGACAATGCAGGACACCCTCAATCCGAAGTGGAACTCCAACTGCCAGTTCTTTATCAAAGACCTCGAGCAGGACGTACTCTGCATCACGGTGTTTGAGAGGGACCAGTTCTCCCCAGATGGTAAGTAAGGGGCAGCCACCCTTCCAAGGGTAGTTTCAGACCTGCCGTTTTGAAGAGGTGCACTCCCGCTGAGGTAAATACTGAACCCCTGTGCGTGTTTGAGACCCGACGCACTCTCACTCCCATGCTTGTGTTGGCTCAAAAAGAATTGCGCTCTCTCGGGGTTTTTTGGGTTTCCTTTCTTGTGTGGTTTGACAGTAACTGAAGTGCAGTTTGTAATTCTGCTAAGTCTTTACATGAAACTCTGGATGCGTTTTGCAAATGGACAAATTAATGGAGGAGGAAAAGAAATGTCGTCAGGTTCCTGTAACAGGCAGTAGCAGAAATGAACTCAAGATTCCCAAGCCATTTTAATTTCATAACTTGCAGTAGACATACTGAGCACTGAATTATGTTTTTTAGAGTAATAGTCTCCCAGGAATATTTGGGCACGACTGTCATTCATGTGGCCAGTACCATTTGCCCCAGTGACCTTGTCGCTGTTGTGATCCATCCCTTGCTCTATCATCTCCTGAGAGCTACTCGTCCAGTTCAAGCTGGGCACTGGCCTTTGGCTTTTTTTCTAACACGTCATAAAATAAGTAAGCTACTTAAGCAGAGCATCTGTGAAGTACATGGTGGATTTTTTTCTGCCTTTGGCATCATTTATTTTTAAATGCTGCCACTGGTCCAGAAGAAAGTCTCTTCTGTGCAGACAGGCAGCATTTGTCCTTCAACTGCAAAAATATAATGGGACGAAGGGGTTTTTTTCTCCTTTTATTGTGTGTAAATGGAAACTTGGCTCCTACTGCAATTTAGCATTTTATTGCAACAGAAAACAGTTGGTTCATTTCTAAGCATGCTGTCTTTTTGCATTTCAGACTTTTTGGGCAGAACAGAGATCCGTGTGGCAGACATTAAGAAGGATCAGGGTTCAAAGGGACCAGTTACAAAGTGTCTCCTTCTCCATGAAGTCCCCACAGGAGAGATAGTCGTCCGACTGGACCTGCAATTGTTTGATGAGCCTTAGAAGGAAAGGGACCAATGTTTTGGTTTTTTTTTTTGGTCTGAGTTCACTGCAATATAGGTATCTGCAGAAGCTGTCACAAAACCCTTATTGGTTTGATACGAAACTACTGCTTGCCCTTCACACACAAGAGGGTTATCAAAGCAAACAGGAGCATCTTTGTGCCTTGATAATTCTCACTGAAAAACGAGTCCCAGTTTAGTGAGGAAGTCTCCCTCAATTTCTCTATGTGGAACCTGATGTTAGTTTCCTGGGTTTATGAAGTAACCTGGCTGTTCGTTGTGCTGCAGCCTGAAAGGCTGGCACACCACATAGGTCCCCGTGCTTGCTCCAGTTACTCTACTCGTTAATTTACATGAAGAAGGCAATGTTGGTATGTTTGGTGGCTTTCTGCAGGGTTTTCCCCCATAAGGAATTCTGTGCCTATTGCTCAGCAAAGTGGCGTGTAAATGTTTTGTGAATGGAACAAGCAGTTATGCAGTAAGAAGATCTCTGGAGATCTTCATGGCGATACTGAAAATATTTAGAAAATAAATAGTCTATATCTATAAAGAGAGAAGATTCTATTAACATACCACTTCATGACTCACATTGCCCCCAGAATAAATTACGTGCAGGCCTTGTGCACAGAGATGAGTTACACTCCAGAAGAGTCCACCCACTCAGTACCTTTGGAAGAAGTGTTTGAACAGTGAGTGAAGGACAGAATATAGAGCCCTGCTGAATGTTGTGCTGTACCACTTTGATACTGTTTTACTACTGCTGCTCAGTTGTGTGAATGCAGATGGATGTTCCGTCACCTGCAGTGAGGAAGGAAAACAATGATGGCTCTAGCTCAGGAAGCTCATTTCTACCCCGCAGAGTCTAGTTTGCAAAGCAATCAGTGGTGACCAGTTATTAAACTGTACTGTGCCTGACTGCATTCGACATCGTGTTGCTGAATTCAGGGCAGTAGCACATTGTCACTCACAGCAGTGTTTGCTGCAAACCGGGCTGGTCACAAAGTTGGTGGCAAAGATGGTAGACGTGAACAGAATGAAGTGTTTGTGATTGTATGGAGTGGGTAACCCAGGGGTAATGTCTTTTTCATCTTGGGGAACACAAAAGGTTATATATGTGTTTAACTCAACACATAGCACACATACAGGCCAACGTCCAGCAAACTTCCCGTGTTTGGCAAACCATCTGTCCCTAAGTGCACACATAGGTTGCATTTCCCTTAAGTACACGACTGGATGTGACAGACCCCTAAGAGTAAAATTCATCTTTGTTCTGCCTGGAATCATTTCGTTCATTACCTATCATGCATACACTGGTATTTTTGTAATGACTTTAATTCTGAATGGGAGGTGTCAGCCTGTTCCATTAGCATGTGAATGTTCTCGTGGAGCCTGTTGTTAGGTTTTGATGTTCTTTGCATGTCCTTTCAGTACTGGTTTCCACCTTCCCTGTATAGATGGTGTTCTCTAGCACTACAATTCTTATTGATTTCCATTAGGAAATTAGGATATATTCATAACGGATAGGTAGAAACAGTATGGTAATAAGTGTAAACTGTGCTGGGAAGTGTCTGTGTATTATAATTTCCTACGAGACCACTGTAATGTTTCAAGCAATGGGAAAAATGTATGTTGGAGGGACGACAAAGTTTACATTTCATACTTTTCAGAATCGCTTTATTATTTATTTATTGAAGATAGTGTAGAATTTTGTATCAGAAATGACAGACATACTTATGTATTTTTTGAAACAGAAAAGCAGAGATACACACTTTAGTTAGAAACTTTCAACTGATCACATTTTAGAGGGAGTGCAACTTCCTGGGCATGCATTTGGTTACCACTAACTGGCAGAAAACATGATTAAGAGAACTTTAAGTTTCTATTTTTCAATGTTGTTAAGAAAATTGTTTCGATTAAAATATGTAAATAGTACTAAACCCATGTTTTCCTAATTCCATATCAATACATTTTATTAAATATAACGTATATGAAAATACACGTTGTTGTGGTAGAATTAAAAAAAAGTGATAAAATCTATTAATGGGTAACATTAAATGTCATTTAATGTCATGTCTAACCTTTTATTGCTGTCCTAATTTTACTCACTAGCTGGACATACAGTGAATTCCTTTCAGTGTTTAGAAAGTCGGATCATCTTTTTATGGCATCATTTCCACAGCATGAATTTCAGCAAAAAATAGTAGACAAATAGGAAAAAAATACCATGGATGTGATGCAGAGATCCAGTCCAGGTTTGCAGAAGAAGCCTCAAGTTGCTGCGTTTTCCTCTGAGATTCACTTGCTGTTGGAAGTGGTTGCCAGGTAGCTGTGGGGGCTCCTCTTGGACTGTGACCCCGTCATCGATACGTCAGATTGCATCTTTTTATGTGGTAACACAACTGAGCACCTTCCCAACCACCATCGCTTGTCATTTCCAACTTGCCCTCAATGCATGGGAACGTTTAGTTCCTGTTAATGCCAATGAATGTCATGCATGTGTGAGATGATGATGAAGGGCTGGGGTTCAGCTCCTGGATTTCTAACTTGCAATCAGTCCTTGTAATTTCCCTTGTCCATCCAGGACTTCATGTGCTGTGGAGTTGTGGGAGTGGCAAGGCCTCTTCTTCCAGGTAACAGTGATACGATAAGTTGTGCCAGGGGAGGTTCAGGTTGGGTATTAGGAGAAATGTCTTCTGAGCAAGAGCAGTGCTGCAGTGGCACAGGCTGCCCAGGGAGGTGGTGCAGTCGCCGTCCCTGAGGTGTTCAGGAGCCGTGTGGATGTGGCACTGAGGGACGTGGGCAGTGCGCGTGGGGGGGGGGGCTGGTGGTTGGACTGGGGGATCTGGGAAGTCTTTTCCAACCTTAATGGTATTGTGGTTCTAAGCCTGGGGTATGTTAAGCTCTCCTCTGCCAGGGCTGCACCTCACACTTTCCCAGCAGGGTTGCACTGTGAACTCCACTTTCCGACCCATAGGCTCTGATCCATTGCTGTTAATTACCTTTGTGTCTCAGCTAGAACAAAGGATACTAGAAGCTGGCTGGATGCTCATGTGGTATGCTGGAGATGCAGGGATGAGTTCAAGGAGCCTACATGACAAAGTTGATTCAAATTGTATAAGGACTGGTAGATTGCAGTTGCTGAAGAGATCGTCAAACAACAAGTCAAGGTTAAGATAAAGGAGTTCATGTTCTTTGCAGATCTGTTTCCTTCCCTGTCTTTCTGAAAGTGCATGGTGATTGGGTTATAGCCACCAGATTCTCCAGTATGGTATTTACCAGGCTAATCATAAGTCATATACCTGCAGGTTATAATGATTTGGAAGCACTGTAAAATAAAAACCATAAAGCTGATCTTAGCTTTGGAAATGCTATTTCCCCAAGATCAGTGCTGTAGGGAGGTGGTCTGTAAGGTCCTGAGAGGCTGTGTGCAGTTGATGGTCTGACGTGGGCACCTCAAGGGACAGAGCACGTCACTGGGCTGACCCTAAGGAATATGACCCATACATTGCAGAACTTTTTCTAGATGCACCTAATTATTATATATCTTCTCAACATGAGTTTTTATGACGGAAATTTTTAAATATGTTCATTCTAGAATATTTTTACCCTTCAGAAAAAAAACACTTTTTGTTACACGTGAGTTGGGTTTTGGGGGGGAAGAACATTGTGGATAACAACGTTTTTGTAATATTATTAAATACATTTTCCAGATGAAGATGTGACAAGTCCAGACATTCACCGCAACAGCGGGGTCTGCTTTCATACTGCTCCTTTTGCACTGTGGTGCTTCACTATTCCAATCGAGCATCAAAACCCTTGAAAAGCAGAACAGTGGGGAAACAGGTGAACTCACCTTCACTTCGAGCCGTTTGCTCTGTACGTACATTCCACACGTACCCCACATTTGTTCAGACCAAACACTCCTGTCCTACATCCATATCGATGTATCTATATATATATATATATATATATATACATGTGATTATTTGTATATATAATATAAGAGCATAGCTACTTTGTTGTTGTCAAATACGGAGTCAATCTAACGAAAACGTTTATAGGCACACAGTTTTGTTTGTTGTCTTACGTATTTTAAAATAAAGGTCATTCTTGGGAAATTATTTTTCTGTACATAGGCAGATATATTTAGGACCGAACTTAAATGAATAAAGAACATGTTAAACTAGCCTAGTTGCATGACATAGCTGTCAGAAAAAGGTTTTGCTGCGACTGTAAGTGAATCCTTGCACTTCTTGTAAAGCTGCAAAGTGTTGCTAACCCCCGATTTAGCACTGGATCTGTGATCCCAACCTGACGTGTCAGTCAAGGCGTTTTGCTTCCTCAGAGCCCTTCTGTCAGGCTCTCAGGCTCTCCCGCCTGTCGTGGTGAGCACAGCTGACAGGGGAAGGCTGGGCTGCAGGAAAACAGGGGAAAAACTGGCAGAGACGAAACCAGAGCTTGGTGAGCAGCAGGCTCTTCTCCCCTTAGGAAGTGTGGGATGGATTGTCCATCGTGTGATGGACTAGAAGTGAAATCCCTCCCTGTTATGGTGCCTACTCCACAGGGATGGGACTGGTGGTGGAACCTGTACTTGTCAGGAGTAAGGGAGAAGGTTGGGCACAGGATCATGGAGCTCTCCTGGCACCAGTCAGAATGCTGATCACACAGTATCTCAAGAGCAAGTCACTCTGTGAGGAGCATATGGAAAGACGAGTGAGAGTGCACTGCTTTTGGCAGTGCGAAGTGCCCGAGTTGGGTTGAAGCAATTCCTATTTGGGTGACGATTCGTAAAGGCTTAAAGCTTTTCACCAGGCTAACCCCCAGCTTTTGCAGAATACCTTATTCCAGTCCTCACTTTGCCAAAATAGTTTAGATTCCAACAGCCTTTACAGACTTATTCATGGAGTACTTTTTATTCAGTGTTGATACATCATTCAGAAAAGATAGCCGTAGTATTTCTTCAGTGTTAATACTTAGAACTGGGGAATCCCCACCCCATGATGGTGGTGTGACTTTTTAGTGCACTTGTTGCCAAACGAATGGTATCAATTAGTTTCCTTCTCTTCTTAAGAAAGGAAGTGTTGTACTATATGTAGTATTTGTAAGATCTTAAAAATTACAAAGGCATTAGAAAATAACTATTATATGTAGGTCTTAAGAGCTGGACAGGTAGGAGAAATGGTTCCTTTTTTCCGAGAAGATGTAATTCATTTGTATTGTTCATTTACATTGCATCTAACTATCCTACAGGAACACATCCATACTGTGAAATGGGCTTATTTGAAAGCATTTCTAACAGATATAACATTTCTAATTGGTATAACAAATAACTAACAACAAATTGGATGCCACTGTTTCTCGTAAGACAATTTCAACTGTACTTTGGTTGCTCTGAATGTGTTATTTCCTCTGCTGCACTTGATTAAATAATTCTGTTTATGGACAGTGTCAAATGAAACAAAAGTCTTCAAAATGATGCATTCACCTGTTTGAGGAATTACGCCGCGTCCCAGACTGCATTCACTGAGGTGGAAGGTGCAGATCAGACTTCAGTCTGTGCAAATTGTTAGACAGACGAGACTGTATTTGTGCAAGTGAAATTATGCAAGAATAAACACTGTTGTTTTTCTTTTTTTATTTTAACAGCCTATTGTGATGTTCTTGAGAAGCACTGAGGAAGAGCGATATGGTCTCAAAAACATTAGATGAATGTTCAGATTGGTATTTTTGATAATAGGACTAGAAGGTCCCTCTCTGATCTGCCCCCTCCTTTTGGCTAATAATTACTGCATCTGGCCAGCTGCCCTGAGGTCAATATCCTCAATATCCCATTAAACAGAAGTAGGCACACACGGCCTTGTCATTAGAACACCAGTGTAACATGAGGTAGCTGTGAATCAGTGTTCCATGCTGAATGTTTTTATAAGTAGTTTTAAGATACAAACACCTTAACCTCTCCCTAGCAAGCTTTTGGAGGCCTCATCATCTTTCTCCCACAGCTGTACATTAGAATCAATACTCTAAAACAGCTATTCAAGAAGAATAATTTTATTGTTTCCATGTGACAGGTTTCACTGTGAACAAAGAGAACAGCTTACTAGACAGCCTCTTTCATTATTTTGGTCAGTTTCTGGATCTTTGACCTTGTTGACATATCCACGTATTTCTCCCCAATATTGACGATCATTCCACCAAGGATGGAGGGATCAGTCTAGAAGAAAGGTTTAACAGAAACTCCATTAGCAAAAACTTCTTACCCTAATATATATATTTTTTTCTTTTTTTAAAGTGTAAACATTTAAAAGACCCTTAAGATAATTTTGCAGCCATTATATTTCAGAGTTAAGATTTCAGTAATCGAAGCATCAGGTGTACAAGAAAACACAGAAGTATATTATATAGCTACTGAATTCAACCAAATGAATATACACTAGTGTCCTATAGTTCCTCTTTCATTTATTTTTTTTGTAAAGATGAGAGACAGCACAAGAAGCACAGCTTGGCATTAAGTGTATTTACAAATAAAACCCCTACCTTGGTCTCCAGCTTCAAGACCTCTCCTTTAGCCAAGAATCCATTCAGAACACTCTTTAGCTCAGTAAGGCTGGCATCATCCAAGGGCTGAAAAAATTTGCACAGAACACAATGAAAATGAAGGATGTAAAAAATTCAAAGGGTATAATGAGAACACTTTATTTTCTCTTCAGACTCCATTAAAGAAAGACACTCCCAGGAAGGCAGAGGAAGCAGCCTTTTTGGATAACAGTAATCGAATGACAGCACAGAAACAGCAGCATTTGGTGCTCCTTTAATTTCATAAAGTATTGTGCTGCCTGCACACATATTCCCAGCAAATGCTTTTTGTTAATATCTTTGGAAAGCAAGCATCAAGAATCCTGACTTGCTAAACTAAGCACTCAACACAAGACCCTCACATCCATTTCAAAGCAGCATTTAGCCTATATGAGGAGAGATTAATTCTGTTGCTTCTCACAGTTCAGTTTATAAGCTTAAGAAAAAACCAGTTTCATGTGAAGCATGAGACAGGGACTCAAGATGCTGCCAACACAGCTGTGTGGGCTCAGCCAAGTACACCTCTCTCCATCACCATAGAGGAACTCTGCATCCCTGAGGGGGGGAGGCACCATGAGCCTGCCCTCGCTTTCCCTGTGAGTTGTTCAGATATTACTGCAACAGAAATTAAACAGACTCCACAGAAGAATACTGCTGCTAGCGTTACTAGCAATAACAACTCCTATTTAATGGTTAACAGTTGAGAGTCAAAAGAAATCAACTGCTATCAATCAAAGAGGCATCAGGAATTATTATTATATCAACCCTTACGAATTATTTGGGAAAACTCAGAAAAAAGTTTTGCATTTGTGAACCCCTATGTCCCTGAAAGCTATCAGTTACAGTCTGTGCCTGTGGCCTATAAAGAGCCTGTCACGCCCAAATGGATGAGGTTTTTTATTCAGTCCACACTGGAAGCTCATTTTAGCACACAAAAGCTACACATTTATGTTACGTGTACAGCAGGCAAGCTTCCCATTACCAGGCCCGAGCATGGATCTATCCCCACACAAACTACTGAAATGCCAGAAATCACATCTCCAGCTTGAAGTTTACAGCTTCGCAGTCTGAGTTTTAAGGGACATTCAAGACCATTTAGTTCCAACCCCTACTATGGGCA